CACAGCACCAGAAACTTGCAGCATAAAAGGCATAGCTGTTTTCAGCTTGGGTGTTACAGTTTTGTGTATCCAAATGAGACAGGGACTGAGCAAAAATGGTTTGGGTCTCTTGTGCACAATTTTTAAGGACCGTGCAGATGCAGTACAGTCACACCTCGTGTTGCGTTAGGTTCATGTTGCGTCTTTTCGGCTTGCGAACGCGGCAAACCCAGAAGTGTATACTTTCGGGTTTCGCTGGGCACGTGTGCACAGAAGCGTTCTGCACGCTTCGCACATGCGCAGAAGTGCTCTATCACACACGTGCGTAGAAGCGGCGCTCTAGTTATGGACTTTTCAGGGTGCGAACGGCACCCCGGAACGGATTGAGTCCGTAACTAGAGGTACCACTGTATTGGCTGCCTGCAAAGTGAAACCAACAATGTCAAAAATGGGCCTTGGGACGCACTTTTCCTCCCCACAATCTCCCTACGCTCTAGAGTGACCTTCTACATCCTTCTACAGCACTTAAGCTGTCTGTCAGCACATAAAGAAGCTCTGTTTCCACAAAACACTAGACCATAATTCATTCTTACATGCACGATCCCCAGGCGTGGCTGCTTCCTTTCCCCCTTTTGGCACAGCCGAGAGTAAATGATCAGAGGTATTTGATTCCACTTTCAACAAACTGTGATTTGTCATCATTTCTGAACCTGGACAAACCACGGTTAGCATATAGTTAATGCAATAAGTCGGTTTCAGACCGTGTCTGAAGTAGTCGGACATGCACTCTGGAGTTTTAAGAAGGCTGATTTCATAAAGTTTAAGGAACTACAAGGTGAAGTCCTGTGGTCAGAAATACTCAAAGAGAAGGGAGTCCAATATGGATGGGAGTCTCTTAAAGGTGAAATGTTGAAGGCACAAAGGCAGACAATTCCAACAAGAAGGAAAAGTGGGAGGCAGCTAAAGAAACCAGTGTGGCTGCATAAGGAGCTTAGAGATGAGAGGAGATTTAAGAAGGGCATATATAAGAAGCGGAAGAAAGGGGAAATCACAAATAAGGAGCAGCCAACAGTTACAGGATGAATGTCACGCAGGCTCAGAATGAGCTCAGGCTTGCAAGAGAGGTTAAAAATAACAAAAATAACATTTATTTGGCTATGTTGAAAGTAAGAAGAAGAACAAGCAAGTGGTAGGTCCTCTGCGTGGAGAAGGTGGAGAAATGCTATTGGGTGACAGAGAGAAGGTGGAACTGCTCAACATCTACTTTGCCCAAAAGGACATCTACTCAACATCTACTCTTGACCCAAAAGGAAAGTGATGCCCAACCTGGTGACAACAGAATAATGTAAGGAGGGAGCTGCAGCCCAAGATAGGAAAAGAACAGGTGAGGTCCCTGCAAAATGGAAGCAGGCAAATGTTCTTCAAAAGGGGGGGTGGGGTGGGAAGAAGACTACCAACCAGTGAGCTGGCCATCGATACCAGGAAAGGTTGTAGAACAGATAATTGAACAGTCTTTGAGCACTTAGAAAAGTATTCTGTTATTAGTAAGGCCCAGCATGGGTTTCTCAAAAATAAGTCATGCCAGAAGAATCTCATTTCTTTTTTATAGAGTTGCATGTTTGGTAGATCAGGGGAATGCTATGGATGTAGTTTATCTTGACTGCAGTAAGACTTTTGACCATATTCTTGTGGAGCCATTGGTAAAATGTAGACTGGACAAAGTAACTCAGGTGGATTTGTAGCTGGTTGACTGAATGAACCCAAAGCGTGCTCAATAATCGTTTCTCGTCATCCTGGGAAAAAGTGACAAATGCAGTGCCGCACAGTTCTGTCCTGGGCACACTGCTCTGCAACATCTTTATAAACAACTTGGATGGAGGAATTGAGGGGATGTACAACCAATTTGCAGATGGCATCAAACTGGGAGGGATAGCCATTGTGCTGAAGGCAGAATCGGGATTTCAATGGGGACAAATGTAAGGTTCTACACTTAAGCAGGAAGAAGCAGCTCACACGTATAAGATGGGGGACACCTGGCTTATTTAGGAAAAGGATCTAGGGGACCTTAGTGGACCACAAGCTTAACATGAGTCAACAGTGTGGTGCAGCAGCAAAAAAACAACAACCCCTAATACTATTGTAGGCTGCATTGACAGTGGTGCCCAGATCAAGAGAAGTAATAGTTCTGCTCATTTCTGCTGCCACACTTGGAATACTGTGTCCAATTCTGGGCACCACAATTTAAGAAGGATGTTGACAAGCTGGAATGTGTGCAGAGGAGGGTGACCAAGATGATCAAGGGTTTGAAACCAAGCCTTATAAGGAACGAAGAGAATTGGGTACTAAGCCATCTTCAGATATATAAAGGGCTGTCACATGGAGAATGGAGCAAGCTTGTTTTCCGCTGCGTCAGAAGGTAGGGCCCAGAACAATGGCTTCAAGTTACAAGAAAGGAGATTCCAACTAAACATCAGGAATAACTTTCTGGCAGTAGGAGCTCTTTGACAAAGTAATGGATTCCCTTGGAAGATGATGGACTCTCCTTCCTTGGAGGTTTTCAAGCAGAGGTTGGATGGCTATCTGTCATGGATGCTTTAGCTGAGATTCCGGCATTGCAGGGGGTTGGACTAGATGACCCTTGGGGCAGAGGGGTCCCTTCCAATTCTACAGTTCTGTGATTTGATGGTTCATAATTCTGGTTTGATTAAATAGATGATACTTACTATCATTCCAGATTTGAACATTGGCCAGTAAGTCAAGAAATAAGTAAGTATTTTGCCCAGGCACATAGCTCTTCCCTTCCAATTTATTGGGGGTTTGTCATTGACCCAGTTCAGATGTCTGTATCTCGATAAGCCAAGATATGAATGTTTTTGTCCGCATCCACAGCCCCATTAATTTTTTCTTCAAGAAGACTCTAATTAAGCATAGTTTCCTGCTTCATTCAAACTGGAAAACTACGGTTATTAGCTTCAGAACAAGCCAGGATCCTAAACCATCTCCAGACCATGGTTTAACTCCTCATTTGTTCTGAAGCTGCTAACAATAGTTTCTCCGTTTGGACAAAACAGTAAACTGAGGTTAATTAGAACCTTCCTGGTATGGTTGCTTAATCTGTGGAACGAAGCATCTGTGTACATGGGCAAGAGGCCTGTTCATTTCTTGGCTTATTAAATCAAGATATGATCGTCCCAATCAGATGATTTACAAACTGCAGTTAGTTGAAAATGGAATCAGGTGCTTCCAGCCTTGTTCTTGTGCCTGTGCTAGAGAAGAGAGCTAGATCATGCACAAAATGTTAAATTACAGTTTAGTGTGACACGCAAACCACATGTTTGTGTTTAGTGATACGGGCAAACCACATGCTTTTTTGTGGTTAAGGCTATCTGCAGTTTCCTTTAAACTAGAAAGGGTGCCTAGTGAGTTTGAGTACCTGGCTCAAGGCAAATCCTGGATGTGCCTTAACAGTGATCAGTACTGGTGCTGACAAACTGCTTAAATGCTATGAAAGGAGGTGAGGCATGCAACTTTTCTCCACGATGGGGTGTGTCGGGGGAAAGAAATGTGCACAGTCTTCTGCAAACCATGGTTAGCAAGGAGCCAGAGTTACACCCACATTGGCCCAAGTAAGAATTCCAGTCCCCTCAAATTATCAGTAACTAAGTGGGTTTCTTTGGGATTGAAAGTAGCATCAGTCCTGTATAAAAGCCCCAACCAAACATTTTTCAGACACTTTATCTCCTTCTGAAATACACTATATAGAGCTTTGATGTGAACATCTAATATGGAGACAAAAACCCATCTACCACGAGGGTTCAAAATAATCTGATAACAAGGACAGTGTTTAAAAACGGGAGGAAGAAAACTCTAGAACTACCCTGAAGTAGTACAGCAGGTTCCCATGGCTGACATTCCCACTAGATATATATCCATTTTAAATTCTCCTTCATCAGCGCACGCTTTATTTAATCTATATCTGTAAAAGGCTGTCTTGGAAAAATGGCATTTTCTGTCATTTAAACGGGGCTCAATGCAGTTGGGAGTCAGAGATTAGAAAACAAACCAAGCAAACGAGCAACATGATATCAGAGTTAGCCTTGGAACAGAAAACTGTATGTAGTTTGGTTATTTGAACAACGGTGAGCACGAGAGAAGCCCCCAACTAAGTGATCACATTTCCACGATATATTCTATCACCCCTCAACTACTTTTCTCTTTACAAAGCAAAACGAAAACAAAAAAGCCCCGTAACCTACATACAATATACACATTCATGTATCACACATACAGTTCCCCCAATGCATATTTTGTGTGTATACAGTAAACATACGTGCACAAAAAATACCTAAATTCTATTTATAAGTCACAGTGGGAATTCCTTTGAGAGGAACGGAGGGGGGGATTTCCTGAATAAGACACTGTGGATCCCTAGATTTTAACATTTCAACCTTTGAACTTCCAACTTGCAGAGCTAACTGGAAATGAATCTATTTGAAGGTCAAGGGGAAGGGAGTCTTACAAACTTGGTTCGCAATTCCCAGCTGCAGTAATTGGATTTCAAATTTGATCTACTTACCCTGTAACTAAAAGCACCTAACCATCATAGGTACAAACCACAGATAAATTATTGCAGAATAACAAACGTCCTCAGAGGAAGAATATATGGGTCAAGAAGGGTTTTATGTTTTGTCAATGCAAGATACCATTTCCCCCCTTATATGTTTTAGATTTTATTTATATATTTATATCTGCAAGGTAGCAAAGAATAGCTGTACACCTTGACACGGCAAAGTTCCAGTGTAAAAAGGTGCTTCGTTGAGGGTAAGGGCAAATTGTTCTTTTTTAAAAAAAATGTGTATAATTTTATAGCTATTAAAACACATATGCAACATAATTCATTACACTCAATAGCTTTTTAGTATAAAACTTATAATTTATGAGGTGATGTTAATAGCATAAATTAATATACCTTTTCTCTTAAAAATCTACAATAAGTATTCTGAACACACGTGGTGCAGGCAGGGAGGAAGGGGAAAGGGGTGTTCTTAAATAAAAGCTTAAAGCTAAGCATTATGGGATGGGGTGGGGGAATATTTTGTACGGTGGACTTGAGCACAGCTTCCACAAGAGAACAGCCACCAGGCCATGAGACCCAGAAACCAATTCACTTTCTGGTGTTCATGCTTCGATGACGCTCTCCTGCAAAAATTTCTTCTTCGCAACTACTTTAACTGCCTTTATTTCCACAAGGAATCCCTGAGACATGCCCAAAACTGGACAGTGATAATCACCATTCAGAGAAACTGGTTCAACCCTCTTCTCTCAACAGAAACGAGATACTCCTTAGCATAACACAACTGACCATCTTTTTCAGGCTGGGTCCATTTCCTAGTTTGTTTTAAGATGCTAAAATCCAGGAGTGAGCTGCACTGTCTTTTTTTTGACAACACAGATTTGGGGACAATGACTGTGGGATTAAAAAAATTGGGGGCCCACCAACCAACAAGACGGTGAAGACACACCAGCAGACCAAGTTCAATGTATTAATCCAGCTCATACAATTTAAGAGTGTGTGTGTTTATTTGTGTGTGTGCGCGCGCATGAACACATACATGCATGTGTGTTGTAAGGGGTTAGAAAGGAGGAGTTGCACTGAATTGTTATTTTTCTCTTTTTTTCAGCCCTGAGTTTTCTCACTCTAGTTCTCACATTCTAGGAAAGATATTTCATAATTACAGACTGTGTGTTATACACTTTCCTTATGCTGCCCTCCAGTGGCAATGCAAAGCTTTCTTTCGCATTACCATTTGTTCTTAGTTCTAAACTGGAAATCTACAATGTACACAACCAAAACAACAGGGTTCACGCAGCAGATTGCTCACAACAGACATAAAATAAAGCAAGTCAATAAGTTCTTACTTTCAAACCTGGATATCAAGAGGAGAGAACCACCGATTCTACCTCTTTCTTTTTCTTAATGCATAAAATACTAGCTTACACAAACAGTAGGTGTGTTAAACGTTACTATTTGTCTTTGTTCATAAGGCAGGGTTTATTGAGAACCAACAAACAGTTAAGCATCCTGGAATAAAGATTTGGGGCAGGGGGGGTCATACAAGCACCACACCTTAAGCAGGCATTCTTTTCAAGCGATTTCATTAAACTTTCTGAAATGACGTCCCCCAGGGACATTCCTACTTTACGGGGAAATTACTTTTAGAGGATTTTATCCTCGCACATCATCTTGCTTAACCACATATGGAAACATCATGTTCTCTGTTAATGAAAACCATGTCATGACACTAGGTGCGATCAAAACTCCTTAAAAGAAAACGAATTCACAAGAAGAAGAGATGTGAATTAAAAGCGAAGAGTCATAAACCGAATTTTGCTAGGAACCCTGAAAATTCCAGCCTCTTAACAATGCAGAATTTAAAGAAATTATAAATGCAGTACATTTCTGGCCCATAATTTAGCTACAAGAGAACACAAGGGTGATGTTTTGAAAGGGAAGGGTTAGTAACGTAAGCAGCATTAGGAAAATGCAACGGAGAGACAGGATCTGTTGCAGGACACTTTTGATACGAACAATGGTGTTTCCTTAAGGGAAATATGGAAACTGTAAAATCCTGCTGTGAGATCAAAACAGGGACCTGCGCTTCCAAAGCTGACTTGATTATAGTCTCTCTTCCGCCTAGATGTGTACCTGCCGTAGCCTTGTGCATTTTCCCACTATGTCACATGCAGAAGGCTGGCGTCTTTGTGTTAAGTTATGCATGCAGGACTTTGCCCTGAATGTGAGCGAGAACCACGCTGGCTTCTTTTTAAAGACAGGCTGTGAACATCACTGAGAAGGAGCAGAAAGGTTTGCTGCAAATTTTGCAGCTGGTCTGTTTTGCACTCCCAGCCTGTGCATTTAGCCTTCTGGCAGCAACCCCTCAAACTGCATGGAATGTGGTCTTGGAAGGTCCCCCAAACTTTAAGAGGCTGCAACAGGCATGGGGAGGCTGAAAAGCCCTTGCACACGCCCAAAAGACATCAGTCTTCAGATCCCAATCATTCTGCCGTATTTTCAGGTACTGGAATAATATAGCACCAAATGATATTTATAAAGAGGAGTTTTGTAGTTTGCCAAACCAATTTACTTTCCTGTTGGAGCTAATCACTTGTTCAATTTGATTGGAAACAAAACTAGGGAACTGAACGGGGCTTCCCCCCCCCCTTTCCTATTTAGCACAAAAGCCAGGGGTTTTTTTGGAGGGGGGAAATCATTTCACAATACATTGTGCACTAAAGTAGAATAAAGAAAAGGCTTTCCTTCATCTCGTTAACTGGCTTAAAACAGATACATTACAAATATAATTTGGAACACACTTAGATGTTTATTATACAGTTCAATTTCAAATGCAGGGAGGGATTTCACAAGGTTAAAAAGCATAAAAATGTTTTCCAGCAACATGTACTTTTATTTCCAGGGGCAAACTCCCTGATCCTCTCAAAATAATAAGCACAGCTTTTTAAAAGAAGGCAATAGTTCAAATTTATGGGATTCAGACAGGCAATTCCTGGAACCCTCCCCTGCCCAAAGGTCTGGGAGGAGGAGGGTGCCTGTACCAGATTCTCACTTGAGCACCATTTGAAAGCAGAATAGAAAAGCTAGACAGGAAACAACTGCTTCAGTCACAAAGAGAAAGTTGAGCTCCCTCTTCATCCCCCGTAGAAGCCCAATTAAAATACTCTACTAGAGTGTGCCTGCTTCTCTCTTCGTATCTTTTTAAATATATTATAAAAAGTAGATGAAATTATGTACAGTCCAAACCTCTTACCATAAAATATAACAAAGCCCTGCTCTTAGGAGTAGATAGCCGTTCCTTCCATGTCTACTCCAGAAAACAAGAAATGATTGCAAGGAGTGGCCTCCACTGAGCAGAACTGGACTTCATGAGAAATAAATGTCATAATCTACTTTTCTTTTGAGAATCAGCACAGCTACAAGCCCTGTTTAAGGGGGGGGGGAGCAGCAGAGACCTTGTAGCTTGCTTGATAAAGAACTTTTTGTGGGGGAAGCAGTCCTTATTCTGACAAACTCCTTACAGTTTGATTGCTGTGGATCTTCAGGGGGCATGAAGTGATAAAAGTAGAATCTCTGACTTTGAAAACGTATTTATTAGCAAGACCACTGATTAGAGATAGGAGAACGCCAGCACTTTTCTTTTTTTTTCTATTAACTTCAGTAGCATGTGTTGTTTAGCATGCCTGTTCTTTCTTCTCAGACCTCACTCTGCACAAAAGATTTCTAAAAATATCTAAATATTCCCGAAGTATTATGGAGCACTGTAAGGGCTCACGGCTGCTGTAGGAATCCCCAGAAGCATCAAGTATCTGGAGACGGCTACAACTTTGTAAGATCACTCAGCAGTTCTGATCTCACATTGGTTTGAGTGGGAAAAGGGGCCCATGACACAATTCTGCCAGTTTCCGCTGAGACTTGGCTATATTAAAAGTAATGCTCCATTGGAAAATGCCAACCCAACAACACTACTGTAATAATTGATCAGCTTTAGGAATTAGCATATGTTTTATCTGAGCAGGTACACCATTGCAATTAATTACAGTACTCAGTTCTGCTTTCTGTTCTACATACCAATGATATATATATTTTATTTAAAACTCCACACCGTCATAGATACTCTGAACCAACAAGTACAATCTCATGTCCTACAAATTCATCCTTTCTTCCATCCAACCCAACTTCAAAAACCAAATTAGCTTGCAGTATGAACGGTCGCTGGTTTCAAGGTGGTCTTTCAGAACAGGAAAGAAAGGGAGGGAAACAACCTGTCATTTACCCATCAAATACACGCACACACACAAATACACACACAAACCCCTGCGCTCACAGAGGAGGTTAAGAGCCCAGTGTTAAGCTGACAGAATTAACAATTGAACTATGGTGTTGGTTTAAGTCTGCAGTGCCCAGTTACCAAATCAAAATGATAATCCCCCTTTCATGCCATTTGCATTCTTTGAAATAAATCAGCTCCTCACCTCTTGCCCAGATGCTCACGGGACTGGATACTCTGATTTGAGCCTTAGGAACTTGCATTAGTTATATTTGAGGTATCATCTCACTTTTGGGTCTAGAGTCCATTGTATCTAACTTCTCATTTATCAGTCTAAGGCAGGACTAGGGAGTCTGCGGCCCTCCAGAGTCGCTGGGACTCCTCCCAATTTGCACCGGCAGCAGGCAGGATGGCCATTGGTCAAGGACTATGGGAACTTGAGCGCAGCAACACCTAGAGGGTCACAGATTCCTCATCTATGGTCAGTTACATCCGGGACCTGTGCTGTATTCTTTTATCTGGGATATTTAACTGGCTAAGTATAACAAAATCTGAAAGGGGTAAATGAGCACCAATACAGAAACCAGCACATAAGATCAAGAGAGCAGAGCAGAGCAATGGGGAAACCCTGGTCTGCACTGAATCAGGACTTTTTGCCCCCTCTTTTTGTTTTAAATTTAAACAAAGTCTTTAAAAAGGAGATGACAAAAATCAGGAAAAGAGAAGTGGGCCAGGGTGGGGTGAGAGGGAACGTAAGGTCCCCGCAACTGCCTGAATTTTGCAGACAGACGAGCTCAGCTGGAGGTGGTGAAGGGAGCAGATGCGTTATTGGTACTAGTAGCTGTGGCACCTGTTACTGTGAAGCCTGTGGGAGGCGCTATGGAGCTGTGGCTTGGCTGCAGGTCCTTGGGGATGCCGCTGTGGGAGCTCAGCTGGTGGCCAAAGGCGGCGCTGAACTGAGGGAGCTGTTGCTTTGGGGAGGTGGAGGCCATGAGTTCAGAGGACCCAGGGCCCATGCCGCTGAAACTGGTCTGCGGCAACCCCGGGAGCACGCTGGAGCTGTTGGGGGTGACGGTGGCGAAGGCAGGCTGCGTGGTCTCTGAGTGCGACGTGCTGGGTGGCGTGGACAGGGAGGTGGAGAGCAGGTGTCCGTCGGCACCCAGCAGGTTGCTGAACGGAGAAGGGTCGCCCAGGCTGACGGGGAGGCTCCCCCAGTGAGTTCTGGGGTTCACCACGCCACCGAGCGGCACCTCCAGCTGCGAAGGGAGCAGATGTTGTGCTATGATGGGCATCTCTGCGGAGAAGGTAGCTGCCAAGTTCTCGCCAGAGTAGGAGGCGCCATGAGGGGACGTGATATGGTCACTGTAGGGCGACGGCACATGCTCGCTGTCGTAATGGCTTCCATGGGGTGAGGAGTGTGAATGGTCACTGCTGTATTGCTGTCGTGAGGTGATTAGGTCGTCTGCCTTGCTTAGCAGCTGGGCAGGGTGTGGCCTCTGGGAGGCATGGCTGCCATCGTGAAGTCCTTGAAATTGTCCGGGGAAGGCTCTCTCCCCAAGCCCACTCTGACTGATCAGAGTGGCAGAAGTAAGGCCAACGTTGGCTGGGGCAGAGAATTGCCCCTGAATCTGCCCTGCCAGAGGCGTAGGTGGGTTGGATAAGGTAGCAGAGCGGAGCAAGCTATCCTCCAGGTCCAGGCTAGAGAAATTCTCGTCATGCACTATACGCCCATTCAGCAGCTCACCTAGATCCGTGTTGACTTCCCGGCTCAAGGACTGAATTCCTGAAGTTTCAGCACCCGTGGAGAACACCCCTATACCTCTGTCCGATAGTTCCTGAACCGGCACGCCGTCTGTCTGTGTGAGCACTCCTATAGTACTCAGGCACTCAAGAGAAGTCACAGCCTGCAAGGCCCGTTCCAGCTCCTCTGCCTCTTCGGTCGTAGGGAGGAGGTCTCCATTTTTACCTGCGTTAAATTGAAAATATGTTAAGCGGTTGGCATACCTCTCGTAGGCGCATTCTTCCACAATTCATACAATGGCTAGTATAACATCCAGTTTGACCTTTAAAGGTACGTAAAGGTAAAGGGACCCCTGACCATTAGGTCCAGTCGTGACCGACTCTGGGGTTGCGGCGCTCATCTCACTTTACTGGCCGAGGGAGCCGGCATACAGCTTCCGGGTCATGTGGCCAGCATGACTAAGCCGCTTCTGGCGAACCAGAGCAGCGCACGGACACGCCGTTTACCTTCCCGCCGGAGCGGTACCTATTTATCTACTTGCACTTTGACGTGCTTTCAAACTCCTAGGTTGGCAGGAGCAGGGACCGAACAACGGGAGCTCACCCCGTCGAGGGGATTCGAACCGCCGACCTTCTGATCGGCAAGTCCTAGGCTCTGTGGTTTAACCCACAACACCACCTGTGTGCCCTAGTTTGACCTTTAGCTGTTCATTTTTTAAATTAACTTTATATGTGAGTGCATGAATTTATTTCCAGCCCATTGGAAGTGTTACCAGCCTGTTAGCATGAACCTACATGCCATAGGGTGGCTGGAGTGTATGTCTACCAAACAAGGCCATGTTCATGCAGACAGGTTGATTACTTGATGACTGCAGCACCAAGTGGCAACTTGCATGTGTGAAAGAGCTGCCAAGGCAGAACTTTCATACCACTTCATTTTGCCTTAACAGCAGGCTCTGTTTCCGCCACGGCGTGCTGCAAGTCATCAAATGCATAAAACAAAATAAAACTGAGCGGTGCACATGTAAGCCCCTGGTCAGAAAACTTTATTACTGACAGGCAAGGCCTACCACAGTTCAGAAAGGAAGCTTAAGTGGGTTTAATATAAAGAAGAAAGCTTTCCCCTCTCAATTGACATTAAGAGCTTCAGAGAATCATTTTGTTTTAGAGGTGATGACATTCTTTTAACTGAAAATGCAACAGATAAAAACAAGCAACATACATTGGAACATTATTTGTCAGGGCTATGTTTCTTCCATGGGATTGTTGCAAAAAATATGTAATACGCTATCTACTAGAGAATTTGGTATCCTGAGACTCTGTTGGATTTTTAAATGCTGAGGGGCACGGTATACAGAGCCTTACCTACATACTGTAGTATAGGCCCTGATAAAGGATGGCCGTACATGGACAGAGCTAAGATAACGATCAAAGACATAAATAAAGGAGCCATAGTAAAAGCCAGCACCAGCTCTAAGCAAATGTTTATGTGAAGTTTAACAATTGGCACTGCACGCCAACCAACAACTGCACGCTGGTTCAACATACTTCTGTAAGGATGCAGGCACACAAACACCCCAGTATGAGTAAGCCATAATCTCACAATCTATACATCGGAAGTTCAATTTACATGGATTTTGTGGTTTGGACCTACTTCTGTTGGGCTCACTTCAACTTCTAGCCCCAGTCCTATTAACGTCGCTGACCACAGTGGAATGATATGTGATGTGTAATGAAAGAGGAAAAATCCCTATGCTGCAATATAATAATAATAATAATAATAATAATAATAATAATAATAATATTTTATTTATACCCCGCCCATCTGGTTGGGTTTCCCCAGCCACTCTGGGCAGCTTCCAACAAAAGATTAAAAATGATACTGGACTGCTCATATAAGATATTTCCAGATTAGGAAAGATTTTTTATTATTATTCATAAATGGGTCAGAGAGAGGTGGAGATGCTCAGCTGTTTCTGGAATTGTACACTGCCTGCATTTGTCTCTGAACTGCTTTTATTTATTTATGTAGTATATTTATATCCTGCTCTTCCAACAATGCCCTTCAGGGCACCTGATAATGAAAAAATAAAAACATGCAATGAAAACCCTCAATAAAATACACAGAAGGATTAAAAAAGAGCGTGTTAAAATTGTATTAACTGATGGTTAAAACGGGCTTGTAAAATGAAAATGGGATGGTATTGAAGTAATGGGAGAAAAAGAAAACACGAGGAGCCTCTAGATTTGCAAAGACAGGGCACTGCAGCTAAAAAGTCCCTGTCCTTAGTCACCCCCACCTTAGTTCAGAAAGTGCGCAAGGGAGGAAAATACCCAGATAAAAGACTGTCGTTCAGATATTTGAGTAACGCAGCGTGGAATTGTTATGTTTTTAGGCAGTGGAGCAACATGGACAAACACTCCTGGATTTTTCAGTTCATAATGTAGGAAGCGTCGTCTTTTAAAAGTTAATATAATTAGATAGTTGTGCTCTCCTCCTTCAAAAGCTGCCCTTCCTAATAGCAAGCTTGTAATACTTTTCAGTACACTGGGTTGTATCCAACACTATCATTCCACTTGCAGAACAAAACTTCCCCCTGCTCTCCCTGTAGGCCCTCAAATTCTGCTTCACGGGGTTGGGGGACCCTCCAGAGCAGATTTTAGGGTTCAGAGAGGAGCAGGAATTCCCACTGCATGAGCAGAACTCCGCCCACGCAGTGTTGGATACAACCTGTGGTTAACCTTGTCATAACTGCTTAGGGGGCTGAAGTTTTTTGGGGGGGTTGCCCTTTAAACATTTTTTTTTTAAGTCTCTTCAAATTCACAACATTTAAAATTCCCCCACAAATACAAAAATTAATCACCAAGTTCAAATTCTGGTGCTTAAACAAACATAAAACTGAAAGCTACACAGTATTTACATTTATGTATTAAAAAAAAAAAATCCTTTCCACAAATGGCTCTGTGGAATAGAAAAGCGTTAAGGGTATATGATCGTGCAATAATTGCACACCTTTGATAGAATTGAAGCAATTGAAAGGAGAAAAGTATCTGCTTGACATTCAGAAATACAACGCACAGTGGTACCTCGGGTTAAGTACTTAATTCGTTCCGGAGGTCCGTACTTAACCTGAAACTGTTCTTAACCTGAAGCACCACTTTAGCTAATGGGGCCTCCTGCTGCCGCCACGCCACCGGAGCACGATTTCTGTTCTCATCCTGAAGCAAAGTTCTTAACCTGAAGCACTATTTCTGGGTTAGCGGAGTCTGTAACCTGAAGCGTATGTAACCCGAGGTACCACTGTACAGGCGAAGACCATTTCACACAGGGGTTCCGTTCTCAGTTCCCGAATGCGCATAACTTTGCCCTTCCCTCTGCCGGATCCAAAAGGACCTACATGTTGGCAATCACGTGTCATTTGGACACACCTAAAATGGTCACGTAGAATCCTGGCCGACAGTTTGACTAGAAATCTGAACCATCGTTTTTCATCCTTGCACGTTTCGGCATTTTCCTTAATTGTACATTTAAAAAAATAAAAATAAAATGAATGTCAAAAATGTTGCCATTTCCTGCCACAGCACTGAGTTTTGTGTTTAATCGAGAGAGAAGGTACCTTCAAAGAAATCAAAGTCTTGCAAGTCATCCGGCAGCCGTGGCAGGACGTCAGAGAAGTCCTCCTGATTCAATTCGAGGTCGTGTGGAATGTCTGTGATTTCATTGGCGATGTCATCTGGCAGCTCATCTGTACTCAGCTCCGGTGTGGAAGGGCTCCTACAAAAACAGGGAAGACAGTCACCCCCGCCCTTTGGTCTGGCACGTGCTGGGCTCTGATCTATTCTGGGATGCATAGGCCCTTTCTCCACCCCACCCCCCTTTTTTGTTTTTTAAACTGTTCCCTCACAAAACTCAACTCTAAATGTATGGAGCTGTTGGAGCTGCCATAGATAAAGCTACTGCAGGATCTGGTATGGCTACAACTAAGATTTATGTCTCTTTTCTACCTCTGCTGGTGCACAAAAGATGGTATGGGATATTCTTGCTGGTGCAAGAACACGGATGGCACACAATCCTATGAATGTTTACTCTCACGCCGTGCTGGGTAATGGCTTTACTATGACAGAAGAAATCACTGCACAAATGTGATTTCCAAGAGGGGCTTAAGCAAGCCTTGAAACTTAAAACAAGTTGCATGCTTCCAATCCTCAATGTTCTTTGGAAAACAGGGAACCCAGGCAGCAGGGATTCCTCCCCCCTGCTTTATCCACTTTTGGCTAAAATATGAGCAGCAAGTGATGATCTGCTGGGATTCCCTAACTCAGATCCTTGAAAAGTCTGCATTGCTCTGAAAGCATAGCTCCATCCCAGGGCCCCAATGGTCTTAGTGGTAGTATTGGTTCCAAGGCGGTTCCCTCATTGCGAGAAGTGAGTTTACAGGGAACCAGACAGAGGGCCTTCTCGGTAGTGGTGCCCACCCTGTGGAACGCCCTCCCTTCAGATGTCAAGGAAATAAGCAGCTATCTTCTTTTTAAAAGACATCTGAAGGCAGCCCTGTTTAGGGAAGTTTTTAATATTTAATGCTGTGTTGTTTTTAACACTTGATTGGAAGCCGCCCAGAGTGGCTGGGGAAACTCAGCCAGATGGGCGGGGTATAAATAATAAATTATTATTATATAAGGAGGATGCCTGACCCAAGGTTCTGGGAGTTGACCTAGAAAATGCACACACACATCTCTCGATCGTAAGAATTAATTGTTATCTCCAGTTTTGAAACCCAGGATATAGTTTTCCCCTGGATTAAAAGTCTGAGAGACCCACTTTTAAACAATCTTCCTTCAAACCATAGTTTGCGGACAAGTGTGAATACATCCACTGACTTGCATAATGTTCTTCCAGCTCAGTTAGTATTTAGACTGGCTTATTAAAGTACTAGAAAGGAGCCATTAAGCCGAGTTCTTTCACACTAATTTGTTCTACAGACTCTTCTGGAAAGATGTGAATCAGTCACTTATTTTTCACTTTTTCAATAATCTGAGACAGTTAAGGGCTGTAAAAAATGCACCATTCTGGAGCAAAAGTCTTCTTACTTGGTATGTCAATTTATTAAGGTAGAAGAGAGCTCTAATGCATGAAAAGTGCCATTACATCAGTAGCAAAGTATATTACGTCAGGTCATAAAGACTGGCCAAAAATGTCCACAAGTTGGTATGATAAATGCCCCCTGGGGACCTGGCCAGGCAGCAAGGCAGAGCAAATTGGAAAACAAACAAGTGATCACTCTGCAAGTGTGCAGAATGAGTGCGCGCAACCTTTCCCCCTCTCTGCCGCCAGCCATAACCCAGCATTGGTGTGAGAGTAAATGTTCATAGGATGATGTGCCATGTAAGACCCACTGTCCTCAAGAGGGCTTGTTTTCAAGCATGTGTGTACAGAACATCGGAGTTGGTTTTCCTATTCGTCATACAGGTAGCGTAGACTATGGCTGGAATTAGAGCTAAGGCAATAGTTCTGTCAGCGCAAGTGTTTTTGCTTGCCAGACAGAATTATATACCCTCTCCTCACCGCCATGTGCTGTTCTGCTGGGGGGGGGGGTTTCCCAATCCTGCAGAGCCAATTTAGTGGGGAGCACAAGGGGAGGAAAGCCCTGTTGTGCGAGCGTCACTCGTTCTGGCTCTTGCTAGCACAACTATTTAGCTGAATCTGGACCAATACTCATTTACTTGGCCTATTCTTTTCCAACACTACGCTGTCAGCTTAGAAAATTAATCATAGCTGGGCTCTGACCGTATATGGGAGATCTCCATTGGCAGTGAGACACTGGTGGGCATACTGAGGTTTCCTTGGGGCACAGCAGGAGGAATCGGTTTTTGGGGACGTCGTGGCCCTCGCCTTCTCTTTTTCTTGTGTTTTTTGGTAAGAGCAGGTGGCTTTGTTTTTTTCCTGGGTTTCCTCTGCTGCTGGTGCTGGACTTTGCGGGAGCTGTCTCCTCTCAAGAAGTTATCCTTTTCAGAACGAGAATGGAAAACACCAACACTGAACTGAGAAGCACTTTTCTTTCCTTGCCATTCCAAAGTGTGAACATCTCTATGGCATGCAAGTCGGAACAGACAACGCCTGACACCTTGAAAAGGGAACCATGATGCTAAGCAAACCGTTCTGCCTTTTGTACCACAGACGGGAAAGAATCCAAAACACATTCAGACCAAACTATTTCCAAATTCAAATCATACGAGTTTAACATGAGGCCGCCAGGAAGTTTAGGATGGCACTGAATCAGAAAGAATGTTCATCAGAGTTGAAGGCGAGAAATGGTCAATTACTTCTCTTTGAAAACGGCTTGGAGCATCGCAATGCCATGTCACCAGGTATCACAGAATTACACACACGAATGCAAAATACAGTGGTGCCTCGCAAGACGAAATTAATTCGTTCTGCGAGTTTTTTCGTCTTGCGAGTTTTTTCGTCTTGTGAAGCACGGTTTCAATTTTTTCAAAAAAATCTTCAAAAACCTCAAAAAAGGCTACCACACCGCGTGCTATGAGTTGCTCCTCGAAGTCAAGTCGCAACTGCACCTCTTCAAGCAATGCACCCTGTATTACTGTAACGGTTTTAAGAAAAAGGAAACAAACTTGCAAGACGTTTCCGTCTTGCGAAGCAAGCCCATAGGGAAATTCGTCTCGCAAAGCAACTCAAAAAACGAAAAACTCTTTCGTCTTGCGGGTTTTTCGTCTTGAGAGGCATTCGTCTTGCGGGGCATCACTGTACAGAGAAGGTATTACTTCCAAATGAGTTAACAACATTCGGATAATGTAATTTTTCTTAGATGGCGTTTGCCTTCTTGATGTTGCAAGGTTTCACAAGGTGCTATAATTCAAAGGGGTGGATCTTCAAAGTGGATTACATCGGGGTGGCTCCCAAGGGCTGTATTCCCTGTGGCCAAGCTTCCATGGGCAGGACAAAAATGAAAGTGAGTGTGGGTAGAGCATATTGGTGGGGAGGGACCCACAATACACAAACACACACACACCCTAACCTTCCCCCGCCCCTTGCCAAAGTTAGATATGAAAAGCCCCCCGTTAGAGCCAACTGGACCTCCATGAAAATGCCCCATGTTGCATTTAGGCTTGAAAATCTCCTATTGATGGTGCGCAGAGGCAAGGAGGAAGCACAGTGGGTATGACGGGGAGCTTCCATGGGTTGAATTTAGCCCACAGGCTAGATCCCCACACGTAGTTTAGGGCAGCCAAAAAACTGAGCTTTGTGCCAGTAAGAAACTGTCTGATGACAAAATGTGAGTGTCATCTGGGAATTAGCCAAATTCAGATGCCAGCTATTAGCTTGAGGGCTATGGTGTATGACTCTTGTGCCTAGCAAAAGGGAAAGGTAATGTTCAAACCTTTGTGAGGCGGTTTGGAGATTGTCTGGGGAAAGGAGTTAAAATGAGGAGAGCTTCCGTTTCACTGACCGACGCAACTGGCAAAAATAAACTGTGTGAACAAACTGAAATGTTCATGTTTCCACCTTGACAAGGCATTCCAGGAGAATAACCTATAAGCCTATGAGAGGTATCCCAACTAACTTCATCCATCAGTGCAAGGATTTCTGCTTGTGCAACAGAACTCCCCCTACCCAGTCTTCTCCCACTGTGTACTCCCTGAATCCGCCTGGGGGCTACCCAGAATCAGGAATGAAGATTTAGGGAGGGGGTGGGAAGAAGTTCCACAGTGCAAGCTGAAATCCTGGTGCTGGTGGAACAAATTAGTTGGATACCGCCAACAGTCTCTCTATGTTCTCACGGCAGACATGACATCACAAAAGAGGACAGACATCATTCTTAAATGCGATCCTATGCACCCTTAACTGGGACTGTTAAATTCAGGGAGACTCTGTTCCGCATAAGCTTGCATAGGATGAGCGAAGGAGGATCTTTGAAACATTTCCCCATAATCCTTTAGATGTGTTCAAAGAAAGGCTGCTGATATAGCATTTTTCTTTGGTTATCATCAAAGCTCACCTTACAGCTTTCTGAAGGGGCCAGAAGCGAAAGCTGCATGCTGATGTCATTCCCCGGCTTGCTGGAAATACTGCTGCTGCTGTTCTTCAAGTATTCTGACTAGCAAATATACTTACCATTTTTTTGGCGTGTTCTTCACACAGGGGGGTCTGGTGCGTAATGTCAAAAACTGGCACAGAGCATTGCTGTCCGTCTGCAAACTTGGCTGTGCAGCTTGAGAAAAGCTGCTGGGACCGGTTCAAGAGGATATCTGGGTTTCTCTGTAGTCAGGAATAACACACAAAGGAGGGGCAGGAGACTGCATGATTTACACAGAGAGAGTAAGATACTGAACCTTGAATTCTATTCCCAACTAATATCTCACTTTGGAGCAATTCCTTAAATGTCATTCATGCTGCAGCTACAGAAGATGCAAAGTCAACAGTTAAAAGCAAAAAAACCAACACACACACACACACACACAACAACCTGCCATCAAGCAGAATTACTAATGATTTTATAATTTATTAAGATGGGTTTATGGAAGCAGCTATTTTGCTAATGAGTTTGTGTGTCTTGTTTCCTGGAGATCCTTAATCAATACTGTGATTTTTGGGACAATGCAATCAATAGATTTGCTTTCTAACCAACTAATGAGAATCCATACACAAATATTAAAAAGAGGATTTCTGTCATCCACATATGAGAGCACATAAAAATTGTAAATTTCTTCCTGCCTTTTTGACAGATGACGCACAGAGGAAGTCAATACAGTGAATCCTGATTCAAAATTATTTTGTTCAGAAGAGATATATAAACTCAATGCGTTTTTAGTCTCTTTCTCATCTATTCCTCCCCTCCCTAAATCAGCAGTAGGCATTTTCCTTCAACATGCAAGTTTACATGATGCAATTTCCTGAGATACCCACTTCACTTGTTTTCTCCCTGTGTTTATTCACCACCATCGTTCCCGCCATTGAGGGACACGCTCAACTTTCTGCTTAAGGCAACCTTTCTCAACCTTGGGTCCCCAGACTCCCATCATACCTAGCTAGCAGTTGTAGCCCAATAACATCTGTAGACCCAAGGTTGAGAAAGGCTGACTTGAGGCATTGGTGGGGCACCTACAGCCTTACACTGTTGAAATTCTAGAATGGCCAGTGTTCAGGGATGGTGGCCACTGTAGCCCAGCAGAAGCTGCAAGGTTCCTGGTTCTCCTTCAACTCTTTAAGAAGCAGTCACAGCCCTAGTCACTCACACAGGGCAGGAGTGGGGAGAGCAAGGCTGAGCTTTCGGCCCTACCTCTGATGCTGCAAATTTTTCTTTCCACAGCTGCCTGCAACTTTGTGATGAGGAAGACCAATGCACAAGTCCCTGCTTCCACGTAGGGGCTCTGCATGTTCTGGTCAGCAGCACAATCAGGTGTCCTGAACATGGAGAAACCTCTACTCACCATGAACAGAAACTTCTGCATTGTTTTTTCTTCTCACACAACCAAGCACAACTGGGAGAAAGAAGATACGATGTTGGGTGTGGAACTAAAGGCATGGCTTAATGAGAGCAACGCCTGAATGGAGCCAATGCGATCAAGGGAATGATCATTATTGCAGGTATACAGGGAGCATCATACCCAGGGACTCCTTAGTGGGATAAACACGGGGCAGTGATTTAGGAGAGACGCACTGGTGAATTATCTCTATGGCAGCTCAAGCAAGGGCCTACGCTGCCTCCTTGTGGCAGTGCTGGCTCATTACAAATGGAGCTTCCTGCCTGTGAGCTCAGTGGCCTTGTGTGGTGTCCAAACCCACAGAGGCTGCAAGATAAGATATGTCAGTGGACTAACTCACATAACTCGCCAACTCTAGTCTGCAAACAGCCGTACCAAGACTGGCACTTGAAAGCATAGTCAATATTCTGCATGGCACTTTTCTTTCAAACGCTCTGCACTTGTCGTATCTACAAAAGTCCTTTCATTGATCCCTTTATAATTCTCAGTTCTTCCTCAATGCCTTAGACTAGAGGAACCTTAAAATTAAGGCTAAAGTTGCAATTAGGAAGGGGCAGGGGGAAAAGCTGCAAGAGATTTAAGTGAACTTTGAAGCTGAGGGAGGAGTGGGAATGAGAAAACTCATTAAAATTCCGAGCTTGCAGCATTTAGAAACTTTCCTTTCTTTCCTCCTGCAATTTCACGTACTCGTGCTCATTGTAAGGGCTTCTAACATAAGGACTTTCATTTTCCCTGATCTCTGCCTCTTCTGTCGATACTGCAGAATTATAGGTCTTTCATCTCTTATTCATTCTAGGTCATTGTACTACCTCACAGTGCAGATTTCACACCCTGCTGAAACCTTTATAGCAATTTAAGCTGTACAGTGGTACCTCGCAAGACGAATGCCTCGCAAGACGAAAGAGTTTTTCGTTTTGTGAGTTGCTTCGCAAGACGAATTTCCCTATGGGCTTGCTTCGCAAGACGGAAACGTCTTGCAAGTTCGTTTCCTTTTGGATTTTCAATGCATTCCTATGGGAAACCGTGCTTCGCAAGACGAAAAATTCGCAAGACGAAAAAACTCGCAGAACGAATTAATTTCGTCTTGCGAGGCACCACTGTATGATAATTCAGACTTTCTGCAGAAACTGACAAACCAACCTCACACAGGGCAATGCCAGGTGCATGTGTCCAGTACAGGGACATTTCTAGAAAGCTGTTTGTTCCTCCACCCTGAAGGTGTACCATAGCCCTAACCAAACAATTCTGACCTGATGCCAGTGATTCGAAGTGGGGACAGATTCAAATGCTGGCTAGGCCCCAGGATTCTACCTTTGTTTCAGGGTCTCTCTGCCGCTTCAGAGCTGACACAAGTGCACAGGCTTAAGAATGGATTTACCAAGTCTCTCCCATAAGTTGCTAGCTTGAAAAGAAGAACCAGGCCAAGAAGGTAGCAGGAGCGCCCTCAGAAATACTCATTGGAAATGGGAGATGGCCATAATTAATTACAGTCGTACCTTGGTTGTCAAACACATTGGTACTCTGACGTTTTGGCTCCCCAACACCATAAAACCCGGAAGTGAGTGTTCCGGTTTGTGAACATTTTTTGGAAGCCGGACATGGCTTCCACGGCTTCCAATTTGAGTGCAGGAAGCTCCTGCAGCCAATCAGAAGCTGTGCCTTGGTTTTCGAACCGTTCCGGGAGTCGAACGGACTCCCAGAACGGATTACGTTCAACAACCAAGGTATGACCAAGGAAGCTCCTGCAGCCAATCGGAAGCTGTGCCTTGGTTTTCGAACCGTTCCGGGAGTCGAACGGACTCCCAGAATGGATTCTGTTCAACAACCAAGGTACGACTGTATTACATTTTTAGGAACAGGAACACAGTGAAAAAGATACGTTGAAAACAATGTTTAGTGAACGGAAGAGCCTTGCTGGTGCATGGTTCGCCCTTTGTTGTCCCTCTACATGGTGACACATCCCTCTGCTTCACTTGGCTTGTGCTGAAAGAAAAGGACACCCAAGAAGATTAGCACCTAAAAAACGGAGAAGGCTGGGATATAATGTGCGTGCTGTACTGCCAGGTGTGTGTGGTCCCTCACCTGTTCCGAGTACACGAAGCTCTTCGGAGCTCTCGTAGCAGCTGCCCAGCGCACTCCGGCTCTCGGCTGGCTGCCCGCAGCAAGGCTTTCCGGAATGTATGTTGGCATTTCCTCTGGCGAGATTCTGCCCGCTCCAGCCGGCAGAGGTGCTTGTATTTCTGCTGAAAGTAAGTGCAAAGTTGGGAAATGCGGGAGCTCCTGCCGCTGGCGTCAGCGTCGTCATCTGGCCTGTGAGATTGCGTGGGGAGGGAAAAGCAGGTGATCAAGTGGCTGGCACTCAAAACCCAACATCATCATTCCGCAAACTTGCACTACTGCTATCTTGTCTGTACAGCGCAAGTCCCGAGTACCTGAAGAAATGTCAGTTTCCACGTCAACTTCCCTGAGCTCTGCATTCATTTTTGGGATGGTTTCCCCACACATACATTGGCTGGCATCTAGGGAGAAGGCTGCGGCACCCCTTTTATGAAAACATCCCCTCTGACAATCTAGCTGACACTAGAGTCCACGCTAATGTCTTTCTATTTTCTGAGGCTTCTACTATTTGAAAAGTTTTACCGTCCTATTTTTTTGCTGCTTCTGCCCTTCATGATTTAACTGGGGTGTTTTACTGAATTTGTCATTAATTTTGACTTGGATCCGGAGTTGTCCCTCCATATATGGAGCTTGAGCACCACTTTTCATGCTTTTCCAAAGGGTTTCCCCTCCCTCTGGAGCAAATTCTCAGGGGGAGGGAGTCAAGGGGAAGAAAACTGACTCCCCCTTCCTCACACCAGCAGGAGCATCCTGTAAGCAAAGTTCTGCTGATGGGAGAATAGTATCTAAGCACTTACATTTTTTTATTGTCACTATAAAATTGTAATTATTGTAAATATACCTTAAGAATTACAGAACTGATGGGAAATATAGAAAATAAATGGAATCGTACCCCCCACCCACTATGAACAAACTGTTGTTGTGGTGCAATGGCCATACTAGTGAAATACCACAAGTTGTGATACCATGCAACACAGCAGTTCTTGTGACCAATCCTCTGTTTCTTTGCCATGGCAGCTGCTCCTAAGAATGGACTATAAAATGATGCTTCTGAGATAGGCAAAGCAAACACCTCCACCGAGGACAAGATCACTGATCAAGTTTTGTTATTCTGATTCCGGCCTCTGTTTCTACATTATACATATCTTTTTTTCAGGTTCAACGGACAAAGTCCACCAGCCATTTCTAAAATGTTTGGAGTAAAAATTCAGTGCACGAATGAACTTCCTCTTATGCCACGGGGCTTCACCACCCTCTCATCTCACCTGCAACCCACTGTGTACCCCCAAAACCTGCGCCAGAGAGCCCCCAGTGCTCCAGAGAAGATTTTGGAGGGTTTCAGGGGAGGACGGTGAAGTCAAGTGACACAAGTAGACCTCCATTCTGCTTACAGACAGAAAGCTTTGGGGATACAAACCCAAGTTTTTCTGAATACCCTCTTCCACTGTACCTACCCTCACCTACAGGTAACAGTTTAAAAAACAGCCTGATCTCTGCATTATTTCATATTCTGCACTTAATTACTCAGTCTTCTGTTCTGAGTTGTATGCACTTACTCATTCCTGTCATATCTGAGGGCTTCCCGAATAGACCATGCAACCTGGTATGGCGAGGTTTGTTCCAGTTCTTCCAATTCTTCTCCACTGTCTTCTGACCAGTCCAACCCTGGAAAAGCATGGAAGGAAGTGAATATTTGTATTTTTAGCCAAATAAAAAGCACTGTTGTGATAGCACAACAGAGGGCCTCATCATAAACGGGAACCTCATTATAAGTGCATGAATTAGAACAAAAAGAGATGTACCACGCCTATGGAAGTTTCCCAAACAGCTGCCATCTCACCCCACCCTGTCAAGGTTATATGGCCACATGTAGGGTTGTTTTTCTCACATATGCCTAAATGGCTGTCACATGGAAGATGTAGCAAGCATGTTTTCTCCTGCTCTGGAGGGTAAGACCTGAAACCATGGATTCAAGTTACAAGAAAAGAGATTCCGACTAAACGTCAGGAAGAACTTTCTGGCGGTAAGAGCTGTTCAACAGTGGAATGGTCTCCCTTGGGAGGTTGCGGACTCTCCTTCCTTGGAGGTCTCTGAGCAGAGACTGGATGGACATCTGTCTTGGATGCTTTAGCTGAGATTCCTGCATTGCAGGGGGTTGGACTAGATGAGCCTTGTGGTCCCTTCCAACCCTATGATTCTTAATCACCACTGCCCTGCAAGGCTAGCTATGCCCCTTCTTCCCCTGGCACTAAGTCCTGGTCTTCTGTGGTCAGGCTTACTTGCACAGACATACTCAGCCACTGTGGGGCATGGGGATCAAAGGTCCACATCTGAGGTGGAAAAGAGTAATGTGCGCTAGGCTAATTTCTGGCCATAGGTCAGTGAACAGCGAAGCATATGAAGATAATCTGGATGGAGGGGTCCGTATAAGGAAGAAGGCAACACATTGGTGCTTCATTATTTTTTGTCAGTTAGGTAAAGGGACCCCTGACCATTAGGTCCAGTCGCGGACGACTCTGGGGTTGCGGCGCTCATCTCACTTTATTGGCCGAGGGAGCCGGCGTACAGCTTCCGGGTCATGTGGCCAGCATGACTAAGCTGCTTCTGGCGAACCAGAGCAGCGCACAGAAACGCCGTTTACCTTCCCGCCAGAGCGGTACCTATTTATCTACTTGCACTTTGAGGTGCTTTCGAACTGCTAGGTTGGCAGGAGAAGGGACCGAGCAACGGGAGCTCACCCTGTTGCGGGGATTTGAACCGCCGACCTTCTGATCAGCAAGTCCTAGGCTCTGTTACATATCCATAATTGTCATTACACTTTCTGCTACTTCGGATTGCCTAACCACCAATGTTTGTACCATAGCAACAATCTGAATATCCTAAATTCCTGGTTTATGTACATGACAAAAGCTAGAACTGGTCCTCTAGACTTACAGCCATGCTCCCTTTTTTCGTGTTCTTAAAAGAACTGCCTTGAAAACAAAATGGCAAACCATGTGATTTTAATAGTAGTAACGAGCTGAATTTTACGGGACTTAGCTATGAGAAAGGATGCAGAAACACCTGCCCATGGCCTAGTTTGCCCTTCTGCATTAAAAAGCAGACACTCGCAAGGATACAGTTTACTCAAGTACTTCACTTGCGCACTGTTACCAATCTACGGCAAATTTACTGGACCGAATGATCAGAACGTTCAGGTACCATTAATTCTCCACTTACCTAAATGCGGAAACAGGTCAGCATCCAGCTGCTGTTTCTGAGTGCACAGTTTCACCAGTCTCTGTAGCCGGCTCATACAGGATGAGTGCGGAGAGAAGGCTGTGGCTTTCATAAGGATCCTGTCCACCCCGGGCGGGTCTGGGCCAGGAGCCCTAGTAGGGTGCAGGGGGGGCAGCGGTCTTTTGTTAGACAGCTGCCTGGCTTGTGCTATAGTGTACGTGGTGGGAGCCACTCCCTGCACTGGTAGGCTGGTGTTCTGAGGTTGAGGTGACTTGCAGACTAAGCCCTGCTGTAGCCCTGCTGGCTTTAGAGAAGTTGGTAATGGCGAGAGATGGGAGTGCTGTTGCTGCTGCTGCTGCTGCTGCAAAGGTGCAGGAAGAGGGCTAAAGTGCTCTTGGCGAACTTTCAGAATCTCTGTTTCTCTCTGGCGCTGCCGGTTCTGGGCTAATTTGCTCTGCAGCTTCTTCTTCACCGTTGCCCCTTTCTTGAGATCTTCATCTTCCTCGTTGAAAGCAAAGGGGTCTTCCAGTTCTGCTTCCAAGTAGTGGAGAGGAAGCCTGGCACCCGGTGGAGAGAGGGACATCCCGTCTAGTCCATTGGGCATCTTCAAGGCCAGCGGAGGAACTGTCAGGCTGAAGGCCACAGAATCCATCTGGTGCCGAACTTTTACCTCCTCGACGGGGTCATTCTTTTTCTTCCTCTCCTTTTTCGGTAAAAAGCCAAGTACCTGCAGATGACTGTTGCAGTACCTTTGAGAAGCAAGACCATCAGAATTATTTTCTCCTCGCCAGCTCTTAAGCACGGTGAAACTAGAAACTAGAATTCATGAGAAAGTAGCTTAAATGGCATAAGTATATTTTTTTTGTGAGAAACCTCAATGGAGAACGTTTAAATGAATATCTCATAGCCAATTATAAACTTTCAAATATAAAGATATTATTTGAACTGCATATTACATTATCTATATTATAACTATAGATACAATGTACTTCCAATTGAACTGCACATCAGAACATTTGCAGAATTACATTCTGCATTTCAGTGGAGTCCATATATGGAAAAACTGTGACATGAAAGCATAGCAGATATCTTTCAAGGCGATCTCTTTTCTTACCCTAATAAAAATAACTGTGTTAGGTTCTACACGTTTCTGTGAAAAGCTTGCAATCCCTAACACTTCAATCTTATGCTTGAAAAGGATGCAAAGCAGAAATTTTATTAGTAGCCCAAGTGATAGAAAATGGTTTAACAAAGAACAAGAGTGGGTGCTTTTTTTCTTTGAGAATTATGAAGTCAAAGAGCAAAGAGGGAATATGTTTTTTGGCTTGAGGCAAACAATTTTAAAGCTGGAAATATTGGACTTGGGAACAGGAAGACCAGGGTTTAAATCCTCACTCCGCTATGAAACTCACTGGGTGTCTTTGGGCTACCCTCTTTCAGTCTAAGCTTCCACACACAGCTGTTGAGAAGATAAAAAGTAGATAACCTGTACACTCCAGCCAGCCTTGGATGGAGGGTGGGTCGTTGTTATAATCATCACTGTGGAACACTTAATGGGGAAATACATTAATATTAGGCCAGTATATTAGCTGTGCTGCTTTCAGCACCCACTAACAACTTTTTTTGGTTAGGCAAGCATGCCCCCAAACATATTTTTAATATGTAGTTTTTATGTGCATATTCCTTGAGAAAAATGCTGATTTTATATATGCTTCAATACATTTTACATCAATTTATTTTTAACATTTTATTTTATTGGTAGTTTAAATATACATTTTATATTGTTTTAAGTACACCACTTGGAGGCTGGGGTCAGTTAAGCGGTATAAAAATCTTTTTGAATAAATGAACAGATTACACATTGCCTTCACCTCATTCCAATTTTCAGCAGAAGGTGCAATTTAAAGTTCAATATTAAAAACAGCTTAACACTGACGCTAACTGGGGACCTGAAGAATTCAGATTTCCCAATTTCAGAATTTAGGGTTCTGGCTTACAGATATAATTCATTTCTTTAAAACTGTGTTTCTTTTGAATCCTTTTCAAAATCCTTTGAATCCTTTTGAGTAGGAAGCCCCCGCTTCAATCACAAATCTTAAGGAAAAATAACTCTGAAGGGAAAAACACCGTCTTTTTATACATCTCCAGTTATGAATAAGTCCACAGTCTGCTTCTTTAATGTGTTAAACTGATACGCTTATGCTGCTTTCTTCTTGCTGTCCTCCATTTTCCAATGTTGTGACATGATGCTTCACACCTAGTTAACTTCCCGTGCCTTCCCAAAACACGCATGTTAGAAAGTTATACACTTCATCTTGTGAGCCACAGCAAAGCATTCCTACTGCCTATCGCATCAGCCTCCCCAGAAAAACTGGCAAATTATGCTAATTCAAAGCCCAAAGTATTCGCTGCTAACTAAAGAATAATCTGAACAGAAAAATATAGCGGGGGGGAGGGCTGCTTTGGAACTGCATAGGAGGTGGCACAGAGGGCTGCTGGATAAAAGAGGAAACAGTGAAAATCATTTCCTCCCATTTTATTCATGGGAACCTCCATGGGACCAGAGAGCACTTCCATCACTAGAGGGCCACACCTGGATACAACCCTAGGAAGGCAAGGCTGGAATTCTACTTGGGAGCAAAATTCCTTCATTTTGACAACCTGCAATGTCATATTAGAAGAACTGCTGCCAGGTGTCTACAGAAACCACTGTGTGCTCAGCAGACAGCGTTTCTCCAGTGATTTCCGAAGTCACTTTTATTAATGTTGGCTCACTGTCAAAACTTGTGGTACTCTGCCTCACAAGTTATGCAAATGGAACAACTGGGCAAATACTGCCTCAGTCTGCATACTTTATTCTGCTCCTATTCATGAGGGGCAATGAGATATGAAGGGCTGCGCTACAGTTTCACCCCACAGATACTCTACATCAGGCATCCCCAAACTCGGCCCTCCAGATGTTTTGGGACTACAACTCCCATCATCCCTGACCACTGGTCCTGTTAGCTAGGGATGATGGGAGTTGTAGTCCCAAAACATATGGAGGTCCGAGTTTGCCTATGCCTGCTCTACAGAGAGGCCCTGTTTTTAAAGATTTCATCAGGTAATATCCAAGCACTTCAAAGAACACTTAATTCTCTCTTCTGCACAACTAGTGGAGATGTGGTACTTGCCCACTTTCGCATCCGGCACACCAAACACTGAAGTGCCCTGATCTAGTTGTCTTAGCAACAAGGGACATATTCCTTTCCATCCTCCTTAGCAAGAACAATATGGTCAATTGCCCTCAGTGACGTTGCCATGTAAACACATCTGATTATGGCACAGCACGACATTATCAAATTCGCATGTGATTCCTGATTGGCTGGGATCATATGGCGAAGGATAATTTAGAAACAGGGGGTGGATTTCAACATATATGTACAGGGTCTGCATATGCAATGGGACTCCCTTTCCCCCTTATTCCCCAACGCATCCCTTAAAACTATTCTGGGTTTTTCTCAATGCTCCAAAGATTGGGGGGAGGGAGAGAGGGGGAAAGTCTCACTGTGAGAGTGGACCTTATTCTGCACACACAACAACTTAATTATACGCCACCCAAAGTGATAAAATGAGGCAGCGAGGGAGGATCCAAGTGGTCTCCCATTCAACCTGTTGACCAGATGTTGACCTGGGGAGCTTCTATCATGTGCCTCCAAACCATGCTTCAGGCCACCCCTGAGATTGTCGCTGCTGTTTTCAAAACTGTGCGCCCATTACTTACCTACGGTCCTCAGATTTGGGGATGGGGTTGGTGCAGCGTTGGCTATTGTACTTGGCCACATATTCACATTGCTTGAAGGGAGCAGTCTTATCCTCCAGAACGTGCCTGATACAGAAGGCGTAGCCGTTAAGTCGCCTCTGCTTGCACAGTTTGGGGCTGTACGAGCACAACGGCTTATTGTCAACCTCAGAAAAGTGTATGTGTTTGCCTTCATACATCACGTGACTCTTTTCCTTGTGAACATCAGCTGAAACAAGACCCACCACCGCCAAAACAACAAAGAGTTAAAAACGAGTTTCAAAGTCAACGAAGAAGATAAAAGTTTTAGTTCTAATCTATCTGAAGAGGACCAGTTACCCAATTTTAAATCTTCTCTACCATGTCAATGTCAGCAAAGAGCCCCGCAGACACCACTATCCCGGAATGATGACGAGTCAAGATGAAGCAGATTGTCTAAGAGGAATAACACAGGGAAATTGTGTTAATGAAAATGTATGAAACTGCTCACAGAGCGCAAATGAATCAATTTGATCTCCCCAGAAAAATCATCAGCTGGAACACCAACTTAACAATTTGAATGTGAAATACTCTTTGCACAGGATTATCTCTAAGGATATTATCTCCATTTTCTGAAGAATTTGCTATGGTGAATTCTACCAGCAACGTATGGGAAAGCGTTCACTGATGTCCTCCCTTCTAGGTACACTGCAAGTTTTAGAACTGTTTTAGCTACAGCCACTTTAGCGCCAAATCATGGCAGAAAGCTGGCATCATACGCAAAATGGGGGTAAGCAAATCCCAACACCCTCTGCCAAACCTTCTGGAAAAGCAACGTTGTAAAATTAGCAAAGATATATCATAACTGTGACAATCTATGTTGGAAATGTAAAGAAAAGGAAGGAACCTTTTATCATATGTGGTGGACCTGTCCCAAGGTGAAAGACTTCTGGGAAAAGATTTATAATGAATTGAAAAAAATGTTGAAATATACATTTATAAAGAAACCAGAGGCCTTTCTTCTTGGAATAATAGGTTTGGAATTGCCCAAGAAAGATGGTAAATTATTCTTGTATGCCACAACTGCTGCTCGTATTTTGCTAGCTAAAAAGTGGAAAACCCAAGAATTACCAACGATAGAAGAATGGCAGGTGAAGATGATGGATTTTTCAGAGCTAGCCGACCTAACCGAAAGAGTCCGCGACCAGAAGGAGGAGGAGTATCAGGAAGATTGGATTAAATTTAATGATTATTTAGTTAAATATGTTAAGTTAAATTAACTGAAAACAGCTTGCAGATACTTAATTGGCATAGGATTTTATTTAAGTGATGAATTAATATGTTTAATTTCATAATGTGAAGCTCTAAGGATGTTAATGTTTAAGTTAAATTTTATAAGAACTGTGATTTGGAAAACCGTTAAAAGGACATGCAATGAAATTCAACCAAGGGGAAACGAGGAAGTCACTTAACAATGTTAATAAGAGTAATTTTTAATAAGGCTATGATTTTTGTTTGTTTGTCTTATGTGTTTGTTTGTTTATAATGTTGTGAAAACTAATAAAAAAATTTGGAAAAACAAAAAGGAAAAGCAACGTTGAGAGAGAGCAATATGGAGCAGGCTGACACTAGGTAAGGGCAGGGGCACTAAATACTTTCCCCACCCATCGCTTCTCAGCTTTAAATCTCCCCTTCAGCTGAATTTCCACCTTCAGAGATCAAAACATGAGTCTATGCTTGACATTATATTCAAATTGTTGCTTTTTAAGGTATTGGTGCAAAACCCAACTATCTATCATTACAAGTGAGCAAAAGAACTTGGCATGAAATTTGGACTGATAGCAAAACGTGTATCCCGAGGTACAGTTAAGCTCCTATTTTACACTTAAATAATAATCTGGTTTCCACACAAAACATGCAGCTGGTGACATTCCTTTTGCAAATCAGCAGCTCGGAGGTTCATAAGAGGTTTAAAATTATGGTCACAAATCGACAAACACCTTGCTCCAAATATGTTTTGACTCAGCAATGTCTATGGTGGCTTGGCCATGTCCACAGAATGGAAGATGGCATGATCCCCAAGGTTAAGTTTCTTGGGGAGCTGGCTTCAATCAGCTGGCCCGTTGGCAGACCAACTGTGTTACAAAGATGTCTGCAAACATGACATGAAAGCTGACAATATTAACACCACCGCGTGGGAATCCCTTGCAGACGACCGCAACACCTAGAGACCATCTGTCAGGTCATGTATCCACAGCAGTTACCGGAGGAGCAATGACAGCTGGGAGGAGCGCGAAAGGAAGAAATGCCATGGTGCATCTGCAGAAGCACAACTGGACGCCTTCATCTGCTCCAGCCGCAACAAAACTTGTCTCTCCCACATCGGTCTCTACAGCCACAGCAGGTGCTGTAATTCTGATGGTTTAACTTCACCCCCAAAGACGCACTCTTCCATTATCTCTTGAGACAGGCGGATGCCAACCAACCAACCCCACTTGCCCAACCAGGCTTCCTGCCTCCCAGACAGGGTTTGAAATTAGCAGGGTGCCAGGCGCACTTTGCGCCTAAAGATTCTCCATTCGTGAGCACCTCCAAAAGTCTGGGTGCCATTTTTTTAGAAGGGTCGATGGAAGAAGATTGGAAAAAATTTAAAATATATCTTCAGAAATACTGTAATATAAAAGAATGTTAGAAAAGGTTGGAGAAGAATATTAGACCGTATTGGCAGACAGAGTATAATGGAATAAGTAAATATGATTCGAATGTTAAAATAAGTAAATGAAAAGAAGGTTAGAAGGATTTGCTGGAGATACGATTCAAACTAGAATACAAAGCAGAGAGGTGAGAGGAAGTCATGGAAATAAGTAAATGGGAAGACGATTCTAATGGTTTAATTTGATTTTTTGTTACTTTTTTATTGTGATTTTCTGTCTTTTGTATTTTTCTTTGTACTGTTCGTTTTTTTTGTAAGATGTATGTGATTTGTTTTTCTTTTTCTACTTTTTTCTTTTTCTGTAATTTTAAAATTGGAATAAATATTCTTAAAAAAAAAAAAAAAAAGTCTGGGTGCCATTTTTTGTGTCTGGCTGACACTCAAGGATTACTGAAATGTATGTGCTTTGAAGCCTCCAAGTATATGTTAAAGATAGACAATATGTTAAGCAGTTTAACAATAGAGAGTAGAGTGTTTTGAACACTGAAGTATGGTGCCAATATTTTTACTGTAAACACCAAATTACACTTATGTATTAACAATTTCTGCTAAAAATGTGAGAGTAACAATGTGACTCTTATGTGAATTGTGTATTAGTTCATGCTTATCAAAATAATAAATAAATAGTGTTGCCGACCCACCCCCACCCCCAAATGGCAACTAGACATTCTGTTTTGGTGCCCACAACCCAGGTCCCAGGATCCCAGCCGGCACCATGTAACACCGGTCTTGAAAGACCTACATTGGCTCCCAGTACGTTTCCGAGCACAATTCAAAGTGTTGGTGCTGACCTTTAAAGCCCTAAACGGCCTCGGTCCTGTATACCTGAAGGAGCATCTCCACCCCCATCGTTCTGTCCGGACACCGAGATCCAGCACCGAGGGCCTTCTGGCGGTTTCCTCATTACGAGAAGTGAGGTTACAAGGGAAACAGACAGAAGGCCTTCTCGGTAGTGGCTCCCACCCTATGGAACGCCCTCCCATCAGATGTCAAGGAAATAAGCAGATATCCTATTTTTAAAAGACATCTGAAGGCAGCCCTGTTTAGTTTTTAATATTTAATGCTGTATTGTTTTTAACACTCAATTGGGAGCTGCCCAGAGTGGCTGGGGAAACTCAGGCAGATGGGCAGGGTATACATCATCATCATCATCATCATCATTATTATTATTATTATGCTCCTAGCTTTTTTTATCCCAGTTTCTAACACTGCATTCTGATGCTCTCGGTATCTGACCCATCCACATACATGGAGTTGCAAGAATGCTCCATACAACTGATGTTTCCCTCAACCTGCTGCCATCTCATGCCCCCCCTTTTACCTTCCTTCACTGCTACTCTCTCACACGTCGGAAAAGGGAAGAAGGGTCAGACATCCTCTTATTTTTGAATAGTAAACAAGCAGAGCATTGTTTGGGATAGTTCGGAAAACTGCTCGCACTTTGTCAACACAGGTTGACATCGAAGCCTCCTCTCAACTCATAGCTTAAAATGCAGCATTAAGATATTGAAGCATTAAAGTGTTAAATGCAGCCTGATCACATGAGGAGCCAGGCAGCAGAGAATGACTCTGAAAGAAGAATGAGGGGCGGGAATCAATCTGGCTTTATTGGCCGAGGGCCAGGTGGAACAACCTGTCTTACAGGTCATGTGGCCAGCGATCAGATCCTGCAAGGCCCTGGTCTCATGAGGCAGAGCGTCCACCAGGCAGCAGCGCACTGGAAAGCCCTGGCTCTGTTGAAGCTAATCTAACTTCCTGCCAGAGCCGGTACTCTAGGGTGTTGCTATCTATGCACCTTGACGTGCTCTCAGAACTGCTCAGGCATCCTCATGTCTGAGCAGGGACCGAGCAACGGGAGCTCACTCGGTCGCGGGGATTCAAACTGCCGATCTTCTGATCGGCAAGTCCTAGGCTCTGTGGTTTAACCCACAGTGCCACCTGTGTCCCTTATGCAGCGTTACCAGGGTCCAAACTGGAGACTGGACAAGTAAGCTACGTAGGGGTGGTCTGGAGCAAAAGCTGGAAGGGGAACTCTGGTCCACTGTTGCCAAGCAAATGACACATGTTCCCTGGTCACACAGCAGGTGGGAGGCAGCATTTAAAGGCTACTGATCAGCCAGGCCAGGTAGGATTCCTTCAGAGGATGCAAGGAATAAAGAAAGCTCAGGGGTGGCTTTAAAAAAAAAACTCCCTGTCTTGATGTCAGCAGTGAGCACCCTGGACCAAAAATCCTGCACACCTTTCTGAGTTGTGTGGAATGGCCTTAAGTGAGCAGGGCTGGGTAACTAAGAGCGGAAGAAGTCAAGCTGGTTGGCAGCAGCTGCAAGAAGTGGAGGAGGGGGGTGCAGGTGTGCCGTCAAGCTTCCCAAAGGATGGAAGGCAAAGCCCCAAGAGCCTTGGGGTGGTTTTGCTACAAGCCAACTCAACTGCAGACAGCCAAACAACACGGAAGAATGTAATCCTCTATGCCAGCACAAGGGATCACCTCTACTCTCATGCTGCAAATTCCTGGTGCCATTCTCACAGGATGGTACTTGTATACTGATACTCATTATGTATAAGAATACAAGGAACCAACGAATAATTTTTGATATGGTTTAGGAAGCTTGATGGCAACACAGTCTAATTTCCATAGTGGATGCCCTCTTATTTTCCAACCATACAAGGTTACCTTTCTGATCTGGTAGCCCATGGTTCTTTCTAATGATTGTTTCACCGTGTGCCATGGCTAACCGTGACAATTTGGCACCCGCTCACCTATATTTTAGGGGTTGAATATAGTTTACACTGCAAAATAATATTACAATTAGCAATGATTCAAGAATCCAAATTATGAGAGCATTTATTCCACAAACCTTTTAAAAGACTCAGTAGTATAGATACAGCAAATCCAAGCAGCAACCAAATCTCACTTCAGTATGTGTGGTTCCTTAAAATACAGTGGTACCTCGGGTTAAGTACTTAATTCGTTCCGGAGGTCCGTACTTAACCTGAAACTGTTCTTAACCTGAAGCACCACTTTAGCTAATGGGGCCTCCTCCTGCTGCCGCCACGCTGCCGGAGCACGATTTCTGTTCTCATCCTGAAGCAAAGTTCTTAAACTGAAGCACTATTTCTGGGTTAGCGGAGTCTGTAACCTGAAGCGTATGTGACCTGAAGCGTATGTAACCCCAAGGTACCACTGTATACCACTTTGTAGGCCACTGTTTTACTTGAAGATGACAGTGGGCTGTTAACATGTTTGTACGGATTTGATGTTTTATATGGACAATAAACATTCAAATCAAACAAAAATCCTTGTCAAGAGAGCCTGGGAGGATAGATAGAAGGGCAATTGCCAAAGTGGGGAGACCAGGCCTGCTTTTCAAAACCGTATCCCTACAAATTAAAACAAATTTGTTTCCAGGTCCTGAAAAGGTGAGGGGAAACACTTGCCTCCTTCCCAAACAATATTCCTGGGTGGGTTTTTTTTGCTGGGGGAGGTGTTGGAAACAAATTGCATCTCCTCCACAACTCTTAGAACTGTCTTCAGAAGAGATAGGCAGAACATTATTCTCCCTTGTAGTCTACCTGTCAGTGGTGGCTGTGGACAGGTAATGCCAGGGGTAGAAAGCAGGATTTCCCTCACTTCAATACTGTCTGCAAGTGCAATGATTTACATTCCCCCAATAGAAACGAACGGCATGCAGGAAAAAGTGATATGATGCACCTGAAGGGGTAGGAGTCAAAACCTGTTCCCTGTCTCTGTGACCACAGCAGCCAATTGAAAGACACATTCTGACCGGGTTCTGTTGCTTGGTCACGCAGGGGTGCTATGAGCTGGTTTTCATATGAACAGATGCTGAGCATTGTTCCTTGATTTAAAGGCCAGAAAGAATATTTTTACTCCTCAATTCATAGCTTTTTTATTTTTACAAATTATGACAAACAAGATTAGACTAGCTTATGTGTTCTGGGAGTCATGGTTCCATGGTCGATTCTTTTTGGTTCAATTCGTGATTAGCAATTTATTAAGGTTTTCAATCGTACAGAAAGTGCAAACAAAAACTAGGTTATTCCTGCATATAACTGAATCCCACCTCTCTCCTCACCCTCATGCTCATCCTCTGTATGTATAGTAGGACTGAATATTCTCAGGCATGGAAAAGAACAAATTAAACAAGATAAAATCTTTTTAAAGAGAAGGATAGTACATAAAAAAACCCTGCTTCTCTCCTCAGCCACTATTCAGCTCAAAGTAATTGCCCTATAGTACTGTAAACCAGTCTTCATTCCCCCTTCACATCCATGCCACTCACTCCTGAGTGCCAACGGGAGCAGGTTTTGTAGCTAACAATTCAACTCTGGTGGCTTCTTTGAGTCCTGGACCAATTGCTTCACCACCAAAGTTGCTCTACAGACACACACTTGCCATGTTCAGTCGCAATGCTGACCATAAGCCATAGTTATGCAAATTATTCTATGCACACTGCTCTACCAGTCCCTGTTTTGCTCCTCCCTTCCTAGAGCTGGGAGGCAAACCACAGAGTGCCTGGCTTAGCATTAACATCCAAGCCAGCACTTGTGGTTTGTTTCTCCAAAGCAAACTTGCTTAGGCATTAATTGACGTCTTACCAGATGATTAGCAGCAAGGGACAATTCTGCATCATATGGTGCAGTCTTGCCCTAAAGTATTGCAGCAACAATATTTTGGAAACATCTGCAAACTAACAGTACTTAAATGTTGTATGTGTGTGTTTATGTATGGTGTAGTACCTCTGGTGGGGGGGGGGGCATGTTGTGCCCCTTCTGAGGTAGTTTGTCCACCTCTGGTCCCCACCCTGCACTTAGCTCTCACTTGTGGCTCCTGTCAGCATGCAACAGCAGACACATCCTGGGAACAGCTTCGACCGGCTAAACCAAGTGAGGGGAGCCAACGGGTCTCAAACCCTTGGTGAGCTAGGGACTTCCCCTGCATGCAAAGACAGACTCCAGCAGATTGAGTGGGCAAGACCAATAGTGGGTCCAATGGTCAAGAAGGCAGTTTCTGCACGTGATATAGAGGGAAGTGAGGGGCAGATGGGGCTCATCAACCTGGAAAGGTAACCCATGTAGAAGGAACACGGATCCAAACCTCCACTGTCTTGCAGGTTATCTTTAGAATAAAAGGTTAAGGAGTAATCTCTACACAACTGCAGAGTGGAGTCCCTAAGATGGTTGGATGGCACCTTGCACACCACCTTCCGGCAACTCTTGGAGCCAAGCTGGTTCCAAACGTATTGCTCTGTGTTCCTTTGGACAACATAATCGAGGCCAAGAGGGGTGTCTAGCTGTCTGGTCAGCCCAGGACCTCCATACAAACTGCCCAGACTTGCACCCTGGGGAGGTCACTTTGATGCTGCTAGCACAGTCATTTGACTTCACCCCCAGAGGAGTACTCCATTGTCTTTCAAGACAGATGGATGCCAACAACTCTCTTCTCTCTACACAGGCATACACTTGCCTAAGGCTCTTGTCATACAGCTTGCTTGACTACCAAGAAACGGCGACTTGAACTACAATGCAATGGGCATCTGAGAGCTTCTGGCCATCATAGTAGCGTTAAATGGCCATGCTGGTGACCAGCCAAGGTAAGCTTCAAAGGGACAGTCATGACAGCCCAGAACAACTCCTCAACAATAATCCTGTCCTTTAGTACTCTTCCCAAACACTGCTTCTTTCCGACATAGTTCAACTTACAACTTACTTTTTAACCTATATGTGTCTCTATATCCAAGAACTGAGTGCACAGGCATCTACTACAATCTCCACCCACCCAACCCCCCAAAATTCGGAGCTCATATAGAATCTTACTACAGTGGTACCTCATGTTAAGAACTTAATTCGTTCTGGAGGTCCGTTCTTAACCTGAAACTGTTCTTAACCTGAGGTACCACTTTAGCTAATGGGGCCTCCCGCTGCCGCCACACAATTTCTGTTCTCTTCCAGAAGCAAAGTTCTTAACCCGAGGTACTATTTCTGGGTTAGCAGAGTCTGTAACCTGAAGCATCTGTAACCTGAAGTGTCTGTAACCCGAGGTACCACTGTATATGGAAGGAAGCAAGGCAGGTCCATGGAAGAATCTTTTATCCTTCCGTGGTAGGAGCATTTCTAGTGGTAATCCCTGCTGTAAATGGTGGAGGAAGTTTATCACCAAATGGCACTACAACAGAAAGTCTAGGTACCTTTTTTGCAGTGGTATGTATGTATGTATGTATGTATCTATGTATTCTTTTCAATTCATTTCTATACTGCTTTATATTTTTAAAAAAATATCAAACCAGTGTACAGCACATTAAAACATCAAATAAAACAATCCAGAATAAAACAAACAAATTCAAGTTTCAAAGAAATTATTTCAGATCCTTCTCTAAGAGACAGTTTGCCTTCCCCATATTTATTTACCTACTTAATTTATAGAGCTGCCCCATAGCAGAAGTTCTGTGTTCTAGGAAGTCATTGTGGTGTAGTGGTTAAGAGTGTTGGACTAGGACCTGGGAGATCAGGGTTCAAATCCCCACTCAGTCACAAAGCTCAATGGATGACCTTGGGCCATTCACAACCTCTTAATCTGCCTCGCAGAGAAATTGTAGGGATTTAACTAAGGAGGAAGGTGAACCATGTACTCCTTGGAGAAAAAGGTGGAAAACTGATGCAATAAATAAGATCTTCTGCTTAGCTGCTTAAGAAAGCTGGAGGGGCCAGCCAGGTGGAGATGTCAGTCGCCAACCTTGCATCCAGACATCTCCACCTGGTTGCAATTGGGCGTGCGTCAGTCACAAAACGCACCTGGCGCCTGGGAAATCTTGAACACTATATCAGCATCCTCCCAGTAGTGATGTATGGAAGTGAGAGCTGGACCATAAAGAAGGCTGATCGCCAAAGAATTGATGCTTTTTGAATTAAGGTGCTGGAGGACTGCAAGGACTGCAAGAAGATCAAACCTATCCATTCTTAAGGAAATCAGCCCTGAGTGCTCACTGGAGGACAGATCCTGAAGCTGAGGCTCCAATACTTTGGCCACCTCATGAGAAGAGAAGGCTCCCTGGAAAAGACCCTGATGTTGGGAAAGATGGAGGGCACACGGAGAAGGGAATGACAGAGGACGAGATGGTTGGACAGTGTTCTCAAAGCTACCAGCATGAGTTTGACCAAACTGCGGGAGGCAGTGGAAGAGAGGAGTGCCTGGCATGTTCTGGTCCATGGGGTCACAAAGACTTGGACACGACTAAACAACAACATATCAGCATCCTGAACAAACTAAACTTCCCAGGGTTCTTTGGGGGAAGCCATGACTGTTTATAAAGTGGTATGATACTGCTTTAAATGCATAGTGCAGATGGAGCCCATGCTTACTAAGAAGATCCACTGAATTTAATGGTGCTTCCCTATTTGCTTAGAACTGCAATCTTTGTTTTCAAGGTGCTAGTTATCAAGACAGAAACCCCTTCTACATCATGTTCTAGAGGTGACGTGAGGAACTTTCTCAACCCAAGGGCCACGGTTCCTTCGCCGAAAACTTCCAAGGGCCACACACCTAAACATTTGGGGTGGGAAGTAGAGCCAGTGAGGGGTGTGCCCTGGGAAGCATTTAAGGGCCGAATAGAGATGTTCAGAGGGACACGGGTGGCGCTGTGGGTTAAACCACTGAGCCTAGGACTTGCCGATCAGAAGGTCGGCGGTTCAAATCCCCGCAACGGGTTGAGCTCCCGTTGCTCGGTCCCTGCTCCTGCCAACCTAGCAGTTCGAAAGCACATCAAAGTGCAAGTAGATAAATAGGTACCGCTCTGGCGGGAAGGTAAACGGTGTTTCCGTGCGCTGCTCTGGTTTGCCAGAAGTGGCTTAGTCATGCTGCCACATGACCCGGAAGCTGTACGCCGGCTCCCTCGGCCAATAAAGCGAGATGAGCGCCACAACCCCAGAGTCCGTCACAACTGGACCTAATGGTCAGGGGTCCCTTTACCTTTACTAGAGATGTCAAGAAGGCTGCATTCGGCCCCAGACATTCCCCACTGATTTCTAGAGATTTATACTGAAATCACATAATAGTGTCAGATATTAATAACGACCTGCTGCTGAGCATTTTATATCCCATCATCCATGGCCTATACACAGCATCCCCATTCCCTTTGCCCAGGGTTTCTGCTGAAATCTTCCATGGCGGACGCTAACTCATGTGAATTTAGGGTCAGCCTTTTCTTGGTTTGCGATGTTTCAGGAGGGATCACCTAGGAGCCAATACTGGTGAAACACAAAGCCCTTTGAGCCACCACATTTCTCTCCTCCATGGACCTTGGGATCATGGCGAATCGAGTCCAATCTTATGGACATTGACAGCACTATCCTATGGAATGTTTATTCCAAAGTAAGCCCGGTGCGTTCAAGGGGGCTTGCTCCCAGGTACGTGCAGAGGACTGTACCCCTAATGTGAAAACAAGTTCCCCTGAAAGTCGTTGCAACTTACTTCCACATCCTGCATTTAGGATCAGAGTGAAAGTGACTCATATCGTCTTGCTCTCAGTATTAACACCCACATATCAGAAAGATGTTAATTTAGTCCCAGCAGCATTTTTCTCATTATCATCAGTAATTCTATATTTGAACACTTTGAGCCACTTTTTAAAAAATCTCCAGAAGCTAGATGTGAAAAAACTGCTCCCATTCTGTCTTTCTAAAACTGATACAGCTTTAGAATCTGAAGACAGGGTAGGCTGGTGGAACCAAAATATTCAGTACTAAAGAGGGGGGGGAGCATGTGCTACCTCACTGAGAGAGCTGTCAGATAACCCTTATTTTAGAGTTCCTTCCCTCAAGCCCCCCGCCCGCCCAGGAAATATGATAATACTCATTACTCTGAAATATTGTATTTATGTACCACTTTGCAGAATGAAACCTTCAACTTTAGATTGTCTCTCATTTTAAAATTGTAGTTCTCTCTGCTTTGGAAGAGTAACTACCACTTACTAAGTCATAACATTTCTCAGTGCACATACACCCATGTGGTGAGATTTTTACCACCTCCTGATTGCCTGGATGTCTGATTGAATGTGGATAGTAAAGGTTCTTCGCTCCATGCGGACAGGTGGCAAAAGCAACTGGCTATGTGGTAGTTATTTGCCAATCATGGAAATTAACTACTTTATAACAGTCAACTGTATTCAACCCACATTTTGCAATTATTTAAGATGTACTGGCATTCATGAAAAGCTAGCTTTAATTCTGTTGAAATCAGTAAGACAGGCAGAGCAATTATTTGGAGGCATGCAAAAAGCTACCTAGGTAAAGGTAAAGAGTAAAGGACCCCTGGACGGTTAAGTCCAGTCAAAGGCGACCATGGGGTTGTGGCGCTCATCTCGCTTTCAGGCTGAGGGAGCCTGAATTTGTCTGCAGACAGCTTTCCGGGTCACGTGGCCAGCATGACTAAGCCACTTCTGCTGCAACGGGACACCGTTACGGAAACCAGAGCGCACGGAAACACTGTTTACTTTCCCATCGCAGTGGTACCTATTTATCTACTTGCACTGGCGTGCTTTCAAACCGCTAGGTTGGCAGGAGCTGGGACAGAGCAACAGGAGCTCACCCTGTTGCGGGGATTCGAACCGCCAACCTTCTGATCTGCAAGTCCAAGAGGCTCAGTGGTTTAGAGCACAGCGTCATCTGCTAACTAGGACCCCCTAGTCAGCACCCTGTGCTGTATTTGGGGTAAGGAAGGGTCTTAACATTAGGTAGTTGTGTTTTAAATCGTAATGTTCATATTTGTATAACTTTTTTTTGCATTTCCACCCTACGCTACTTATTTAAAAGTAAAATTTACTTATTTTAATGGAGTAAGAGTCCAGTATGAGGGGAGGGATTTAAAAGGTAGTTCCTATGAAGATAAGGCCATGTTCAATTTTACCAAAGCGAAGTGCAACTACTGAAATACACTTAAGAAACGGTTGCTGGTGGTGATGTTAAAATTGTAAGCTCCTTGGAACAAGAAACTGTCCTCTTATACTTTGGAAAGCACTATGCAGTTTGATGGTTCTAATGAATCAGAACCCAAACACATGGTGACTTTTTAAAGAATGTGTAGACTAGGCCTCAGCACTGAAGCACTTACGGTAGCACAGACAAAACGGCTTTAACAAAACACCACCAAATAATGCATAGGGTTATAGTGTCACAGGTTGCAGTTTTGGTCCATCATTCTACAGAGTGACAAAGTTGTTGTTATCTCACTCAGCATAACAGCACTCTTGAGCGTGGGGAAGTCCATTCAAGGTACAGTTCTGTAATGCATTTATATCAGAATGCTTGCATGAGTGCTTTGCAGAACAGAGACTTGAAGCCACACTCTTTGCCAGAACTAAAACGAAAATGTCCCACCAATCATCTAAGAATAATGGGAAATTGCCTATATAGGTACTGTATTCCATTGGAATCTCAGAAAATCTCACCTGACACATTTGATTTCAATTCCCCCATGCAATGGGGCTTCTATTCTGCATACAAAACAAGGACAGAGATCCAAAAACATACTTTGAGTGCAGCCAAGACTTTAAACTCGAACACTGTTTTGTTTTGTTTTTAAGCCTTTCAATTTCTGTGAATGGCAGGTCCCAATGGCAAGTCCCAAACTGCATTCTAAACTCCTTTCAGTTTCAGAAACTGTTTTGACATGTGGCTTGAAGAGGCACACTATGAGAAACACAAATCCAAAGCTCCCTTCATGGATACACAGAACTAGATTCACAGCTCTTGCAATCCTGGCCAAAAGTTCACCTGGAGATGGAGGAACTGAATGTACTGTAAGCATTCAAGCCCAAGTTAACTTTTTGCAACATTGGCCTAGGAATCTGGCCATTGCAGACCTCTGCATTGATACAGTCCAGCCTCAAGGACTTGAGTTTATGCCTACACACAATTATCTTAATCTAGCCACATTTCTGAACGGACATTCCCGAAACTCATCTCTTCTGCAACAACTATCTCCTGAAGATTTTACGCTCAAACACTGACCATAGAAACAATATAGCAACCATTTACAGAACGCTATCTGTGGCCTTGATTATGTGTTTATGGCCTAACACACCCCCAAGACCCTGGCTTGGGTAGTAAATTGTTTCCAGGCTACGAACGGTCAGAAACGACGAGGCTAGCCTTTACAATTCCAACTGATTCACAAAAAACCGGGGTTTCATACAGAAACCCAGCATGCCTTTGCAAGTCTCTGACAGCACCTACGAAAGTACTGAAGTGGTAAGATCTGGTAGCCCTGGCCAAACGGACGCCAGAAGTATGAAGCTGGGCAAGGCACCCTCCACCCACCACTTCCCACTCCCCTGGAACAAATCTTAAAACTAACCAAGGTTGTTTCTAGGCTTTTCCCTTCCTTTCTTTCTTTCTTTCTTTCTTTCTTTCTTTCTTTCTTTCTTTCTAGTGGGACCTTGCAACCAACACCACCTCTGCAGCATGATGATGCCCTTCCTCGCCTCGACTTGCGAGCCTTGAACCCTTCGCCTACCCCGCCAGCACCACGGAAAAGTTCCCGCTGCCCCATAACCATTTAAAATCAGGATTGACGTTCGTACTTGTGGGGCAGGAGGAGGAAAAGGTGGGCTTGCAAAGCAGCGTTTGGAAAAGGGGGAAACGCTTCTCTCTTCCCCCCCCCAAGCCACCTCTTTCCCAATGCAATTCAGGAGGGAGCGCCAAAATGTTCTTGCACTCATTTCAGGTCGCATTAAAACCCAAATTGAAAACCCAAATTGAAGGAAGGGTCCGAGGTGGTGCTGGAGGGGGGCTCGGCGATGTCCAAAAAGCAAAACTTTAAAAGGCCGGTGGTGGCGTCGGAGGAGGCGGGGGGGGGGGAGATCCCGGCGGACGCGCTTCCCCGGGACCCCCCCCCCGACTCCCCCAGGTCTAAAGGGGGCGAAGCGCGCCCCAAACTCGGGAGTGAAAGCGTAGTGGAAAATAATAACAAATAGCCCGCTTCCCCCTCTCTCGCCGCCACCCCCCTCCACCACCATCGCGCCCCGGTGCCTCTGATCCGCGGTCCGCCGGCCTCCCGCCGCCTAACCCCCGCCCGGGCTTCGGAGCTCCCTGGCCGAAGCGCCTTCCCCGCCACCTTCCGAAACCCCCTCTCGGAGGCCTGAGCCCGGCGCCCGGGGCCTGTCCGGCGCTAGGCCGGGCCCCGTCGCGGGGGGCGGGGAGCCGCTAGGCCACAAGGCCCGTCTCTCTCCCGCCTCGGCCGGGCTCCCCTCCCTCCCTCCACCGGCGCCCCTTTCCCTCGGTTCCCAGACGGGCCCGGCCACCCGCGGGTCCCGGAACCCCCCCTTCCCACCCACCCACCCCCTTTCGAAACCCGCGCGGCCCGGCTCTCCCACGCGCATCCCCGGCCTCGCGTAGCCCACCCGGCGGCTGTCCCCGCGCGCGCGGCGCCGCCTGCCGCCTTAGGCGAGCCCGGGGATGCAGGCCGGGCCTGGCTTACCTTTCCAGCTGGCCCTTTTTTTTTTTCTCCTCCCTCCTCTTCTCGGCTCTCTCGTCTCTCCCCCCTTTTTCTCCCCCTCTGTTGGGCTGGCAGAAGCAAGAGTTTCCTCCCCAGCGGAGGGAGCGGGGAAATGGGTCTCGGAGCTGCTGGAAGCGCTGAGGAAGCTTCGCTGCTTGGGTTTGCTGCTGCCCCCCTGGCTCTGAGGAGAAAGATCCCTGCTTTTTCTTTTTTTTCTTTTTAGGCTTAGAACGGGAGCTCTTTTATTATGAGGATGATTTAAATAAAAAAAAATTATTTTTTTTTTTAAAAAGCAAAATAATAAAATAAAACAATCAAACAAACGCTTACGAAAGTGCTCGGCGAGGGTAGGTGATTATGAAGTTGGGGGTGGAGGTGGCGGGGGGGTGGGTGGAAATTCCCTGAATATATTCTCCAGCAAAGAAGGCAGGGCTGCTGGGGCTGCTCTCGAGAAAGGAGGAAAAAAAGAGAGCTTTGCAGCCCTCCTACAGCACCACTACAGGCACTGAGAGGACATAACACCAGAGAGAGAGAGAGAGGCTCCTCTGCCCGGCCAAAACGACAACTTCCCTACCATCTTGGGAGGGTCGCAGGACAGAGAGAGAAAGAGAGGAAAGAGGGGAGGTCAGGACCAGGGGGAAGAAGGATGGGATGCTCGGGGTTCCCCTTCTTTTTTGGGGGGTGGAGAAAATGCAACATTTTGCAAAGGCTCGATCAATGCAACGTTTGGGAAAGGCGAGGCCAAATGTCGCCGGGATGGTGGGTTTCCCTCCGAGGAAAAGGGGGTGGGCAGCGTTTTAAGGTTTTGTTCCCCCCCCCTTTATTTTTATGAATTTGTGTGTTTTAAATTAAAAAACCAGGGGCAGGTGCCTCGCCATCTTCTCCTCCATCCTTCTCCATCGCATCTCGGAAGTTTTGGACGCCCCAGGAGGTTCTGCAAAGGTAAGTCCCAAAAAGGGGCGCACGGTGGGTTTTTTGGGGGGGGTTGAGGGGCACAGAAAGAGATCTTTTCTTCCATGGAGGTGAGGCAAAAAAAAAAGGATCGGGCTCCAGGTGAGGGGGGAGATAGGTCGGAGAAGATTAAATATGTACTCAAGTGCAACTTAAAGAAACAAACAAAAGTAAAAACAAACTGCTTATTTTTTGTTCATAGCAGTTTTGTTTCCCCCTCTGGTTGCACTGGGATCAATAACTTAAAAAAAGAGCAGAGGGCTTTTGTTACATTTTCGGTGTGTTGTTGTTGTTGTTGTTTTGCAGGTGCTTGTGCCCTTATATAAATTTTATTTAATCTGACTTACGGTGTTGTGCCTGAAGTTTGAGCCTCTAGTTCTGATGTCTTTCTCATAGTTAGCTTCCTGAACTTAACAGAGGCTGCTTTTTCTCAGAAACCAAATTGAGGATGGTTGTCTGTGGTAAGAATGTGTGCGCAAGATGTAACATTGCGAAATACTCTTATATCGTACATTTCGACTTAATCTTTATAGGTCGAAGCGCTGCAAAAGCACTTCAGACTGTTTCCAGAGATTTCTAGTACACAGTTGCTGATTTTGTCACTTTTTTAAAAAGTGCTGCTGATTTAGCTGAAAACCACATGGTACATGCAATGGCAACAGTGCAGTGGTTTTAAACTGGCATTTGCTGCAAGCTCATCTATCAGGTATTCTTTTTTCACCAACTCAGCATTGACTTAATGTTTCAGAATTTCTCAGATGAACTATGATTATAGATACTGGATTTTTAAAATACGCCTTTTTTAAAGCACAGAATAGGACACCTAAGATATTTGAAATTACTTCACATTCATTCCCATGAAGCTTTCTTTGTGTCTCAGTATTCTGAGAAAGAAGCCACTATTCTGCAAACCTGGATTCTTCTCCTGGAGCAGAAATCTTTTCCCTCCAAATTTGGCAGTGTTACCTGTTACTGCTGAATATTCTTGTCAAAGGAACTGACAAACTTCCCTTCAGTTCTGCATGTTTGGCAGGAGTACTATTCCTTTCCTTGATAGTTTTTGTCCATTTGAGGGGAAATTCTCTTACTCCTTAGTAGGATTATAGTGTCTCTACTTCTAGGCAGCACTGGGTTATTCTAACTTCATATAATGTCAGAACTTGTGGCCAGGCAATATCTGGGGACAGACTTAACTTTTTGCATTTTCTGTATTCGGATCCATTAAATACAAACTGGATCTTTCAGATCATCTTTTTATCCTTTAAACTAGAAATTTGCCAAACACTTACTGACTTAATTTAGGTTTAACAAAATCTACCATTTGCAGTATTCTTTGTCTGCTGTATATAGGCAGTCTGTGCACTGTCATCTTCATTGATTGTATGTGATCTGCAAAACGCTGTCTGTGCTGTGGCTTTTGGTAATATAATGTTCAGTAGTTCTCAGATGTTCCAGATCCACTATTTGTTAGTACCCTCTGTTGAATGCGAACAATGTAAACATAAGGATAGTTGAAAAAGTGATGTAACCAATTTTTAAAAACAATTTTATTGTTATATTATTAAACTTTCTAGCCAAGACAGTTAACATCAAACGCCTCTCATTTAAATTGGAACCAGTGAGGACGGTGAGTGTCTGAAGGCAGTCAGAGGATGAATGATGGCTAATGGATTGAGGTTGTATCATGACAAGACAGAAGTCCTGTTTTTGGGGGGACAGGATAAGCATGTGGGGAGGATTCTCTGGTCCTGAATGGGGAAACTGCCCCTGAAGGACCAGGTGCACAGCCTGGGGGGTCATTTTGGACTCACAGCTGTCCATGGAGGTGCAAGTTAATTCTGTATCCAGGGCAGCTGCCTACCATCTGTTGGTACACCGGCTGAGACCCTACTTGCCTACGCACTGCCTCGCCAGAGTGGTACATCTGTTGGTCATCTCCTGCTTGGACTACTGCAATGTGCTCTACATGGGGATACCTTTGAGGGTGACTTGGAAACTACAACTAATCCAGAATGTGGCAGCTAGATTGGTGACTGGGAGTAGCAGCTGGGACCGTACAACACAGGTCCTAAAGGATCTACACTGGCTGCCAGTACATTTCCAAGCACAATTCAAAGTGTTGGTGCTGACCTTTAAAGCCCTAAATGGCCTCAGCTCTGTATACTTGAAGGAGCATCTCCACCCCTATCATTCAGCCCAGACACTGAGATCTAGCTCTGTGAGAAGTGACGTTACAGGGAACCAGGCAGAGGGCCTTCTCGGTGGTGGCACCCACCCTGTGGAACGCCCTCCCATCAGATGTCAAGGAGATAAAGAACTATACGACTTTTAGAAGACATCTGAAGGCAGCCCTTTATAGGGAAGATTTTTTTGTTTGATGTTTTATTATACTTTTATATTTGTTGGAAGCAGCAACCCAGTCAGATGGGCTGGGTACAAATAATAAAATTATTATTATTAAATATTCAGCTCTGTGAAACTCAATGAACCTTATTTCTGAGGAAATATGTTTATAGGATGTCACTGTAAAAACTGGGTGGAAATCAATGTTGTGCTTACATATGTTCTGTCTATAGAAGCCTTGCAGCTTGCTAGACAGAATTATTCCCCTTTTGTTCTTTGGGAGGTTGTCAGTTTTATGGGGCGGAGGTGTTGTTGTCAGGAAACCCCACTGCACAAGTGGAAAGAATCCCACTCATTGTGCAACTTACAGTTCTTGTTCCAAAGCATTTACTTGACTAGATTATTAGATAAACAGAATCGAAGTCTTCCTGTGCTTATAAGATATTCCTAGTTGTTCAGAGTAACAGTCAGTCAGTTTCCCACAGTAGTAAGAGTAACAAAATGCTTCAGAAAATTATTTTGGCCCACTTGTAATATTTGCAATCTAACTAATTAAAATGTTGGACACCTAAATTATGGTGCAACAGAGATTTTTCCTCATATTCCCTCCTTTAAACTCAGGCTTACGCCTATTATCTACTTAGTGGTTACATCGTGAGCCTTCAAGTACCACTCTGCATCCTAGCATGGGCACAGGTGCCCATTTTCATAATCATGCAATACTCTGTAGATAAGATTAAAAGCAATTCCTATACATGAGCAATGTCTATGTAGTATTTTGTTCATAGTAGCCCTCTGGTGCTGTTATTCATTCATTTGTTCCCCGCCCTAAGGTCCCAGGGTGGGTTACAACATGTTAGCCTTATGGAGATTAGAAGGGGTAGCACTGCTACTACAAATGTGGGGAATAGGGAGGATTCTACTTTCTATAATGAAGATGGATGAAATAAGTTGTATAATTGGGGTGGTAGGGATCTTTCTCTTACAATACTTAAGGACCACCTTCATGTTCTTTAAAAGTGTACCTGTAGCACATGATGGGATATAGGAAGCACATTGGGATAATATCAGAACCTGGGCTGGCTGTAGCTGCTTCAACATACTTGTTCTTGCTGCTTTTTTGAAAAACAGCTTAAATTTATGTTGACTTGTCAAGAGGCAAGATAAGAGGTAAACCAGTCCTTTTAGTAGCTGGTGAACTAAGCCAACGCTTCCTGGCTGTCTTTTGACAGCACCGGTTTACATTGCCTACAAAGCAACATACATCCCCCACAAAAGGAACAGACAGACATGCTTTAATAGGTCTGTAAGCACGTGATTTTTTTTTTTTTAAGGGTCTTTCCAATACAGTACTTCTGCTGTGTGGCCACAAGCAACAGTGCTGGCATTGGGTGAGAGAATATGGGGCAAAGGCAGCAGGGAGGGAAATTTTGGGCTGGCATTTATCCATACTCATATATATTTCTGCAGTTTATTGGGCTTGTACTAGTAACTGCAAAAATTAAACTGTCACATTAGGGCCAGTCTAAGAAATAATTAAACCTGTGGGCTGGCACTTCTAATCCTAAATAACATTCAGATTATTGTCAACGAGTAGTACATAATTTCATAATATTACGATGTTAATATTTAGCATTCAAACAAATTATCTAAGAGCTTGCCGTTTCTTCCTCTAGTTGTTTCCAGGGATTTTTGAAAAAGTAGTCACCAGTACAGCAACTTTTATGAGAAAGCTACTTTAAACCACAGTTATTTGGCATGTCAGTTCTTATGCTGGACGGCTGATCAACAAATAGTGCTAAAATTAAGTGTATGTTTTGGTGCAAATAAGAACCACTACCAGCTGGTAGTGAGAACTTCTAGTAACAACTACAACTGGGTTTCTAGACATTGATTTGTGCATCACTATTTCCCACCTTACAACCCCCCCCAAAAAAAAAAATTTTTCCCCCAAGAACGTGTTAAAATGGTATGCTTGGGGATGTGCCACCCCCTAGACTGCAAATAACACAGGACACTTATGGACTCCAGCCTCTCTTATTCAAAACAGTAATTCAAAAATCAGACAGGTTAAGGTCTAGTAATGCTAAACCAGAGAGCAGCATTACATAGATGAGTCTACAGATGCCTGTACAAGCTGAAGTTGGCTAAAACTGACCATTTAAAATAAGTGGCTTTTTGCATTTTTGAATTTTAAATAACTTTCTACAGTACCCACAGTAGATAATATTAGATTTGCCACATTCCCATTGTGTCTTAGGAGTAAGCTATTTAATGTGTAAGTCTTATTTTTGCTTAGATGGAACAAGTCCGAACTACTAGGTAAAGGCTACCATGTTAGTTGAAGGATATTAGGATAGAATTAAGATTGTGCTGCACTGTCAAAAGCCATCTCTTGTTCTGCTGTACTTTTAAAATAATACAGCTCTGAGCCATTGTAAAACAAAACTCCTATATCACTTTTCCTTATTTTCAAAGTTTTAAGACGTACCCAAACTGTAAATTCTAAATGAAACAGGACTGGAAAGGAGCGGGGAGTACTTCTAAAGGAATCTTTAACCTGTTGGTGAGTTAGTTGTACAAACCCACCAATGTCACATTAACTAAATGTTTCTGCACAAAAAAAAAAGTAACAAGATGCTTGCTACATTGTTTCACATTGCAAGTGTTAAGATTTCACCTCTGTCCAAAGTTTGCCATCTGTACTTTGAGCGAATTTTATATTTAACTTACTGGAGAAACACAGTGCAGAGAAACAGTATTACATATGTAAAACTGCTTTAATTTTACATCATGTTTGTACACAATCAGTATACATAATATGTATTTCTAAATACATTTAAGCTGTGCTGAACATAATTAGCAAATGAACACTGGACAGCTGGCTTTAAATAAACTTTCACCCGCATTCATAAAGAAAGTGGAAACCATTAAATAGACCACCACAAAATTATTATTTTTGGAAAAATGTCATAAGAATGCCTGATCCGACACTGGTAACTCTAGGATTTCCTTAGCAGATGGAGGGTTCTTCAATAGCCTTGGCCCCTTCGGTAACAGCTTTAACACATTTAGCCATTGTCTGTGATGCTCTACTAATGGGATCTGCAAAGAAAAACATGTCTATTACCTCTAGAAGTTTTAAGACTTACAAGTCTTGTTCACTGAACGTGGTATCTGCAATTAAAGTATTTTACACAGAAACAAAATTGGTATGCCTCTCAACTGAAGAAACGGGAAATATTATGTATCCATGTATTAAGTAAGACACACTATTGAGATCATGTACTGCTGTTACCTGTCATATAGAAGTCTTTAACTGTGAGCTGGGGTGGAACAAGAGGATCACCAAGAAGTTTCTGATTAACTGCCTGTATTGAAAAAGAATAAGCAGTCATCTTTATGAAAACAATTGTTCTCACTTGCCCTGTGGTACCTTTTTCAGCAGGACACAAGACACACTTATTTTGCTGTCGCTGCATAAATGTGGAACCCCATACCTTTGACAGCTCATTTGCTTGGCTAAAGTAGTTTGCTTCCTCCACATCATCATATCTGACCAAGTTAGGAGATACTTCTTCTAATCTGCTCCTCACTTGATCAAGTGTGTCATATGGGAGGGTCATGCCAGCTATCTGAAAGAGAAAAGTGGGAGGAAGAACCTTAAGACTGGGTTAAGATTTGTTACTTCTTGGAAAACACACTACCTTTGCAATGAACATGCTTAAAAGGATACATCTTGAAAGGTACAGGATTGTATCCAACTTAGTTATTCAGAGTAGGATGCCCCCTTGAAATCAATGGACCTCAGTTAGTCACATCCATTAAGTTCAATGAGTATACCTTGTGTAGGGCTAAGAAAAGATACAATCTGAAATTATTAGGGTAAATAGGGCAACCATTTATAAAGTAGGATTTCTGATTGGCTCAAGTACAAGAGAAAACGAAATGGCTGGCAAATTTGTTTATGCCTAGCATCCCACGCAGGTTTGTTAGAATTTGTGCAGTTCCTAACGGTATGTCTTAACTGATTCAAACCACTGAGCAAAATCAACAATATGTTACCATCCTTCTCCAGACAGTCAAGCATGCAAATAAAGTCAGTCCACACACACTTTTAGCAGGACTTGCCAGATTCAACCGAAGTCCTAATTCAAGAAAATATATTTCACATAAATGGTCTATTTCTAATATTTGCACTTCATAGCAATTCATTTCGGAAGACTGCAGTCCAGTGGAGCTTGCAAATCAATATAGGATGTCCAGGCCAGAGTGCTCATGCCAGAGTTTGGTTTGTCATGACGTCTGAACAAAGGCATGATTGTGTTCCTCAAACCAGCCAGAAGCATTAAGCTAAGAGCAATCTTGGTTATTGGTCTCTGGCTGCTTGGGGAGAGAGAAAACACAAGCCTGGGTTCTGGCATCACAACAAGTTAGACTAACTTGTTTCCCAGCAGGAGCAGGAGAGGAATCAATCGAGAACCTCTTAGCAACATATACCAGTATACTGCTTCTTCATATTCAACCACAGCTTGTTTTAAAATGTGTAGTGACATGACATGAGAACCAAGCCGGTATACAAATGCAGTATAATAATAAAAAAGACTGTTACTGGAAAGCTCCATTTCTGCTATACTTGCAGTACCTCAGAGATTGCTCTAATTATTCTCCAGTCTTCTCTTGCCAGGCCAGGCGGTGTTACAGCTACTCTGGTTTGCTGAGCTCTACCTTCAGTGTTCACGTATGTTGCAGCCTTTTCTGTATAAGCTGCTCCTGGAAGAATAACATCAGCCATAGGAGCGCCTACGTCACCATGGTGCCCTGAAATGGAATCCAGTAAAAGTGTCAATAGCAATGGGAAACTTCACAGTGTGACTGTACTGTATGTTTAAATTTCTGTATCTATAAAAGTCTAGATTACGTTTAGATAGGTGAAAACTGCACTCCAAGAACTTTGCTAATTTCTCTTTTCTGCTGTCTTGGCTTGATTAGTCTCCTTCAGTTCTACTTTTGACTGGCTGAAGTTTGCTTTTTGTGTTTGGATATCCTGTTTTTATCTCCAGCTACAGCTTTGAAGAAATTGTTATACAAACTGCTACTATTTTCAAGCGATATGCTTGCTGACATCACCTTACAGAGACAGAATGCCTTTTAATACTTTGTATGTATTTATATATTAAAGCCATACTGTGCCTGTTTTCAAAATGAAGTTCTCAGTTTAAATTTTCTCAGTTGTGGTACCAGAAACTTCCCCAGTGCCAACAGATATATTTCCAATATCATCATGTATCCTAACTTTACACCATGCACTGCTAAGTACTCTTTTTATTTTGTACTCTTATTAATCTTGTATTCTTTTAGCTCTTTCTATCTTTGGGTTACAAACTGCACACTTTTGATTCAGCTTTGGTTCATGGTTTGTTATGTCTTAGCCAGGACATTGTAAAAGCCTATACATATTCCCTCAAGAATTCCCCCATTATCAAAGGCTTATCATTTTACCTGCTGGGATTATCAGACCATTTCTTCCAGGTTAAATAGCTCTTCACTTATTTGTTCAAGGTAACTTACATTTTAAGCAACTATAAAGAATTCTACCAGTTTAGACAAATTAACTGTGCTAGCGGATAGGATTCATGTAAGGATTCTTTCCTGGTTACACCAAGTTTCTATGCTGCTTAAAATAACTTAGTTCTCCCAATTTAAGAAGTAATCTGGCTCTCAAACACAAGCCACCCACTCTAGTCATCATAGAGGGCACAGCGCAAACACTGACATTTAGGTTTAGTTTATTAGGGATAAAGTCCCCTTAAAACACAAATCAGCATTCAACACTTTCCATTTCTTCTGTGCCAAAGTATACTTCTACTTAACAGCTACTTCTGGCCTTCAAACCAGGAAACAGAACAGAAAATGTACAGCTTTAACATAAAACAAAAATCTCTCAAACAAGTTTTTGGGAAAGGCAGAGGGCTGCAGAAATGATGCTTATTTTCTACGCACTTATTTGATGCCTGGTATATTGAGCCTGAGGCAATAGGTATGTGTAAAGGCAAACATTTCAAACAACAAGTAGAAACATCTGTAATAAGCACAGGTACAACTGGGAGTTAAGCCATTCACCTGAAACATGACACATGTGCGCATTGCTTTAGGTAGCTTACTCCAATTCTTCATTTCTTAGGGATGGATTCAACTAAATAGTTGGATGAGCGGGAGCCAGCACAAGGAGTCCTGCTAGTGAAAAAGGACTCTCCCCACCACCAGCACCAAATTGGCTTGAGAGGTCAGGAGAACCCTCACAGTAGTGGCGGGGGCAGAGAGGGGAGATAATTTTACCAGGAAAAGCAGAAATGCTTGTGATGAGGAAATGATCCAAATAGAGCAACATTAAATTCCTCCCTTGATTTGTGATCAAATGGTGCTACTTACCCTGATAAATTATAAAGCAATTCTGAGGCAAATCTTGCCGAGTAACACAGCCTGCATCAGCCCCTAAAAGGTACAACACTTTAGGAGGGTTCTTCCGGATCGCATCCACTCCTGGCTTGTAGCCTAGGTCAAGGGCAGCTACTTGGCTTGCAACCCTGTCGAGGAAGAGATGACAATTTCACCCGATTATCTAAAATTCCTCTCTCAAAATCCAAGGATTTCCTAAAATATCCAGGGGGTATAAATCCTAAGTTATTCATTCAGATCCACAGCTATAAAACATGCTGAAAGTTACCAGGGCAAAGCCCAATTATTTGAAGCACTTTCTAAACTGTAACAATGCATGAAAACATACAATCACTGAGAAATGTGGGGGGAGGCTAATTTGGGACATGTATGTATACTGTACACACACACAAATGAGCTTTTACCTGGAGTTAGTGTTCCATGCTCAATTTTGAAATAAGTTTCTATTTGGCTCTGAATGCATATGAGCATGTCCTGCTAATCCCATTACTGGACAATACCCCCTTTATAGATTAAGTTGACAAAATGCTAGGTTCTACAAACAAGCAACCCTTTTGTGACACTTGTTTCCCAGTAAATCTCTATCTTACACTTGAGCCAGATGAATGAAGCCAACGGCTTTGCCCTAGGAAGCCTTTAAACCTCACCATACAAGACAATAAAAAAGGGACAAAGACATGTTGAGCAAACCTATGAAGAATGTTCATGACTTTCCAGCTGGGATCAGCTCCACTTTTTGTACTTGCATTTTGTGCAATGGTGGAAATGGCTGCATGAATGGCTGCCCCATCACCACGCTGAAGTGCTGCACTGCCAACCACGACCATTGGCTTTTTAGCCTGGTTCAGGACCTGTGTGGAAGTTGCAAGAGAGCAGGGTGTTAACCTCAGAGCTAACATACTGAATGAAAAGGCCAACTACAGCTTTTAAAAAACAAATATGTGGCATCATTTGCAAATGCGCTGTTAGTAGGCAGTTCCCCTATCTGGATGAGGGAGGTGGAATCTGTTTTAGTTGGGGGGTCATGCTCCCCCAAAGGTATCCAAGCTTGGGGGTGGTCCTGGGTCCTTTATTTCCACTGGAGGAATAAGTGGCCTCTATGGTGTGGAGTGCCTTCTACCAGGCTGCTCTCAAAAGCATACTAAATATGAACCCATACATGAGTACTAAATATCACCACCATTTTACAAAATTTAATACCTTGATTATAATCTACCACTCCAAAGCACTGCATTTTTTTAAAGGTACCTTGCTGAATGGGTGTTTTTCTGACGCAATGTCCAGGAGTATCTGTGGGGAATCTCCCAGGTGATCATATGTGTAAGTCAAGTCAACTGGGCTGCCCACAAGAGCCACTTTAAGTTCATTGTGTAGCCAGCTGAAAATGGAGCACGAAAAATGCTATTAAGGTTTTATAATGTGCAGAGAAATCAGTGCATAGTCATTTTATTTTTGCACAATATATTCTTGCAAAGAGTTCCTTGTACAGAAGCTGCTGAAACTTAACAGATGCACTGCACCCGAAGACAGGTACCAGCAGTGCTTTTTTTTTAGGGGGTCCTCAAGGGTACGCAGTACTGGCACCTTTTTTTTTGTTGTTGTTAAAAAGTGTGGCCCTTGCTGTAACAACTTCATGGTGAGTACCGGTACCTATCTTTCTAGAAAAAAGCACTGAGTAGGAGCCCTAATTTTTAAGACATAAAACAGATGCAACACCTTAAATGTATTCAATTGACTTTCTCCTCTCCTGATTCATTGCATCACAGAATGTTGTGCTATTTCCCAGATTTTCAGGGACAGGTTGCTAGGCAGCATGAAGACAACTCTAGCAAGGAGATTGCATCAACTGCTTAATGAATTGAAGATCTATGATCTTATGAAATGCAGTTTTGGAGCCCTTGCATTTTTTTATTCTGAAAGTACTCCTTTTTCTTAGTACAATAACCACAACAGTCACAGTCCCTTAATGTGTATGTTGCATTAGCACAATGCATAGCAAGTGATATAACTACAGTGGTGCCCCGCAAGACGAATGCCTCACAAGACGAAAAACTCGCTAGACGAAAGAGTTTTCCGTTTTTTGAGTCGTTCCACAAGACGAATTTCCCTATGAGCTTGCTTCGCAAGACGAAACGTCTTGCGAGTTTGTTTCCTTTTTCTTAAAGCCGCTAAGCCGTTAATAGCCGCTAAGCCGCTAATAGCCATGCTTCGCAAGACAAAAAAAACGCAAGACAAAGAGACTCGCGGAACGGATTAATTTCGTCTTGTGAGGCACCACTGTACAGCCATCAAGACATTGTCCAAATTAAATAGTTCCCAGTTTAAGTTCATACGTAGCAGGACCCAATATTCCACTTTCAAGATGCAGTTTCTCATTTGCATAGAGCAAGCCATTTAACATCTGCTACTTTCATGAAGCTACAAACCTCTTTCGGATTCTGGCGTTGAAGAGAGGTGCCTCAAAGCGTGGATTGGTACCAACCAGGAGCAAGACATCTGCCTCTTCCACTCCTGCAATCTTGGTATTAAGCAAGTAATTAGATCGCAGGTCTGTTCTGTAACAGAATACACACAAAAAAGGAAAATATGACTGGGGTATTCCAATGGGAAGGACTCTGAAATACCTCTGTTAAGAATACTTTTATTTCATAAAAAATACTAGATCTCAAAATAATAAATCCAAATCCTGGTCCTGGATTCCACTGTGCATTAAAATAAACTAATAGGGTGATATGAGCATTTTCACTTTCTTCTGTGAAAATGGCTCTATGCCTACTTTATACCTGCCTCTACTAAAACTTATGTGGTCCTCTTAATATATACAGTTCTGATATGTCAAAATTGACAACTCACAGGCTGCTCTGACATCTAAAGGCAGCCCTGTTTATGGAAGTTTTTAATGTTTGATGTTTTATTGTGCTTTTAATTCTGTTGGGACCTGCCCTGAGTGGCTGGGGAAACCCATCCAGATGGGTAAGGTATAAATAATTTATTATTATTTTTTTAATTATTAATTATTATTATTATTATTATTATTATTATTATTATTATCTGAGCATATGCTTTTCAGGGCCAGCCCTACCATTAAGCAGAATGAGGCACTCCCCTTAGATGGCAAAGGCTGGGCAGTGGCAGCAAGGAGGACAGCCCAGCCAGTACCCTCTAAGCTAGCCTGCTGCCCTCAAAAAGACACAGCCTTATCAATGTCAAATAAAGATTCAACTGCCTGTCCAATCAGCTTCTGAACATGATATTGGCCTCTTATCTTGTCCTAGTCTCAAGCAGAAAATGACTTGGGCTGTCCCTGAGGCTTTTAGTCCAGTAGCAGTACAGCCGTTAGCATTAACTTACCCAGCTCCTGCAGTAGGGAAGACCTCTTCAGTACACAAGTTGTCAGAGTTTACTCTATTCAGCAAGTCTTTAAGAGATACAAGTGCTTCTGCATCCACAAGTCCTCCCGCAATTGCAGCTACATCATTACCTTGGCTCCCCTGAAGCTGCAAATGAGAAAACAGAAGACGATATGAGATATTATATTAAAATTTTAGCAGCAAATTTGGTATGTTTTGTTTAAAAAAAAAAAAAGTGGAAAAGCTTTCATCTTCAACAACTAGAAAAATAGAGAACGGTAAGCCAATTTCCTCTACCCACCCCCCCAAAATGCAGGTGGGACACATAGCTTATTCTTTTAAATATTCACAAGATTGCAGAGGAGGAAGCAAAACTATCCTGATATGTAAAGATGGCATTCAAGATATAATATGGCTCTTCAGAGTCTACAATGCAAAACAAGTTCCTGAGCTACACCTTAAAATTACAAGATGTGTAATGCAATTAACCCCTGAATTCTAAAGTGAAGAAAGCATGACTTAAGTTGGTCGAGCACCTTAGCTATGGTCAAGAGTACACTGTAAGAAACAATATTTTCTTACCACTCCTGCCACACGGCTCAAGGCCTCTTCCCAAGACACGTAAGTGAACAGCCCTTCTTCATTCTTTATCATTGGCTCAATAAGACGCTGACGTTTCAAACCATCATAAGCAAATCTGGAGTGAAGATCAAGATAATGATGAAGCAACTGCTGAAGGAACAACCCAGCTATCAGCAGCTACTTCATTAACTGAGATCTATCGGCATACCACCTTTTCAGAAAGTTTGAATTACTTTGTCATTTTCTGTGGCACATATACTTAAGTGTTTTGTTCATAACCAGACCTTCTTAAGTGGAAATGGCCAAAGAAAGTTTTTTAAATCTACAATTTTAAAATTAGAAAAATACAAACATATTAGGCATAATCCTATAGAAGAATATGCACAGCTAAGCCCCAAAAATTTCCAGAGCAGATAGCAGTGATTTTTTTTTTTTTGTGCTGCAACAGAAGATGATCAACATCCATTTGCAAGTAATTCTTGAACTGTTCCTAAATCTTCAAACATGGAATGAAGAAAGTGTTGTAACTGTATATCTGTGTACTAAAATTCTCTTCTGAGAATATCACGTTTTACATACATGTTAAAGCATACCTTGTTTTATCGGATATCCATTCCTCATTGATATCTTCATGTAGTCTTGGCAAAATCCTCATCACTTCTCCAGTTCGAGTGCTTACCACAATGTTACTCCCTACTGCATCAAGAACATCAATGGATTCTGTCTTCCTAAGCGAAAAGAACAGAGTCCTTCAATTGCAAAACTTCAGGATGCTGTTATCTGGAAAACAGATCTCGCACTAAACATTCCCAAATGCTCCCAAGTTTCTAACAACTCTAATCATGGACGACAAGTATGACTAACCTCCCATAATATATTGCAAATCAGAAGTCAGCAACTACCAGCACTTAATATAAATTCAGCCTGTAAAGGACTACTGCCTATCTCATTACTACCATTCTTTCCTCACCCTTCCTTTCTCAGTTCTGCATCCTGAACAGCCTATGCCAGCAGCAGCAATTTTTTGTGCCCCACCCACCTGACTGGGTTGTCCCAGTCGCTCTGGGCGGCTTCCAACAGCATGTACAGAAACAACACAACAGAACATCAGGCATTAAGTGTCGTGATACAGGGCTGCCTTCAGACATCTACGAAAGGTCGTATAATTATTTATCTCTTTGACATCTGATGGGTGGATGTTCCACAGGGCAGGCAGGCATGGCCCACTGCCTGGTTCCCTGTGGCAAGCAATTTTGCTTCAAGAATGGCTGAACTGGAGTAACAGAGCACTGTTGCTGGTGCCACCATCTGACATGAAGCAGAAGCTACATGGTTCTGAAAGAGACCAGAATTTTCCAAAATTGGTGGAAATGCTTATTATGGGCAAGTTATCCCAGGTCAACACACCACCAATGAATGTGCTCTATGGACACATTCCTGAACCATGATAAATTTTATTTATATTAGCTTTTGTATTATTAGGATTCTTAGGACTTTCAAAAGGTTCAAGGTTACAAATCCAGTCCAAAAGCCATGGGGGAAAGCTACATTCCCATGTCTGAATTAATCTGAATATTTGACACCTAACATATAGCACAATAAAAGAATTATATTTAAAGTGACACTTCAAGTGCCAGTAAAGACACATGCCTTGTCTCCCAGGGTCGAGATGTAAAAGCATACGGCTTGGAGGTAAGGGCACCTACTGGGCAGATATCAATCACATTGCCGGATAACTCTGACATGAACATTTTCTCAATATAAGTGCCAACTTGCATCTCATTTCCTCTTCCTGTGGTTCCTAGATCATCAACTCCTGCAATCTCACTTGCAAACCTGACAAATGAAAGCAAAAAGAAAACACAGCAATACATGAAATGTCAGTTTGTCTTTCCAAGAAAAAAAAATATTTTAAAGAAACAATCAAAAAGAAGGATTTATAACTGAGCACTTCTGAACTAGCAATTGTTCAGATGAATGAAAAGCATTTCTAGCCTCACATGTACAAGTAATTTTCTGCAGCTCTAGCCCCTGTAAAGTGTTTATTATAATGCAACCCACACCTAGCTATCTGACCTGCCTCAACTCACAGGTTCAGGGAAAGTAAAACTTAAAAGGAACTATGAAGTCTACTAAGTTTCCGTTCCGTGTAAGTCACTGTACCACATTAAAATCTCTCTACATTAATTTATCTTAGCCTTGTGGTGCTTCCACAAACAGTTCAGGCACTCCTGTTCCTCTACAACAACCCAATGAAGACTGAGCATGCTAAGTGGGTAACTGACTACTGGGAGATAAAACAGAACACTGGGGGGGGGGGGGTAGAGAAGAGGGAATGAAGTGTCTGGAATCCAAACAGGGAGCACTCCATAGCGCACTTTGTTACAGCAGCCAGGTATCCTATTTCTAACAAGTGACCCGACACAAAGCTAAAATGACAGATTTTCACACAAGTACATTTTTATTCCAGATCCTTGTTTGTGCCCACCTGATTTTACATTATGCAGTAGTCAGCTGCTCATGTGAAAAATGTGTGGACTCCTTCGGTGCTTCCAGAGAGAATTCAGCAGTGGAATAGAACTAAAGAATGATCTTTCATAAGCAACTGAACACAAGCAACGGGCTGATGAATGTCCCCGATAAATAACTATGCATACACGCTGTTTGTGTACAAAACAGGATAGCAGTTACCTAATGCATCGAGTACATTGTATGCACCGGGTCATGATAGTTTTCACTAGTGGGCCGAGGTTCTTGTCTTCCACTGCACGTTTGCCTTCTAGGAATCTGCTCCTATCACTGCCAAACATCATTGACTGGTCCTAAAGACAAATAAACCCAAATAAATGAACATATGTGACTGAGAAGCAAAGTTTTACCCCAAAGGCCATTTTTAAAATCCAAGACGCTATACCTGAAGGTCACATTCGCCTCCCTGATCACAGATGGGGCAGTCCAGTGGATGGTTTGCCAACAAGAACTCCATTACACCTTCTCTGTTGGAGGTCAGTAAAAGAGAAACCACCATCTATATTTAGCATTTAATGTATGCTAAAAACACTTTATAGACTAGTAATACATGAATTCATTTATTTTAATACAGCATGCTATTAATAATTATGTCCTCCTTTGAAAGTGTGTTCAAGCATTAACATTTCTGTTAAAAACGAGTCTTAAAAAAACAAAACATGCCCAGCTTACTGTTGTAATGTTGAAGACTAAAGATGCACCCTGCTGCACACTTACTTGGCAATAAGTCACACTGATCTCAGTTCTGAGCAGCATACATTGCAATTTGCACACAATTGGATGGAGCTTACCTTGCTTTCCTAGACTTCTCAGAATTTGTCAGAATGTTCCAACCCTTCATTACTGGCATGGCACAAGCAGCTACTGGCTACAAACGCATAAGAAAGCTACATCAATAACAAATTTGTATACATGGATGCTCACATAGTGGCAGGGTATTATCAATTAAATGCCTCAACTGTTTGCCTTAGTTTCATAATAAACTTATTGATAAAAATCAACACCAAGGCTTAAGTTAACCCTTCATTACTGGCATGGCACAAGCAGCTACTGGCTACAAACGCATAAGAAAGCTACATCAATAACAAATTTGTATACATGGATGCTCACATAGTGGCAGGGTATTATCAATTAAATGCCTCAACTGTTTGCCTTAGTTTCATAATAAACTTATTGATAAAAATCAACACCAAGGCTTAAGTTCAAAGCAAAAATAAGGAAGTAACATTCACGTAATACATAAATTAATGTAGTCACGGCCAGCAGCTTAGAGGGCTTTAAAATCTGATCCAATTCATGGACAGTAGGATTTATCAGAAGCTAACAGCCATTGTGATTCCATGGACCCTCCATTTTAAGATGCAATTTACTACTGAATAACAGTTATGGGGGAAGGTGGAGGGTAACAGCATGAGATGACAATTGCCTTATCATGGAATCATAGAATTGGAAGAGAGCTGGAAGGGACCATGAGGGCCATTTAGTGCAGTCCCCTGCAATGCAAGAATCTTTTGCCCAACGTGGGGCTCAAACCCACAACACTGACATTAAGAGTCTGATGCTCTACTGACTGAGCTATCTTTCATGCTCTCCTTCTGGTCTTCCCCAGAAACATCTGACTGATGTTTGCAGCAAAACAGCTATCCCTTCCTCCAAGGGCTGGACATGTGAACACTGCAAGCATTTATCAACATATACCATAGAAATATTTAGATGTTTTTGCCGATCACATGGACTGCCGGAACAAGGAAAGGCTTTCAAGAGACAGTAAAGAACATATCAACCTTAAATGTTCTAGTCCAGCTGCTTGCCTGTATTTTTTCATCACTGAGTGCTGAGAGATTAAATTCTCAGGCACCAGACATGACACACAAGGTAGGTAGAGCTGCAATCCTATAGGGTTCTCAAGCTCTGGAAAAATGGCATAAGTCACAGTATAGGAATTACATTGTTTGGTTAGGTTGGATTCAGCATGTTGCCACCCTGCAGTGGGTAAAAGCCCATGTGCGCATGCCAGCGCTATGTTACTGAATGCCCTAACTGCCAACAGCTTAACACCCCTGTTTTCTCAATGGAAACCAAAAGCTGATGCTCCGCTATCATCAATGTGTTTGATAGGATGTCTACAAATATGAAAATAAATGTGTGTAAAATGGTAAAGGACCCCTGGATGGTTAAGTCCAGTCAAATTTGACTATGGGGTGTGGTGCGCGTGCACAAACACACTATGCCAACAGCTTTATGTAGGCGAACACAACATTCACAATAATGTCAAAAAGCAACTGCTAGCAGTGGGCATATTGCAACTTGTAATTCAAATGCCAGCAAGGTTGTCATTAGCTGTTCTGCTAAGCGCTTTACGCTTGTCTTTAACTGTCCTGTTGGCTCTTTACACTTCTAGAACACAACAATTTATGAAAGATAAAAGTATTAGCAACCTTGGGAGCTTTCTCTATCTCCACGAGACACATCCTACAATTTCCAGCCACTGACAATCTGTCATGATAGCAAAATCGAGGGATCTGCATTCCAACCTTTTCACAGGCCTACAGCAAAGACAAAACAAAAGAGAAAAAGTGTCAATGTACATGTTAGGAACTTTTTAGCATGTTCCATACAAATATGACTCAGGCTGCAAGTCTATAAGCATTTACCTAAGAGAAAGTCCCATTGAACTCATCATTAATTATCATTATTATTACCCTTTCCTTAACCTTAAGGTCCCAAGGCAGGTTACAATTAAAACACAACAGGTCTTACTTCCAAGTAGATATGTTAGGAAAGCACTGTCAGTCTCTCATTTATAAAGAAAAGCTATTATTTTTATCCAAGTACAGTGGTACCTCTGTTTTTGAACGTAATCCATTCAAGTTCTGAAACGTTCGAAAACTGAAAACTCAATATGGAAGCCACGTGGCATGTTCGACTTCCGAGGCATTTGAAAACCGAAATGTTCATCAACAGAGACGTTCAAAAACTGAGGTACCACTGTACTTATTTTTCTTTGCAGTTGGTTTGCAATGCTATAAAGGAATGGAGCCATGAGAAGCAAGGTCCAATGTGCTTTAAAGAGATATTACAGCAGGTACTGGAGGGGATGTGAACAGAATGTGAATAGAAAGAGACAGTGTATACAGATTTATTCTACCTGAAGTACTGTGGTTCCTGGAGGTACTAATACAGAATTCCCATCAACGAAAACCTCTATCAGGTTGCTGGCTGCTGTTGCCGTTGCACGCACTGAAAGACAAAAGAATAAAATATGGAAAATGTGATCATTTATTGCTCAGAAGTCAGATTAAGTATTTTGGATTCATTCACTAGTTACTTGCTGAAAGGATAAACAGGGCACACAAGCTCATACAGGGGAATCCCCGCTTACACAAGGAGTTCTGTTGTTGCACACGCAAATCCCATCCCTCCCCTCCTGCCCCGCCCCCTTTCAGCACACATGCTGATCATGTGAGAGGAGCCTGTCCTGCCAAAAACCCCAAAGCATAATATGAATTTAAGTTGTCAGTCATTTAGGTGCTGGAATATAATATTTTATTCATTTTAACCTATCAAACTGACCTTACAAAAATAGAGAAAAAACATTTAATTCCCTAGGATGGAATTATCTGCACAGTGTGTTTTATACCACGGATTGTTCAGACCATAATTTACCATTACAAGAATGAGCCACAGCAGGTCCTAGGTTTCTGCGCTCCCCCACTGTGATGAGAGTTCAGTTTTTATTTCCTTTTAGGATTAACTGGAGCTTGCCATATAATCTCAACCTGGACAAATTGGATTAATCTTAATGGTTAGTTGTAATATGCCAACATCAATTCATACTTTTTAAAGCCTGCTTATTTGAACCAACCATTGTTAAGATTAGTCACAGTTTAGGGTCTGACTGATATGCTAAATTGCAGTCAATCCAAAACAAACTTGATTCCTTCCTTGCCAAGGGGACGTGGGGGATGCATTACATTCATATACAGCAAGAAGCTGCTTCCAAGCATCAAAATGAAGTATTTTCTCTAAAAGGAGGTGTGTTTAAAAGCATTATATTACTATATAAATGGACTGCATCTAAAGGCAACTTACCACATCCTTTAGTAATCTGAGTGGCACCAGCTAAGGCCTTGTGGACAGCAGGGAGTCGCAACATGGTGCTGGAAATAAGGTGCTGGCGATAAGACATTAAAATTTAAAATTTAAAACAAGGTTCAAACAAGAGCTTGTTAAATTTAAAATGAATGAAAAATAGTTTAAATTTATAACCCAACATTTCTGACACCCAAGCATATGAACACTTGCAGATATGGTCACACATGCAAGAATTACATAAGTCCCATTCAGGTGTTCACTCCCACATTACTGTCACATTCCTACTGCCCTCCATGCATTGTAAGGAAGGTCTGAAGCAGGGAACATGCTCTGTACCTGAAGGTTCCCCGGCCTCCAGCCTCTGGGCCTAAGGTTCCCCACCTCAGCTTACAGCTTTTACAAAATTTAAAAGACCTTAAGTACAAAATGTGAAAGGTAAGCAGAGTACATAAACGTTTCACACAGTATACATTGTGTGTAGGTTGTCGCCGCACCTACTGAAGAGACTTCTTCACAGCTCTTAAAAGTGCAGGAGCTCCTTTGCACTCAGTCCCTAAATCTGCACACTAACACAGAGAAGGATCATAAGAAAGATGCTAGAATTACTGTGGACACTCCCCCGGGGCAGAATATGGTGACAATTACTCCACAGTAAATGGCAAAAATCCTAAGGAGGTAGATTTTGAGTCTCAAATAGTTCCATAAGCATTGCCACTAAATCTGTAACATAAAAAAGGGAGGTAGCTTGTAGCTGTGCTGTCTATACATGTAGTACTGCTGTCAAGTGATGCCCTGCAATGCTCTTATGCTGTCTTCATAAGGGGAAACGGGCTGGGAAAGCATATAAAATTGCAACATAAGCAAGCAAGCAGGGCTAGGATCACATTGTGAACCTGCTGCTGTTCTTGTAAACAGGTGGGTTTGGTGGGCCTCTTTTCATAGAAATTTAGAGTTGGAAGGGATCCCAAGGGTCATCTACTCTTGCAATGCAGAATGCAGAAATCTCAGCTAAAGCCTGAAGCCATTGGTTTGGGTCCTACCCTCTGCGGAAGCAGAAAACAAGCTTATTGCTTCCTTCATGTGACAGCCCTTCAGATAAGATGGCTATTGTATCTCCTCTGTCATCTCTTTCCCAGCCTAAACAGACCCAACTCCTTCAATTGTTCCCTCATAAGGCTTGGTTTCCAGACCTTCATAACCTTGAGCAGCCCTCCTCTGCTCACATTCCAGCGTGACTAAATTCTTCTTAAACTGTGGTGCCCAGAACTAGACACAGTACTCCTGGTGTGGTCTGACCAAGGGAGAAAAGAGTAATGCTATGACTTCCCTTGATCGGAACACTCTGCTTATGCAGATGGAACCTACAACAGCATCCCTTTATTTTTGCTGCTACATCACACTGTTGACTCAAGTTAATTTTGCGGTCCACCAAGACCCCCACAAGAGACTTTTCAAATGTACTACTGGCAAGTCAGCTGCCCACCCCCCCCCGCCCCCAATTCTTATACTGCTGCATCTGGTTATTCCTTCTTAAGGGCAGAACCTTTTTTTAGTTCAGGCCCAGTTCTCCAATCTGTAAATGCCTTATTGAACCCCAATTCTCTCCTCTGTGCCATATTAGCCACGGCCTGGTGTTATCTGGCCCTTTCCCTTTCTTGTCCTTTTTTCCATGTTATGCATGCCAATCGATTGGAAAGTTGAATGGGTGGGATGGGAAGATTGCCGGAAGAAATATCAACAACCTCAGATATGCAGATAACACAACCTTGATGGCAGAAAGTGAGGAGGAATTAAAGAACCTTTTAATGAGGGTGAAAGAAGAGCGCAAAATATGGTCTGAAGCTCAACATCTAAAAAACTAAGATCATGGCCACTGGTCCCATCACCTTCTGGCAAACAGAAGGGGAAGAAATGGAGGCAGTGAGAGATTGTATTTTCTTGGGCTCCATGATCACTGCAGATGGTGACAGCAGCCACGAAATTAAAAGACGTCTGCTTCTTGGGAGAAAAGCAATGACAAACCTAGACAGCATCTTAAAAGGCAAAGACATCACCTTGCCAACAAAGGTCCGTATAGTTAAAGCTATGGTTTTCCCAGTAGTGAAGTGTGGAAGTGAGAGCTGGACCATAAAGAAGGCTGATCGCCGAAGAATGGATGCTTTTGAATTATGGTGCTGGAGGAGACTCTTGAGAGTCCCATGGACTGCAAGAAGATCAAACCGATCCATTCTGAAGGAAATCAGCCCTGAGTGCTCACTGGAAGGACAGATCCTGAAGCTGAGGCTCCAATACGTTGGCTACCTCATGAGAAGAGAAGACTCCCTGGAAAAGACCCTGGTGTTGGGAAAGATGGAGGGCACAAGGAGAAGGGGACCAGATGGTTGGACAGTGTTCTCGAAGCTACCAGCATGAGTTTGACCAAACTGCGGGAGGCAGTGGAAGACGGGTGCCTGGCGTGCTCTGGTCCAGGGGGTCACGAAGAGTCGGACACGACTAAACAACAACAACAACAGTTGAAAGGGGTCCCCAGGGGTCATCTAGCCCAACCCACTGCTCGAACCAGCCACCTGCCTGGTGAAGCAGCCAGGCGCCCTCACCAGCTGCGCCACCTGGGCATTGGCTTATTTCTGCCGCTGCATCGCGATGCCCGGCTGCTGCTTACGGCCCCCTCCCTCTCGGCACCCTCTGCCAGCTCACGAAAGGTGACCTTTGGGCGCCCCTGAGGCCAACGGGACACCTGCCTGCTACTTCCCGAGGCCCGGCTCGTCTCCAGTGCAGTAGGGAACCCGGCGTGGGGAAGAGAGGGGCCGTCTTTTATTACCGCACGGGGCGACTTGACGAGGTAGGAAGCCGGCAAGGGGAGTCTCGGCCGCGGGGGCGCAGGCAGCCCGACGACCCGCTCAAGGGCGCCGCGAAGGCGAAGCGGACAGCGGCCTACCTACGCGCCTCCCTTCGGAAACGGGACGGAAAGCACCGCGGAGGCCCTTTTGCCCGCCGCGCCGCGACCTTCCTCCCGTTACCTCCTCCTCTTCGGCCCGGCGTGGGGGGCGGGCGGAAACCCGGTCCGGCCTTAACGACACAGGACGCCTCCTCCGCCGCTGCCTCCTCAGAAGCGGCCTCCTCAGCACTCAAGATGGCGGAGGGCCGTCGGCAATTTCCGCGACGCGCTCGGCAACATTCGGCGAGGACGCCGCCGACGTTCCGCGGCCCGCACGCAAGTTCCGCCGTCAATTGAAAACAAACGAGGCGAACCAACCGTCGATTTCCCTCCTTGATTGACGTGAGCGATGACCCGCCTCCTCCTAGCGTAGCTTCCGGCTTTTAAAACCTGCGGAGGGGCGGGGCCGGACCGTTAGAAACAAACGGGGAGAAGCACCGCCCCTTTCTTGATTGACGTGAGCGATGATCCGCCTCTTCCTAGCGTAGCTTCCGGCTTTTAAAACCTGCGGAGGGGCGGGGCCGTTCCGTTAGAAACAAACGGGGAGAAGCACCGCCCCTTCCTTGATTGACGCGAGAGCTGATCCCGCCTCCTCCTGTCATAAATCTGCAGCTTTCAAAACCGGCGGGGCTGGGGCGTGTCCGTTGTTCCGCCCTTGAGCGGCGGAAGGACACGTCGGCGGGAATGAGCCCCCGTGGCGGAGGGATTTGCGTGCGTGCGTATATATAAGAGCAGCGCAGGCCGAGCGCCGCCCTCTTTCCCCGACGGCCGTCGTGGTGGCTGTTGTGCGCGCGCAGCCGGTCTCTTCCCCGCCTCCCGCTCCTGAAACTTCGGCGCCATCATGGGCTTTGGGGATCTGAAATCCGCCTCGGGGCTCCAGCTTCTCAACGCCTTCCTAGCCAGCAGGAGCTACATCGAGGGGTGAGCCGCCCTCCGCGCACCCCGAAATATTCACGGTTTCCGTATCCCTGTTAAACGCCAGCAGTAGGTCCCGCTTTTCCCATTCATTGGCCTTCGCTTCTTCCCGCGTAGGCCCCACGTTGCTGCACGAAGAGGGCGATTTGAATGAGGACTAGGAACTTGGCAAGTCTCTTTTGGAAACCTTGCTGTGCTTTGCGCGCGCGCGCGTGAGAAAGGAGCTATAGATGGTCGTAGGTGTATCTCTTTTAACACCCTACGATTGAAGCCACGTTATTCTGAGGCATTTTAAAGTATATTAATAATAACAATTTTTATTTATTCCCCGGCCAGAGCCGGGCTCAGGGCGGCTAACACCAATAAAATCACAGTAAAAGCATAATGGGGGAAAGAGAAATACCAATTTGAAATACCAATACCAATTTGAAATACAGGCTAAAATTCAATTTAAAATGCAGCCTCATTTTAAAGTAGCCGATAAATCTTAGCCTCTAGTCTTCCTACTTTCTGAGGGGCATCATAAGGCAAATCATGGTTACGAATACCAGTCCTAGGAGTGGTATTTGCTTTTCAGGTCAAGCTTGTCTCCCGCAGAGGCCCACATTAGTTAAAAAGAGAAGAGGGGCTTGCAGGCACAAAGGAAAGGAGAGTTCTTCAAGGCCCCAAAGCCTTCTAACAATGAATTTATATATGAATAGCTGCTGGTTCCTGTTCCTTTGGGTGGTGCAGGGTGCAAGCTGGTCTTTACCCCCTTCCTCAAAGATAGGAAGCGAGGCCTTGCACTATCTCTTGATCCCCCTGCCTTCTACTTCCCTTCTGCTCTCTAGTCCCATAAATTATTCTTTTGCAGATTTTGGGCTCTGGGAGAGAGCCGCTTGCCTAACAAATTGATGGTTTATGGGGCATTTGAACCAGCAGCCGTCTGATTTGCAATGCTCTTTCCAAGCTGTTGCCACGTGTCCTTTACTAACGCATTTGGCCATTGTTGGGTGGTTTTGGGATAAATGTATTCTGGTTCTGATGCGGGGGGATGGATAAAAATACAAGGATGGGTTAGAAAAGTGAATGGGAGAAAAATACAAAGATGGGTTGGAAGAGTACATGTGAGAATATGTAAGCTTAAAGTAACTTGTTCCAAGACCACATGGCAGTCTTTGTGTGTGGATCATGGGATTTGCAACCTGCCATAATGCCCAAAAGTGAGACTTTACATCATTTAAAAAACATCAGTGCTAGATGTGTTGGGCCTACTGGGAAATGAGGGGCTTTTGGAGATTCTGTATGGGCTTTTGTTGTGGTTCTTGGGTGGTAGAGTATTAAGACTAATCCAGAAGTAATGGATATGGTTAATTAACCATAGTTAACCATTTTGTTCAAACTGGGAAAGTGGCGGTTATCAGTTCTGGAACAATGCATGATATGAAAGTTTGAAGTTGGTCTCTTATATTGCTGGAAGCTGGCTTGTTCTGAAGCTGATCTGGTAACCATAATTTATTGTTTCAGGTGAACAGGAAATTATAGTTAATAAGAACCTTCCTGGTTTATTTGTAGCTTGCACAGAGGGGCTACAAACTCTTGTTCATACCTGCTTATTTGGGAGACATCTGAGTGGCTTGCTGAGATGGATTTCACTTTATATCTGTGGTGCTTTTCGTTTTGCTGAATGAAACAAATTTTAACCTGAACATGTTTTCTGTAGGTATGTCCCATCCCAAGCAGATATTGCAGTTTTTGAAGCAGTTGGTGCACCCCCTCCTCCTGAGCTGTTCCATGCCCTCCGCTGGTACAACCACATTAAGTCTTTCGACAAACAAAAGGCAAGGTAGGGCTCAATTTGCTGTCATTTACAGGTTTGTATTCAATGTAGCATTAAGCAACAGCGATTTCTCTCTTATTGCCCCCCTTTTTCTGGGAGTTCCCCCAACTCTCCAAAGCAGATTTGGAGATGGCATAAGAGGGGTGGGGAATCCCATTGTGCTAGTGCAACTATGTAATGACACCCAAAAACTTTAGAACTCTTTTGTCCCGGACAGCCATATACAGCACCAGCAGTAATCAGTGATGTGGATGCAACATTTTTCTATTTCTGAAACTACATCAGGTGGAATTGAGCTATTACAAATGTTTCATCTGCACAAGCATTCTAGCTTTTCAGACAGAACTATTCCCCTTTTTCAGGGGGAGAGGGGAAAGTTTCATTGTACAAAGGGCTACCCATCTTGCTGTTGGATAATAATAATATAATTTTATATTTATATCCCGCCCTCCCCAGCCAAAGCTAGGCTCAGAGCGGCTAACATACAAGTAAGACAATGCAAAATAACGAGCGATCAATAAATTAAGATACATCCCACAGTTAATTCAAACAAGTTAAAATTAAAACTGGGCAAGTTGCAATCTTCAGGTTAAAATTGAGGGCAGTTACCAACTGTTTCCACTGACATTATAAGCACCTGTGAGTGGGCTGGGAACCTCCTTCATGCTTGTTCTTATACAAGGAGAAAATGAGTCAGACTGAACCCTGACCCAAAGGCCTGGCATAACAGCTCTGTCTTACAGGCCCTGCGGAAAGATGTCAAATCCCGCAAGGCCATAGTCTCTTGTGAGAGCGCGTTCCACCAGGCCGGGGCCACAGCCGAAAAGGCCCTGGCTCTGGTTGAGGCCAGTCTGATCTCGGGGGCCCAGAATCCTTAGGATGTTGTTATTTGCAGACTGTAAGGTCCTCTGGGGCAAGGTTAAAACCAGCACCTTAAACCTGATCCTGTACTCCACCAGAAGCCAGTGCAGCTGGTATAGCACTGGGTGAATGTGATCCCACAGCAGAGACCCTGTAAGGATTCTCGCCACGGTATTCTGCACCCCCTGGAGTTTCTGGGTCAGTTTCAAGGGCAGCCCCACATAGAGTTACAGTAATAAAGCCTGGAGGTGACCGTTACATGGTTCACAGTGACGAGGTTGGGGCGAGAGAGGTAACGGACCAATTAGTACATCAAAAATGTTACAAATTTTTACAAAAATGGTACAAAGCGTGTCATAATGGCCAGTTACGTGATTAAGTTTCTGTTGCCTTAATGGAGCTTATACTTGCTGTAGTGTATATATGTGGCACTATGGTCTAAACCAGGGTTAGTCAACCTTTTTATACCTACCGCCCACTAATGCATCTTTTTTTATGGTAAAAAATCCTTACCGCCCACCAGTGCTTGATGGAAGGATTAGCTTGTGCCATAGAACCCCTACCGCCCACCTAGAAAAGCCCACTAGTGGGCAGTAGGGACCAGGTTGACAACCCCTGGTCTAAACCATTGAGCCTCTTGGTCTTGCCAATCTGAAGGTCGGTGGTTCGACTCCAAGGGACAGGGTGAGCTCCCGTTGCTCTGTCCCAGCTTCTGCCAACCTAGCAATTCTAAAGCACACCAGTGCAAGTAGATAAATAGGTACCACTGTGGCGGGAAGGTAAATGGTGTTTCCGTGCACTTGTCATGGTGTCCCATTGCACCAGAAGCGGTTTAGTCATGCTGTCCATATGACCCAGAAAAGCTGTCTGCGGACAAACCCTGCCCCCTTAGCCTGAAAACGAGATGAATGCCGCAACCCCATATTCACCTTTGACTGCACTTAACCGTCCAGGAGTCCTTTACCTTTACTTTTATATAGCACACATACACTGTGTGAAGTGCATAAATTAAAACCAGACTAATTCAGCATGATTCAAATCTGCTAAACCTCAGGGAATCAGGATGTTTTTGGAATGGCTTAGTGAAAACATTCAGATGGCTCACCCCATGATCCCTGGCTGAGCATTATGTTTGAACCAGGAATCATGGTTTGTTTTGCTCCAGACTAGATTTGCCTGAGTGAAACAACAATCCCTGGTTTGGACATAATGCTAAGCTAGGGATAATGGTTGGTTACTTACACTAGGGGCAGCTATGTATGCATTACTGTAGCATGCAAACTGAAGCAGAATCTTGTAGCACCCTAATTTATTTGTGATAATTATTGTGAAAATAATAAAAAACAAAGCTGAGCCACAATAATGCCAACTCCAAATCTCATATGTAAGGGGAAATGTGAAAACCATTTTACCCATTTAAAAAAATTTTTTTTAAGAATGTTATTGCGCACGAACAATGCTTCTCCTGGAAACAGGTCTTCGCATACAGTGACTTTTCTCTGTTCCCGCCATGTGTTCTTCAGTCCCTTTTTTAAAAAGCTTTCTAACAATGAAAAGTCAGAGCTGCCAGACAGCTTTTGTTGTTGTTTAGTCTATTGTGTCCGACTCTTCGTGACCCCATGGAGCAGAGCACGCCAGGCATTCCTGTCTTCCACTGCCTCCCGCAATTTGGTCAGACTCATGCTGGTAGCTTCGAGAAGACTGTCCAACCATCTCATCCTCTGTCGTCCCCTTCTCCTTGTGCCCTCCATCTTTCCCAACATCAGGGTCTTTTCCAGGGAGTCTTCTCTTCTCATGAGGCGGCCAAATATTGGAGCCTCAGCTTCACGATCTGTCCTTCCAGTGAGCACTCAGGGCTGATTTCCTTAAGAATGGATAGGGTTGATCTTTTTGCAGTCCATGGGACTCTCAAGTGTCTCCTCCAGCACCACAATTCAAAAACATCCATTCTTCGGCTATCAGCCTTCTTTATGGTCCAGCTCTCACTTCCATACATCACTACTGGGCAAACCATTGCTTTAACTATACGGACCTTTGTTGGCAAGGTGATGTCTTTGCTTTTTAAGATGCTGTCTAGGTTTGTCATCGTTTTCTCCCAAGAAGCAGGCGTCTTTTGATTTCGTGACTGCTGTCCTCATCTGCCGTGATCATGGAGCCCAAGAAGGTAAAATCTGTCACTGCCTTCATTTCTTCCCCTTCTGTTTGCCAGGAGGTGATGGGACCAGTGGGCATGAACCCCCCCCCCCAATAGTTTGCTGTGGTCGACACAGTCAAATGCTTTTGCGTAGTCAATGAAGCAGAAGTAGATTTTTTCTGGAATTCTCTAGCTTTCTCTATAATCCAGCGCATGTTTGCAATTTGGTCTCTGGTTCCTCTGCCCCTTCGAAATCCAGCTTGCACTTCTGGGAGTTCTCGGTCCACATACTGGTTAAGCCTGCCTTGTAGAATTTTGAGCATCACCTTGCTAGCGTGTGAAATGAGTGCAATTGTGAGGTAGTTGAAGCATTCTTTGGCACTGCCCTTTTTTGGGATTTGGGTTTTGACTGATTTCCAGTCCTCTGGCCATTGCTGAGTTTTCCAAACTTGCTGGCATATTGAATGTAGCACCTTAACAGCGTCATCTTTTAAGATTTTAAATAGTTCAGCTGGAATGTCATCACTTCCACTGGCCTTGTTATTTGCAGTCCTTTCTAAGGCACATTTGACTTCACTCTGCAGGATTTCAGGCTCAAGGTCAACAGCCATACAATCTGGGGTGTCTGGGACATCCGTATCTTTTTGGTATAATCCCTCTGTGTATTCTTACCACCTCTTCTTGATGTCTTCTGCTTCTGTTGGTCCTTACCACTTTTGTCCTTTATCATATCCATCTTTGCGTGAAACATTCCTTTCATGTTTTCAATTTTCTTGAACAGATCTCTGGTTGGAGAAGTAACCAGCAACCCCCTCCAGTATCTCTGCCAAGAAAATTCCATGGACAATAATATCAGGCATATAAAAGTCATGACGTTGGAAGATGAGCCCCTCAGGTCGGAAGGCGTTCAACATGCTACTAAGGAAGAGCGGAGGACAAGGACAAGTAGATCCAGAGCTGATAAAGCGAGTGGAACAAAGCCAAAAGGACACTCAGTTGTGGATGTGCCTGGAAATGAAAAGAAAGCCGAACGCCTTAAAGGAAAATATTGCATAGGCACCTGGAATGTAAGATCCATGGACCATAGTAAGCTGGATGTGGTCAAACAGGAGATGGCAAGAATAAATATTGACATCTTGGGCATCAGTGAACTAAAATGGACCGGAGTGGGCGAATTCAGTTTGGATGACTATCATATCTACTACTGTGGTCAAGAATCCCATAGAATAAATGGAGTGGCCCTCATAGTCAACAAAAGAGTGGCGAGATTGATACTCGGATACAATCTCAAAAATGATAGAATGATCTCGATACGATTCCAAGGCAGACCTTTGCACACCACAGTAATACAAGTTTATGCACCAGCTACCGATGCTGAAGAAACCGAAATTGACCAATTCTATGAAGACTTACAATGCCTTCTAAAACTGACACCAAAGAAGGATGTTCTTCTCATTATGGGGGATTGGAATGCTAAAGTAGGGAATCAAGAGATAAAAGGAACAACTGGCAAGTTTGGCCTTGGAGTCCAAGACGATGCAGGGCAAAGGCTAATAAAGTTCTGTCAAGAGAACAAGCTGGTCATCACAAACACTCTTTTCGAACAACACAGGAGACGACTCTACACATGGAAATCACCAGATGGGCAGCATCGAGATCAGATTGATTATATTCTCTGTAGCCAAAGATGGAGAAGCTCTATAGAGTCAGCAAAAACAAGACCTGGAGCTGACTGTGGTTCAGATCATCAGCTTCTTATAGCACAATTCAAGCTTAAACTGAAAGCAGGGAAAACCACTGGGCCAGTAAGAGACAATCTAAATCAAATCCCTTATGAATACACAGTGGAAGCGAGAAACAGATTTAAAGATTCAGATTTGGTGGACAGAGTGCCTGAAGAACAATGGATGGAGGCTCGTAACATTATACAGGAGGCAGCAACGAAAACAATCCCAATGACAAGGAAATGCAAGAAAGCAACGTGGCTGTCCAATGAGGCCTTACAAATAGCGGGGGAGAGAAGGCAAGCAAAATGCGAGGGAGATCGTGAAAGATACAGGAAATTGAACGCAGATTTCCAGAGAAAAGCAAGGAGAGACAAGAGGGCCTTCTTAAACAAGCAGTGCGAAAAAGACAACTTAAGGCATGAATTATATACTTGTATCAGTGCAGACTATTCCTTGTACAGTAAAGATCTAATCGAGAATAACATGAAATTGCTGTAACTCCTGCTCCTCAGAAATAAGTTGGTGCATATAGAATAAACCTGTGAAATTGAGTGTTGTGTACCCTATTCAAATTTTTCAGGCAGCAGGTGGAGCTCTTCCAATGCTTTTCAAAAGGTTTTATTCCCTTTTCCCCTCCCCCCGAATTAAAAACACTTCTGGCTAGCGTTGCATGGGAATATGGCTGTTTTAAGAGAACTCCAGGCTTGTGACAAAACACTTAACCATACTCAGTGGCTGGGCTTAATGAACTGACAGGCAGCGGTGAGATGGAGGGCACCTCAGGTTGGCAATTTATGCAGAGTCGGGCTTAGAACTGCGGCTTTTGCGTGGTGATCCCTCGGCCGCAAGCGCACAAGCAGTTTGCCAGAGCAGCTATGAGTCCAGGTTCAGGCCAAAGATTTATGATGGTTGGGAGAGAGTACTGGGGGGGGGGGGGAATAGCAGAAGGAAATATTATATCCCGGTTAGACAACTTGCTTAGGTCTGGTCCTTTTCATGCGGCAGACTGATGTGGAGGAATGGACTGTACCACTTTAGGCTCCGGGGGGCGGTATCTTCGTTATTCCTCTGCTAAGAACTCCCTGGAATTCGACGTGGAACGTAGCAGGGGCAGGGCTGAATTGGAATCTTTCTGCTCTAAGAAAGATTTATTTGCAGTGAGTCTTTTCAAAAATGGGAGAGCACATACGCTTCATTATAATATAATAATAAATGAGCACATTTGGGTAAAAAGATTTCAGTTCATTCTATCACCTTATTCGAACCTCATTCTGTGGCAGGCATAAACCCAATCTCCCATGCTTGCATGTTTGATTTAGTGACTAGCCCGTTGGGTAAAGGTAAAGGGGCCCCTGACCATTAGCTCCAGTCGTGACCGACTCGGGGGTTGTGGTGCTCATCTCGCTTTATTGGCCAAGGGAGCCAGCGTTTGTCCGCAGACAGCTTCCGGGTCATGTGGCCAGCATGACAAAGCTGCTTCTGGCAAACCAGAGCAGCGCATGGAAACGCCATTTACCTTCCTGCTGGAGTGGTACCTATTTATCCACTTGCACTTTGACGTGCTTTGGAACTGCTAGGTGGACAGGAGCAGGAACCGAGCAACGGGAGCTCACCCCGTAATGGGGATTCAAACCGCTGACCTTCTGATCGGCAAGTCCTAGGCTCTGTGGTTTAACCCGCAGCGCCACACACATCCCTGCCCGTTGGGTAGCAGGTGCTTTTTCAGCTGGCATCTGGTATCTTGCCTCTGAAATGTCTCCATGGTTAAGTGGTGGCTGGTTTGTTAATTAGTTGCCCAAACTGGGACACACTTTTGCAATTTAATTCTGGGTCGTATGTAGTTAGTAGAAGGGCACCATATAAGTTCTGTCTGGGTTTTTTTTTCCTAGTCTGCCTGGAGTGAAGAAGGCGTTGGGAAAATATGGCCCTTCAGATGTTGAGGACTCAACAGGCACTGGCGGAGACAGCAAAGATGACGATGACATTGATCTCTTTGGCTCTGATGAAGAGGAGGTATGCAGAATGTTTTTTCTTTCAGTTTCCAGTTGCAGAGAGGTGTCATGAGCCCACATGCATTTAAACAAAAAAGAACCTGGCAACATGATGAACAAAACCAAATCACCATCTTTCGGCTGAAAACATGATGATTTGTTTTACCTGACATGTCCAGTTATACTTGATCACTGTTTGGGAACAGTTGCTTTCTTTTGTCCAACACGGTCTCTTTCTTTTCATAGGAAAGTGAAGAAGCAAAAAGATTAAGGGAGGAGCGGCTTGCTCAGTATGAATCAAAGAAATCCAAAAGTACGTTATCCAGCTCCTTCGCCTTTGAATTTATGCACTTTGAATTGCTTTTTTGATTAAGGTTATTGTGAATTAAAATCAGCATAAATAAGTGACAGCAGAACTTTCTTCCAGCTATTTCCAAAGTGTCCTAATAAGTTTTGAGTTAAAATTCCTAGTTTTGACCAATGTTTTTTCCAGGCTGTGGAATAGAAGCCATAGGAAACAATTGTTTACAATCAAATCCTGTGCTGTGTTGCTGAAGGGGAAATTCTGACTCCTAATTCTAACCAATGCAGGATCCCACAGCTACTGGCCTGAAACTGCTCTGTACTGTAGCAGTTGCAGTATTCCAACTGTGGGAGATTAGCAGTTACACTATGCAATGCTCCTTTCTCCACCAGGGAAGAGAATTTCAGTGTAACAGACAGGACCGTGTCTTCCACACTTCGTATTCTTGTAATAGCCTAGTTGGATAGAGAAATCAATGTTCCGTTTAGCAGTACTTAACGTTTCTGTAATGTATTACGCCTCTGTGTAATCTTTTTTTTAATGCTTTTCTTAACCAGTATAGGTTAAACTTGCAACTAGGTGCATTTGTAGAGAATTCCTGGTTTTAATCGGAACACTCTGCTTTGCTGCTTTTCCTAAGCTATCCTTTGCTTTCTCTAGAGCCAGCGCTCGTTGCCAAGTCATCCCTCTTGTTGGACGTGAAACCTTGGGATGATGAGACGGACATGGGCAAATTAGAAGAGTGTGTCAGAAGTATTCAGGCGGATGGCCTTGTTTGGGGATCTTGTAAGTAACTGGCCGACAGTAGGAGGCTCATAGCTCTCTGGCAGAGCACACAGTTTATATGCATAACATCTCGCTCGATTCAGATGGCTCTTAAATTGTAGTCCGAAGAACTTGATGGTGCCACTTACTTCAATTCCCAGGGCAGTGGAACCTTGCAAGTAAGAAGATCTGGAGAGCTTCCAGTGGGTGGGCTTCAGACTGCTACAGCTGCATACGGCCTCCCAGTAGTTCTCTGAGTTTGAGAGAGTAAAATTTTGGCGTTCCATCACAGCTGTTGAATAGATCGTGGGGTCCAGAATGGCTGACGTAATGAGCTCCACAATCACATTCCATTTGTGCATTTGACAGGCGGGGGGTTGCATCTAAATATTTGCCCCCTTGGAGGAAGGTTGGGGGAAAGGAAGGGTAAGAAACCATCTCCACTAGCGGAGGGGTAGCACTGCCAGGGTGGTGCTTGTATGTAGCAGGTACCGAGTACGTGTGTGCAAAGCAATGCTTCTAATGCGCAGCCCTTTGAAACAGCAAGGATTTTGCCCTTTGCAGAAAAGTCTAGAAAAACCTGGTGAACTGGATGAACTCTGAACTCCCACAAACACCCTGTCCTCATTTTCTTTGTGATGTATTCAACAGTTAAAGAAGTGATTTGATGAAGGTATCTGTGGCTGGGGAAACCCAGCCAGATGAGCGGAGTATAAATAGAATTATATTCCCTCAAAGATAATAATGTCTCACTTCCCCACTGTCGGTCTAGGAGAACGGGCTCCTTTAATCTGTTCCCTTTATGGTCAGGGGTATGTAGCTTCCACTTTGAGGGCCTAATCCTGCCCCCCAAAAAGATCCTACCAATTTTGGCAGCAACTAGAGCAGGCAGATGCCAGCACCCTGATGGGGATGCAAATTGCCCCTCCCCCCAGTCAGATTGAGGATTTGATGAGCAAGGAGGAGGCAGTGATTCTCCTCAGCTGATCTGCATGGGTAAGCTGGGGGGGGGCAAGCAGGTGAATGAGAGTGTGGGGTGGCAGCACCCACTTCTGGGCACATCCATTGCTGGGTGGGGCCTCCACAGGGTTGATCCAAGGGTGGACGTGGTCCTTGAGCCAAAAGTTAGATGCCCCTTTTCCTTTTTAAAAAGTCTTTTTCCCCCTTTTGCATTCCACCGAGGGGGAATGTAAATGTTCACAGCTTGCTTGTGTATTAGCTGTTGCAGAGAGGTCAGGTTTAGGCCACTGGCTATGCTTTCTCCCCATCGGAAGCCCCGACAGCAGCCAAGATTATGATGGGGCGAAATTCTTGTCAGTCCATAACCCTGAGTTTGCATAGATAGAAAAGAGGCAGAACCTCGCTTCTCACAGCTCTTTTGATTGCTTTCTAGCCAAGCTGGTTCCAGTTGGTTATGGAATCAAGAAACTTCAGATTCAGTGTGTGGTTGAAGACGATAAAGTTGGAACCGATATGCTGGAGGAGAGGATCACTGCGTTTGAGGATTATGTTCAGTCCATGGATGTGGCTGCTTTCAACAAAATCTAAGCCCCAATAGCACCAGGAATAAAACATTTGCAACACTCGAGGCTTTTGTGTGTGTTTTGTATGTCCCAAACTGCCATTTAAAATAATGGCCTTGTAGCTAGGGGTGATGGGAGTTGTAGTGCAACATCTGGGGACCCACAGCTTGAGAAAGGCTGGTGTAGACCATGGATAGGCAAACTAAGGCCCAGTTGACTTCTAAATCCGGCCCACTGACAGTCCAGGAATCAGCGTGTTTTTACATGAGTAGAATGTGTGCTTTTATTTAAAATGCATCTCTGGGTTATTTGTGGGGCATAGGAATTCGTTCATTTCCCCAAAATATAGTCCAGCCCCCCACGAGGTCTGAGGGACAGTGGATCGGCCCCCTGCTGAAAATGTTCGCTGACCCCTGATGTACTAAGCTAGGTGGAGAAAAGGACCTGATTTGGCATAACATGGCTTCCTCTTGTTCCCACTGCTCAGAGAGGAAAGTGAACTCCACTGTGCTAGGACAAGATATAAAATTGGGGGACGCGGGTAGCGCTGTGGTCTAAACCACTGAGCCTCTTGGGCTTGCAGATCAGAAGGTCGGCGGTTCGAATCTCTAACAGGGTAAGCTCCCATTGCTCTGTTCGAAAGCACACCAGTGCAAGCAGATAAATAGCTACCACTGTGGCAGGAAGGTAGATGGCGTTTCCGTGCGCTCTGGTTTCCGTCACGGTGTCCTGTTGCACCAGAAGCGGTTTAGTCATGCTGGCCACATGACCTGGAAAGCTGTCTGTGGACAAATGCCGGCTCCCTCTGCCTGAAAGGGAAATGAGTGCCGCAGCCCCATAGTCGCCTTTGGCTGGACTTAACCATCCAGGGGTCCTTTATCTTTTACCTTACAAACTTGGATAGTTGACTAGGCTACAGCAGTGGAATACTCCTGGGAGGATACTTTCCAGGGATAACATGAGGGAGACCATTGTTTTAGGCTTGATTGTCTAGAGCAAGACTTGACGTTACCATAGTGGGTTTTTTACCATGGCATTGCTTCTTCCATTTGTAGGGTGTTTGGTGCAAAACGACACAATTCAAAGGGGTCTCGTGCAACTTTTGACATTGGCTCCAAGGCTCTGGGTGCTAAAGAATTCAGGGTCTTGATCAAGCTGGTGCCCTCTTATCTAGCACAGCCGTCTTAGTACTGTAGAGGTACTATGTGGTTTCTCAGTTTGGAATGGAGGAAATACATCATTCACGCATCCTTGCGGTCTCATGCCTGCTAAAAAGAGGATGGCAAATGCTCCTGTTCATAAAATCAGTGTGTGCCTGCAATCCAGGCTGCCCTTTGTGATAAGTCCAGTACTTGAGCGTCTCAAGTAATATGGTAGCCTTTTGGATTGAGGTGCTGGTGAAACACAAAATGACAACAAAACAGGCTTCCTTGGATATCTGTTTTGAGTATGCCTGACAACCTGGTTCTCTGGTGACAACCCATTAGCTTGCACAAAGTGTGATAGATATAGTAAATATTGCAAAGCATGCCTTCTATTGAAAAATGATTGGGGGGGGAGTAAATCTACCTAATTTTAATTGCAGCCAATCTCCCTGGCTGTATGCGAAGGTTTCTTCTATGTACGTATTGAGTTAATGCTGTTCCACACCCCTGGATCTCTAGGAAAGTGGAAAATAGTTTCTGAACCAGCCCAGCATTTGGGAACCTTTACTGGGAAATAACTTTAGTTGCACAAATGCAAGATTCCTTCAAATGCACATCACAAATGCAAGATTCCTTCAAAGATTTAAATGTACAATACTCAACCCAAACTATTGTTGATGTGTTATGATTAGCCCTTGTAAGTTTTTTAAAATTGTTGTGGATGACCTGATTCAGACAGCATGGGAGTAGCAGATGTTCATAGTCCCAAGCCAACCTTTTGTGGTCAAGGGCGATGTGAGCTGTAGCCCCAACATCACCTAAAGAGCCACAGGACCTCCTGCCTCACTAGGTGCTGAATGGGTCTCAAGGGTCATTGGTCATTGTTGCTGCTCTTGGATTGATGGACAATTGGGGGGGCATAAATGTGCCTTGGTGTGGATCAGAAATCTGTCCCCTAGAAATGGGATTCTTACCAGCACATAGGTTTTTAAGTTGCAAAGGAGTTGAGAAAAGCTGTCTCACACTGGGATTTTGACAGTTTTGAAAGCGGACTGAGCAATGGGCAGTAAATCTCCATAATGCTGTAATTCAGGTTTCGTGGAGTAATGGTTTGCTTGACAAAATGTGTAGCCTTTCTGTTCTGTGAAGATAACTTGGAAGCCCTAGGATGGGAACAATAGGGTTTGTCCGTTTGAATTGGGGTGCTAAATGTTGAATCCTGGACATACTGCATTCACAGTGGCTGGCTTGTTTAAGCAAAACTATCTCCTATCTCCATGTGCTACTCTGGGATGCTTTTGTTTGAAAGCAAGAAGGCACTGTAATCTTGCAGGTGATGTCATGTTTTGATTGATGAATGAGCTTGCCAGCTCGCAGTCGATGCAAATTAGCAAAACTTTCGTGTGCGTAACCTTTTGCTTCCTAGCCTCGAGCTGTTGAGAAACGGTAAGTGCTTGGTCATGGCTCATTAGCCTGGTTATATCCACGGCACACTTCATCTTTTGCTTTTGTGGCCGCCAGTTGTGTTTCCTGTCTCAACTACATGAGAGAGCGAACACAACGATTTTCATCAAGGAAAGCCAGGTTCAAATGCTTTGCCAGCTGCGCCGTTACATTCCTTGGATGACCTTAGAGTAGGATTGTGAGACCTTTGGCCTTCCAAACGTTGGATCTGAGTCCTAGCCAACATGGCTGATGGTCAGAGATGATGGGATTTGTAGTCCTTTTCAGTGCTTCCTTTGTGTAAACAATGAGAGGAAGACAAGGAGAGACTAGCACATTGGGAGAAGCTAAGGAGATTCTAGCCCTCTGTTGTATTGGCTTTCTCTTTGTATTCTGTTTTAAATGCAGGGGAGTGGCTTAAATGTAATAACCTATTTATAGTGTGGATTGGTGTGTAGTCCATGTTTTCTCCCCACACTCTGTGCTAACAATTGTACATTTACAATATCGTATCAAACTCCGGGAGAAGTGTGAATTGACCTAAAAGTATGAAACTGCATGATGACAAAACACTATTGTAAAACTGCCCACCTGAGATTCATGCCCACTGGTATTCAGAGACTTAGTACCTCTGACAGTGGCGGTGGAAAGTAGCTTATTGCCCTGAATATAATGTCTGCAGGACGCGGGTGGCGCTGTGGGTAAACCACAGAGCCTAGGACTTGCTGGTCAGAAGGTCGGCGGTTCAAATCCCCACGACGGGGTGAGCTCCCGTTGCTCGGTCCCTGCTGCTTCTGCAAACCTAGCAGTTCGAAAGCACGTCAAAGTGCAAGTAGATAAATAGGTACCGCTCCGGCGGGAAGGTAAATGGCGTTTCCGTGCGCTGCTCTGGTTCGCCAGAAGCGGCTTAGTCATGCTGGCCACATGACTGTACGCCGGCTCCCTCGGCCAATAAAGCGAGATGAGCGCCGCAACCCAGAATCGGCCACTACTGGACCTTACGGTCAGGGGTCCCTTTACCTTATAATGTCTGCACTTAACCTGAGGGAAACCGAGCTATGGAACTCTTTGCCACAAGGAAAACACTGCATCAGTTCCCAAAGCTTATGGATTAGATCTCGGTGGAAAATGGTGCCCGTAACTGCCAGCTGGCTGCCAAACACTCCTTCCATCTGCCACCATTCTGCGATGAGCTCTGCCTCTGCACCAACATTTTCTGACTGATTTCAGCCATCTCTGGTGGACCTTGCAGGGTAGAACGTTCTGGGGCGATGCATTAAACAAGGTGACTGCCATGTGTCAAAACATATTTTTTGAACAGCTTGCCTTTGGCTTTTGTTTTAATTACTTGCATATTGCTACAAAACTTGGTGTTTCTTTTTAAGTCCCGATAAGTAGTGAAAATGTCCTCCTGAGAAAGGTGCTGAGTTGAGGCATGTGAGGAGCCAGGTGCAAGGTGTCTGCCTCAGCAGTTCTCTTTTTCAAGCACCAGTAAACAGTTTCTCAAACACCCAACTGGGGGGAAAGGAAAAGACATATTCCAGCAATTTGCTTAAGCAACTGCCCTGTTGCATAAGCTTCGTGGATCAGTATAACGGAAAAGCGTACAAAACAAATAGCATTTTAGTGAATGTGGCTTTGCAGGAAACAAATACTTGTTTGAAGGAAGTGCTGCTCACCTCAGTGGCTCTTACTTTGCAGTCCAAATGCATAGGACTGCACTGGGAAAAAATGCTTTCAAAATCTTCCTTTGACATCAGTGGTTTCTATTAACCTCACAGAAATGAACAAAACGTGAAAATGAGTATCCTTTGCAGGGCCTTGTTCAGGACACTGGTACCACCACGTCACAGCCTATAACAGGGATTGGGGGAGCCCGTGGTCCTCCAGCTGTTGTACTTCACGTTGGGCAAAAGGTTCCTGCATTGCACAGGGTTGGACTAGATGATCCTCGCAGTCCCTTCCAATTCTAGGATCTGTGAACTCCCATCAGCCTTGACTCTTGGGAGATGTAGTTCAGAAACATCTGGAGGAGCAAAGGTTCTATACACCTGGCATAGAGGCAATGGCCCTTGATCTATTGCTCAGCAGCTGAGCAGTGCACATAGTTATCATCATAGCTGTCAACTTACAGATTTGAAAGTAAGGGACCAGCAGCCTCGAAAATAAGGGACCAGCAGCCTCGAAAATAAGGGATCAGCAGCCAAAATAAGGGATTTTCCAGGCACAGGTATATTCATCTTCTGAGCCCCTCCGAGCCAAAGGCAGAAAGCCCAGCCAGCAGCCAAACGAAGCCTCAAGCGGTGGTTCCCACAGCGCAGCAACCCGGCAAAGGGGATGCAGCAAGATAAACCACCGTCACCTCTCTGCTGGGAAGCGCTGAGCAAAGGCGAGTCCCCAGGCAACGCAACCAATTTGATTGGCACAAGGCATGCAAGCTCCACCCCCCAGTCGTTCTTAGACTCCTTATTGGGTGAGCAACGCAGCCAAGCTACACAGTTGGAGCCTCCCTCCTCCCTGGCCGGCAGGGAGGGAGGGAGAGGAGTTGCTTCCTTTGAAACCCAGTAAATTTAAGGGACATCATCAATAAGGGACAGCAGCGGGACACGGCGCTGGAATAAGGGAGTTTCCCGCCAAATAAGGGGCGGTTGACAGCTATGGTTATGACTAGTAGCTTTTGATCCTCTATAAGCGGCAAAGTATTACTGTTACTAAATATAATAGTAAATTTTTATTTGTATCCATCCCTCCCTGGCCGAGGCTGGGCTCGGAGCGGCTGACATCATAAAAACAACACAATATGCATAAAAACAGACATCAATTAGTTAAAATACATCTTAAAATTAATTCAGACAAGTTAAAATCTGGGCAGGTGACAGTTATCAGGTTGGAAGTGAGAGTGGCTGATACTTGCCAGGACCAACTGTTTCCACTGATCATACAAGGACCTGTGAGCGGGTTGGGGGCATCCTTCGGGCTTGTTTTATACACAGGAAAGTAAGTCAAACTGCATCCTGCCCAAACTCCTGGCGGAACAGCTCCGTCTTGCAGGCCCCACGGAAAGATGTCAAATCCCGCAGGGCCCTGGTCTCTTGTGGGAGGGCGTTCTACCAGGCCAGGGCCACGGCCAAAAAGGCCCTGGCTCTAGTCGAGGCCAGTCTAATTTCCCTGGGGCCCGGGATCTTCAAGGTGGTGTTGTTAGCAGACCTCCTCTGCAGGGCACACCAGGAGAGGCAGTCCATAGGTACAAGGGTCCTAGGCCGTATAGGGCTTTAAAGGTTAAAACCAGCGCCTTAAACCTGACCCTGTACTCCACCGGGAGCCAGTGCAGCTGGTATAGAACTGGGAGAATGTGATCCCGCGGCAAGGACCCCGTAAGGAGTCTCGCCGCGGCATTCTACACCCGCTGGAGTTTCTGGGTCAGTCTCAAGGGCAGCCCCACATAGAGTGAGTTACAATAATCAAGCCTGGAGGTGACCGTCGCATGGATCACAGTGGCAAGGGCAGGGTGAAAGAGGTAAGGAACCAACTGCTTAACTCGGCGGAGATGAAAAACATGCATGCTGGGAACATTTGGAATTTTCAGCTTTGGCCTCTTCCTTCCACCCCTTGACATGTAGCTCACACCAAAATGTTTTTTAAAAAGCATGGCAGATGATGAACCAAGCTGAAAAGGGTTACTGAAATTAGCTTGAGCCAAAAATTAAAGCATGTCTAAGGATGATCCGGGGACGCGGGTGGCGCTGTGGGTTAAACCACAGAGCCTAGGACTTGCTGATCAGAAGGTCGGCGGTTCAAATCCCCGTGACGGGGTGAGCTCCCGTTGCTCGGTTCCTGCTCCTGCCAACCTAGCAGTTCGAAAGCACGTCAAAGTGCAAGTAGATAAATAGGTACCGCTCCAGCGGGAAGGTAAACGGCACTTCCGTGCGCTGCTCTGGTTCACCAGAAGCGGCTTAGTCATGCTGGCCACATGACCCGGAAGCTGTACGCCGGCTCCCTCGGCCAATAAAGCGAGATGAGCGCCGCAACCCCAGAGTCGGCCATGACTGGACCTAACAGTCAGGGGTCCCTTTACCTTTAAGGATGATCCAATAGTCTTTGTTCACAGCATCTGCAACTGAGACCTTCACACCAGCACACCAAATAACGATAGACAAGGGGTGGAGGAATCTCTGGCCCTCAAGTCCCATCATCCCTGACCATGGTCTGTACTGCCTGAGGCAAATGGGAGGGGGAGACCAACAACATCGGGGGGGGGGGCACAGGTTAGCTACCCCTACAGAAGAATAAGATCATCCAAAGTGGCAGTCGGCCAGGGCATCTGAGGTCCCACACTGCTTTCAAAGAATGTGCCCTAGAACCACCATGCAATAGGGTGTTTGTGTGCATTGGAGGGGTGCCTTTGGTAATGCATGCCTCCATCTTCAGATATTGCATAACCTTGCCTAGGAATTTACTAGCAACGTATTCTGTGATCTGTCAGGCGAACCTTCATGGAGGCCAGGCCAGCTCCCAAAACAGCCCGATTCCAGTTTTGCAAACACTCCACAGTAAGTTTGGCATGCATTTTGTTTTCTGCAAAGCCAGTTGCTCAGTCACGAGTGCCAGCTGTTCTGCAGCCATTTGCAGCCCACACACACTTGCAGAAACAAATCACGTATATTTCACTAAAGTACTTTTCCACAGTACATAAATTTTGCTGGTGTTATTTCTCCCATAAGGAGAAAGGAGCGAGGAGCTGTGAGCGAAGGACAAACTGAACGTGACACACACAGGCAGGTGTGTCTGAACACGGGGACTAAATCTTACAGAAAAAGCGGGCTGTCCGCACAGATCAACCTAATACAAATCTATTTGCGGGCACATGCGCTAAACCCTGTCTGTGGTGCCTACCCCTTTCCCCAAATGATAAGACAAGAGACCAGAGTATGGGTTCAAATTGGCCACAACTTTATTGAACTTCAGAAGTGGGAAACTTGGCACAGGCCTTGGCAGGTAACCCTCTCAGCCCACCTGGCTAAGGATATGCAGGCAGTTGAGGCCCAGTGAGAGGGGACTGCAAAGCGCAAACTTACACAGCATGCCCTTCCACTGACCTTGTCCAGGGAGTTTGACCTACATGCTGCCACTCTAGGGCCAGGGACTCCCGGTTTTGCCCTTTAACGGGCCCTGCAAGCGCCGCCGCATGGGGAGGGAGAATGAATGCTTCCTCCCCAACTTGATGTTAGACTAAAGGCCACCTTGCCAAGTCCCACAACCGAGGACCAATCAAACCCCGCCATCTATCCAGTCCCCAAGGGCTCGTCGCAAGTCGTGGAGCCAGAAGTCATTGCCCAATGAAGTCATTGATCCTGGAAGGAAGAACGGCAAAAGAGGCTTGAGCCCAGGAGTCACTCTCTTTTCTTTTGGCCTTAGGCCCGCCCCTGGCTGGCCGTCCATTGTCCTCCCTGGCCGAGGGCGGGTCAAAGTCCAGCTCAAGCAGGTGGGTGGCACCCGCCCAGGTGAGCCTTGCTCGGTGCCGCAAACCCCGCCCACCTGTGGGGAAAGGAGGGCACATATTCACAGACACAAAGCAAGAGCTTAAATGCAACTCAAAGCAGGTGAGCCCGGCTGTACAGCACACGACAACATGCAACACACGAGGCAATTCCATTTAGAAGACATTCTTGAAACCCATTTTACAGATGGGAAACAACTGAAAGCTAGAAACTCCGATCAAGAGAACAGATCACTAAATCTAGGACAATTAATTCAAAACACAAAGCAACCCGCACCATGACTACAACAAATTCATTGAATTTATGGAGAAAAGTCATCTGTCCCAACCAATACAGAACCCATGAAGAAATGAGCTAAGCCACATGAGAATGCATGGTGAAATAATAAAATAAGGTCTTATGTATATAATAAATGTTCATAGATGTACCAAGCAAACACGTACATATATAAACCACATGTCTGAAGCAGCACAGGAGAACAGCCATGAAGTTGTTTTGACTCCGAAACTGACCAGGTGTTTTCTCTGCAAAGTCAAATGGAAAAGCTTCCCCATTGTCTTTTCCTTCACAAATCCTGTCTTAAGGGTATGTCTGTGTATGAAAAGGGTGAGCCTGTGACTTGGCTCAGGAACTATTTATCATTACAAAAGTCTGGCCAGGCTCCCCAGGGTATCAATCCAGTAAGCATTAACAGGTAACTTGCCAGACAGGAGGTAAACAACCCACTCAGATTTCTGCTTTAGCCCGCCCTTTCTGTGATGTATGTATGATGTTTCTGGAGGTGGTCTTGGACTCCAGGGCTGGCAATTTTAAATGTCTATATAAGGGCAGACACACCTTGGTTCTGGGTCCTCCTCCTTTCCTGCGTGTGAGGGGAGCACCCTGTTGCAACAGTTCAATAAAGATCAGGCTTACAAGCTGCTTTGCTTCTCAATATTCTCTGGTTGGCCTCTGTTCTTTCCTCCGACCGATGGAGAACCTACAAAGGACTCTGTAAGGGCTCTTGTGTCCCCCATAAGGAAATAAGGGCAGATTTTCATTTATTACAGAGGCAAGGAACACAAAACATGTACAGAGCTGATTGCTCGAGAAAGCAAAGCAATTTAGTATAATGTGGCCAAGGAATTAAGTATCTAGAAAGCTTTTGCTCATTTCACATCCCTCGCCATACATACAAACACCCTTATTTCCTACCCAGAGAGGCTGGCAAATCTTCCCAGCTCACCACATTTGTAATGGCATTATGAGTCAAAACCAAACCAAACAAAATTAATCTGAAGTATTTATTTCAAATGCTGTTTCCTTGCTTTGGCAATATTATGATTTTAAAATATGGCTGCAACACATTTGCAGCCTACATCAATGTAAATAATTTCTACCATACGTCGCAAAGAAATGTAATGCACAGTCAATTACATGTGAATTGTTTTCTACAAACAGGATCCAAGCATGCTTTTACAAACAAGTCCCACTGGAAATATACATTCTGTCCTCCTTTCATGGATCGCTACTGCAGTGGCGAAGCCCCTCACACCTTTCCAAGCTGCTATGATATCCACAAGCGCCCCTCCCTGCTCAGGGGAGAAAGCTGTCGGCATGTTTTCCGTCCAGAGTTTGCGAGAGGAGGGGAAGTTGGGATTTCGAGGTGAAACGTTAATCTAGAGGGGTTTCGTAGATGAAAACATTGCAAGGGGAGCTTTCCGGTGGTGCGAAAGACTGGGAAGACCTTTCAGGAGACAAGGCAAGGGACAGGGAGCCCAGAGGAAGACAGGATGGGGCACACAAAGCAAAGGGGAAAACAAAAACCCGAGAAAAAGATGTGTTAAAAAAAGAGTTGCGCAGTAATAAAGCAAAGGGAAGAAGGGATCAATTGACTGGGGTGGCAGTGCTGAAGAAACCAGCAAATTTAAGGTCAGAACAGGCAGTATGCTATAATTTGAAAGGAATACAGTGGTGCTACCACTAAATATTAGGCAGCTAGGCTAATATCTGACTGAGATTAAGTGAAATCAGGTAAAGTGGCTTGATCTCTGAAAGCCAGTCTTAGTGAATGTATTGCTTTGCTTTTGTAGAATAAAACTGTTTGCCTAAACCCTCTGGAAGTGCAAAATACCCAGATCAATGTGTCTCTGTGCAAATCATTTCAGTGGACCAGAAAGCTCATGTGCAAATGTCCTGCTCTGCCAAATTCTATAACTGGGACTGGTCCTACTCGGAGTAGACCTACTGAAATTAATGGGTTTAATTAGTTCTGCCTCTTAATTCCAATGTGTTGAGCCTGAAGAGGACTATTGTTGGATACAACCTATAGGATTAAGGAGTCAGGTTTACTGAAAATGTTGATAAAGCTCACTAGCAGGCTTACAGATTAACCTGCCTCATTGGAAGCAGTGGAATCCTTGCATTTAATATATATAATCTTAGACATCTTCAGCAGAAACTAAGCAAAAAAAACCATAAGCAAAGGGGAAGAGAAATTGTCAGTTTTGTTCAGCAAGGCTCTGTGCCAAAAAATATATATAATAAAGTATACTTGACTACTTTACAAGATTGCAAAGGTACTATGTTTTTAAAAGCACATGAAAAAGTGCATTTGCGTGTTGTTTTGTGTGGCATTTCCTTATGCGGTTACTTCAAGGGGGAATCAATGTCTTTGTTTAGAGTCTTTGAAGGACAATGTTTTGATACTGAAGAACTATAAAATAAGAACCCTCCATGACACACACTGTCTACCATGATCCTAAGTCCCTGCACAAACATCTTTCCTCCCTCAGTAGCTTGAATTTGGGGTGGGGGAGATTATCAGGCCTTCTATTGTGTCTTTTAACAGTAGCTTGATGTGCAGAAATTGGCAGATAAGCTTTAAATGGCTCTGGGATAAAGATCACAACATTTTAATGATGGCTCCTCAGAAGCATGTGAGTTTTGGATGCCTAAAAGTTTGGCAACCCTACGAACAATTGAAGTTGCTTATGAACTTCTGTTGTTTTGACCTCATTCAGACTTCCAACTTCTATCATTTGTGGCCAATGGTCAAGGATGAGGAGAGTGGCTGTACGCAACATGCGGATGACATCACAGTGGCTACTAAACATGTGTCCTTTTACTAAAGAAGTTTTACCAGAAAAAATATGCAGCTCATGGCAGCTGAATGGGGTCAAAGGAAAAGGAGTTCCACCTGGGGAGCGCCACCTTGGCTACTCTTGTGTAGTGACGGCTGGGTTACAAACACTTCTGATGTCTAGATCTCAATAAGGTGGGCATATTGCAGAGTGAGTGCCGGTCAGGGAGAGATTTCACCCAAAGAAGTCTCCAGCTCAGATGCTTCGCCCTGCTGTAGACTCAAAGAATTCCAGACTTGTTCGCTGACTGTCCCAGACCGGCTGACTTCCCAGAGGGTGTGCTTCACCAGTTCTGAAAACGTCACACTGAAACAGGACTGGAGTTTCTTGCTGAGGAGGACGTAAAGAATGGGGTTAAGGCAGCTGTTGATGAAAGCAAAGCTGACGGAAAGAGGAATGGCGTCGCGGAGCAAGTCGTGCCAGTAGTTATCGTGGTGAGCAGAGAGCTCAAGGATGCTGAATATTTGGTATGGGGTCCAGCAAACGAAAAAAACCACCACCACAGCCAGAACAGTCCAGAAGAGCCTGCTGGAGGTCAGCGTGGCAGTTTTCTTCACCTGGCATACCAGAAGAGAGTAACAAACAATCATGGTCAGCAGAGGAAAGAGGTAGCCGCAAATGAACCTTACCCAGGTCAGAACATGGTGTCTGAGGATAATAAGATCGACGTCCGTGGGATGGAAGTTGTTGTAGCAAATGGTGACATTGTTGTGTAGCGTAAGGGTATCTCTGAAGTACAGCGCCGGGCTTCCAATGAGCGTGGCCAAAACCCAGATGAAAGCAATCATAAAGAAGGTGTTTTTGAGAGTCCGATGCCGGTAGGAGAAGACAGGGTGGATCAGATGGACGTAACGGTCAAGGCTGATGGCTGTCAGGAAGAAGACGCTGGCAAACATGTTGAAGAGAGCAATGAAGGAGTTTGCTTTGCACAGCCACTTCCCAAAGGGCCAGTGGAAGCCCGTGGCCACATAGGTGATGTAGAGAGGGAGGAAAAGGACGAAGATGAAGTCCGCAATAGCCAGGTTGAGGAACCAGAGGGAAGTGACGGTCTTGTCCCATTTAAAGCCCATAATCCAGATGACGATCGCATTGCCAGGCACCCCCAGGAGAAAAGCCACACCGTGGAACACAAGCGACGCCACCTGTGCGTGAGTGAGGTGGGACACGGGGGGATCGTCCTCTTCATAAGTCCCAAAGTATTCCGTGAAGTTGTCTTCGTAATCCATGAGATCTGCAGATGCCACGGTTGCTATTTGCTGAAAGGAAGGGGAGTGAAAAAAGGGTGGGGAAAACAAGAGGGAAAAACTAGCGCTCATCAAAATAATTAATTTCCCCTTGAATGCGCATAGCAATGGCCTTTTATAGCAACCTGCCAGCATCGATCTGCCATCGGTCCCGATCAAAGACCCAGCAATTCATAAGCTATTTTACCCATCAAAATGTTGCTTTCCAAACCGAGACTTTTGGGTGTTTTAGTTTCACCCACACCACACATTTAAAGCACTTTGGGTTCCCTCAAAGTATTATGGGAACTGTAGTTTACTAAGGGTGCTGGGCATTGTAGCTCTGTGAGGGGTAAACTACAATTCCCATGAATCTTTGGGCGAAGCCAAGTGGTTTAAATGTATTGTGTGGATGTGACCCAAATCAGTGCAAATGGCCAGTGTCGGAATGGGCTAGTTGGAGAACTATGGTTGTGCAAGATGTGTCCTCCAACAAGATCATAAATAACTGGTGCTTTGCCCAGGTCAGGGAAGACAATTCAAATTGAATTGTGGGATATGGAGATTTGGGGTTGGTTGGGGAAAGGCCCTGTACCTCCCTAAAATTCCTTGCCTTACTGCCTAGAACAAGGGTAGGCAACCTAAGCCCAGGAGCCGGATGCGGCCCATTCGTCTTCTCAATCCGGCCCACGGACGGTCCGGGAATCAGCGTGTTTTTACATGATTAGAATGTGTCCTTTTATTTAAAATGCATCTCTGGGTTATTTGTGGGGCATAGGAATTTGTTGATTCCCCCCCTCCAAAATATAGCCCTGCCCACCACATGGTCTGAGGGATGGTGGACCGGCCCACGGCTGAAAAAGGTTGCTGACCCCTGGCCTAGAATGATCAAATTAATCACCTCTTTCTTTTCTTATATGTTATCTCCTCTGGAAAAGTAAAAACGTTTCAAAAAATAAATGTAATTCAGTAAAAATGGCAATATGGAAAGGGCAAGACCTTCCTACCTTTCAGAACGGCTGAGAAGCTCCTTATTGTCCGTCCAAAGTTTTGAGTCAGCAGCTCTGGCTGGGCACTTTGCTAATGAAGTCTAAAACGGAAATCAGAGAGGAAGAAAAGAAAATAGCATGACTGCAGGATGGAAAACATACTGGTAACTGGAATGTCAGAAAGCAACAGCATGTGAAAACACATCACTATCAATCATCATCAAATTAAGAATTGGAGTCTCCCTGGAAGCTTGGTATGAATGGTTTGTGCGACAGAATTGTTCTGGAAAACTCAATGTAGCCCCATTAAAAAGGCGTAATTGGGGAGGAAATAGGTCATGACTGGGATTTGACTGTAAGTGTAATACGGTGGTACCTCAGGTTACAAACACCTCGGGTTACAAACTCCACTAACCTGGAAGTAGTACCTCGGGAAGAAGAAGAAGAAGAAGAATTTGGATTTGATATCCCGCTTTATCACTACCCAAAGGAGTCTCAAAGCGGCTAACATTCTCCTTTCCTTTCCTCCCCCACAACAAACACTCTGTGAGGTGAGTGGGGCTGAGAGACTTCAGAGAAGTGTGACTAGCCCAAGGTCACCCAGCAGCTGCAGGTGGAGGACCAGGGAAGCGAACCCGGTTCCCCAGATTACGAGACTACCGCTCTTAACCACTACACCACACTGGCTACTTTGCCCCAGGATGAGAATGGAAATTGTGTGCTGGCAGCAGCGGGAGGCCCCATTAGCAAAAGCGTGCCTCAAGCTAAGAACGGTTTTGAGTTAAGAACGGACCTCCGGAACGAATTAAGTTTGTAACTCAAGGTACCACTGTATATTGTGAGTATCAGCCTCTGACAGTCTCCCACTTTACCTGTAGAGGTAAAGGACAGCTCTGTTCAACACCTGCATGCAAACATAGGCAGGTACTACCACCTCCCCTTTTAGTCAATAAATTGTTTCTCAAGCACGCCTATTTGGAAGTATACTGCATTCAAAGAAAAGGGATTGTTAATAATAATAATAATAATAATACATTTTATTTATATCCCACCCTCCCCAGCCGAAGCCAGGCTCAGGGCGGCTAACAACAATAAAATAATACAACATTCTAAAATCATTTCATTCTAAAATTAATTCAAATCTAATTGATGGCAACCATTGGGCTAGAGTTCTGTGAAGATTGCCAAAGGAGGGAGTCAGGCTGTGCCTCAGCCAAAGGCCTGGTGGAACAGCTCTGTCTTGCAGGCCCTGCGGAAAGATGTCAGAGTCCCGCAGGGCCCTAGTCTCTTGTGACAGAGTGTTCCACCAGATCGGAGCCACAGCCGAAAAAGCCCTGGCTCTAGTTGAGGCCAGCCTAACCTCTCTGTGGCCTGGGACCTTCAAGATGTTTTTGTTTGAAGACCTGGGACAAACCAGGAGAGGCGGTCCCGTAGGTACGAGGGTCCTAGGCCGTATAAGGCTTTAAAGGTCAAAACCAGCACCTTAAACTTGATCCTGTACTCCACCAGGAGCCAGTGCAGCTGGTATAGCACCGGGTGAATGTGATCTCGCAGCGAGGACCCCGTAAGGAGTCTTGCTGCAGCATTCTGCACCCGCTGGAATTAAATATGCTTAGGACTGGAGTGTAAAAGGTGAGCACCAGAGACATCACCCGAAACACATTAAGTGTGGCCCACAGATCAAGCCCAAACAAAATAAAACACAACTTTAGAGATTTCGCGCATCCCATTCAAGCATCTAGATTCACTCTACATAGATTTTCCACATGCCACTCAACATCATTAACTTTAATTAACTTCATTTCTAATGAAATCAAAACACGCCGTGCAAATGTTCTTAGAACAGCATGTACAAGAGCGGCATGTTGGATTATGCATATAGGAGCAATTGATGGGGCCATTCTGCAAATTAATGTTAAAAAATGTTGATGATCAAACCCAGCTTGAGATAACTGAAGATTCATTCTGTTCACAGCGGGGAAGGTTTCATCCTAGGTGTTTAGTATTTACACGAGTCTCTGCAGAGACGGAAACCTCTGAATGAAACCGGTGCTAAACAGCTTGTACAGAGCATGTATTAGGAATGAGAATCTCTGCCACCCTCCTGAGAAAACCATCTAAGCCACAGATACTGTAAGAGTTTTATCAGGGTGGCCTGCATGTGCTGAACTTTACGGAAGGCGGCCTTCTGCTTCTCTGCTTGCCCGGCTGCCCAGTTGAAATCCAGTTTTGAGATTAAGAATCCTAAAAAGGGAGAGAGCCAGGCGGGAGGTTTCAAAGTCATCCATCAACAATGTTGGATGGGACTTTTATTTTACGAGGTATTTTATAATGGGACCCAATACCACCCATAGGGATCTTAAAAGGTAAAGGGACCCCTGACCATTAGGTCCAGTCGTGACCGACTCTGGGGTTACGGCACTCATCTCACTTTATTGGCCGAGGGAGCCGGCGTACAGCTTCCGGGTCATGTGGCAGCATGACTAAGCCGCTTCTGGCGAATCAGAGCAGCGCACGGAAACGCCGTTTACCTTCCCGCCAGAGTGGTACCTATTTATCTACTTGCACTTTGATGTGCTTTCGAACTGCTAGGTTGGCAGGAGCTGGGACCGAGCAACGGGAGCTCACCCCGTCGCGGGGATTCGAACCACTGACCTTCTGATCAGCAAGCCCTAGGCTCAGTAGTTTAGACCACAGCACTACCCACGTCCCATCTTACTACCCAGCAAATCTGGGTAGTAAGTTCGCTGAAGTCTCCTCACCTTCTGACCCAAGCTGTGATAGATCAGACAAGTTCAAATTATTTCAAAGACTGATTGTGCTTTAATAACTTTGTCGGAATAAAGAATGAATAAGAAGCAACAGAAGACAAACAACACATACCAAGATTTCTTGCGTGCCTTGCTTCTTTCCTGCTCTTCGTTATTTAGTCCCGCCATTCCAGATTTTACCCATCTCTCTGCTGCTTGCATCTATTGGACCATAGCATTTTTCATCACTTTTCTCTATCTCCATCCAATTTGGGGTGCCTCTTTCTGAATAGCTCTCCAGAGTTTTGCCTGCTCCTTGCCTTGGTGATAATCTCTCACCTAGTTCCTCATCTTGTTCTTCCAGCTCGATCAGCAAATTTGGTTCTTCATTTGGACATTTGTCACATGCTGCCCTTACCCAAACCCTTGCATTCATCAGCTTTCTATTTAGACCTATTGCCAGAGCATGCTTGGTGTGCCTTGCTTTGCTTCTCTTGTAAGTTCCTGTCTGCTTTTAGCTACGAGATGCTGTTGGACTCATGATTCCATGCCCCCATAATCTTGAACCTTCTAGATTTCCCCTTGATCAATCCTAAAATGACCTATCAACTTTATACTTATATTTATATATGGGCATGTTATTTTATGTAAGGGACGTGGGTGGTGCTGTGGGTTAAACCACAAAGCCTAGGACTTGCTGATCAGAATGTCGGCGGTTCGAATCCCTGTGATGCGGTGATCTCCCATTGCTTGGTCCCTGGCTCCTGCCAACCTAGCAGTTTGAAAGCACGTCAAAATGCAATTAGATAAATAGGTACCACTCCGGTGGGAAGGTAAACGGCATTTCCATGCGCTGCTCTGGTTCGCCAGAAGCGGCTTAGTCATGCTGGCCACATGACCTGGAAGCTGTACGCCAGCTCCCTCGGCCAATAAAGTGAGATGAGCGCTGCAACCCCAGAGTCGTCCACGACTGGACCTAATGGTCAGGGGTCCCTTTACCTTTACCTTTTTATTCCTGTGATAGCATCTTGATAGCACACTCAGCAGTCATGCAGGTCACCTGGTCAGCCTTCTCAACTATGATGGACTGGTAGGTAAAGGGACCCCTGACCATTAGGTCCAGTTGTGACCGACTCTGGGGTTGCGGCGCTCATCTCACTTTATTGGCCGAGGGAGCCGGCGTACAGCGTTCAGGTCATGTGGCCAGCATGACTAAGCCGCTTCTGGCGAACCAGAGCAGCGCACGGAAACGCAGTTTACCTTCCCACTGGAGTGGTACCTATTTATCTACTTGCACTTTGACATGCTTTTGAACTGCTAGGTTGGCAGGAGCAGGGACCGAGCAACGGGAGCTCACCCCGTCACGGTGATTCAAACCACCGACCTTCTAATCGGCAAGCCCTGGGCTCTGGTTTAGACCACAGCGCCACCCGCGTCCCACTTTACCCATTCATATTTGTCTGTCCTTCCATCTATCTGTTCCCCCCACCCCCAATCCATTCATCTCTAAACACATGCATCAAGAATGATTGAGCTGTATTTGGCCTTTCTCATCCAGACTGAAGAAGACACAACTCACCACGAACGCCTCCCTTGTTCTTTCATAAATGGCAATGGTGCCCACCGGAGAGGTGGCGGAAGTTCTGGCTGAAAATAAGCCCCGGCTAAAATAATTTTGTTTGGGTCCCTCCCTGCTCTGGATAAATTCAACATTTGCAAAATATTTCTGTTCCAGATTTAATTGAGATACACGCAAGTCATCATCTCTCCCTTGGGGGCGTGAATTCTGCTCAAAATAACAGCACCACCCAGATGAGTCATTTTTTAAAAAATATTGTAAACATGAAGAAGTCTTCTAAACAGCTGCAGTTAAAAAGCAATTTTGAGCATAAAGGGAAGTTTTTGGTGAATATAAAGGGAAAGTGAGGGGAAATAACTATATTTGTCTGTGGACTTCAAAATATTATATACCTGGGAAATAGACTTTTTGCCCACTTAATTTAGAGCTAGCTTAAATAAAGATATAGGCATGGCCCTATAGACGGGCTGCTGCTGCTGCTGCTGCTGTCTTAGACTTAGGTAAAGGTAAAGGGGACCCTGACCATTAGGTCCAGTCATGACCGACTCTGGGGTTGCAGCCCTCATCTTGCTTTATTGGCCGAGGGAGCCGGTGTACAGCTTCCGGGTCATGTGGCCAGCATGACTAAGCCGCTTCTGGCGAACCAGAGCAGCACACGGAAACGCCATTTACCTTCCCGCCAGAGCGGTACCTATTTATCTACTTGCACTTTGATGTGCTTTCGAACTGCTAGGTTGGCAGGAGCAGGGACCGAGCAACGGGAGCTCACCCCGTCACGGGGATTCGAACCGCCGACCTTCTGATCAGCAAGTCCTAGGCTCTGTGGTTTAACCCACAGCGCCACCCGCATCCCTAGTCTTAGACTTACTGGGGTGCAAATGATGTTTGGAGAATGTAAGCTGGAGAGGGAAGTTTCCAAAGATCAGTCCTGGGGTGAAATCAGGTCTAGGACAGAGACAAGGCTAGCCTTGAATCCTGAAACAGCAGGGCAAAGATTGGGAAAGAGGGAAACAGACAAAACTGGGAACAGGCAAGAGATGCAGCCAGCAGGCTAAAGTCTGCAGAGAGGGCACAGAAGGCAGAAACCAAAGGCAGGGTTGCCAACAGGATTTCTGGGCTCAGAACACTGGACTGCACTGGATTGAGCCTTCCGCAGAAGAAGACACAAATTTGCATACTATTTGCATTTGCGTCATATGCAGATCTGTGGATCAAGGTAGAGGACACAAATAGAAATCAGGCACAAGTATTGAGATGTCTGATGGAAAGAGTATCGAGAGGCAACGTTTTCCCCATACTGTGGTACCTTGGGTTACATACGCTTCAGGTTACATACGCTTCAGGTTACAGACTCCACTAACCCAGAAATGTTACCTCGGGTTAAGAACTTTGCTTCAGGATGAGAACAGAAATCGTGCTACGGCAGCGGGAGGCCCCATTAGCTAAAGTGGTGCTTCAGGTTAAGAACAGTTTCAGCTTAAGAACAGACCTCCGGAACGAATTAAGTACTTAACCCGAGGTACCATTGTAACTGTATTTCCATACAGGAAAACGCTAAGCCTGTTGGGCTTCTGCCTTCTGTATAGCTGTTAAAAACACAAGAGCTCTGGTCTCCCCACAATTTGAACCCTACACTATGCAAAACAAAAAACACAACCTCATTTCATGAGTTGGGAAAGAGCTAGGGTATTTCGTAAGTTGTTCTTAGGCTGGCAATGCTACAATCACTGCAAGACCAAGGTCGACATGACCATGCTTGGATAAATTAAAGAGAAAATTTCGGCCGTTGTAGTTTACCCCTCACAAGAGCTACAACTGCCAGCAACCTTTAACAAGCAACAGTACGCAGAATTCTCTGAGAAAAAGAATGTACTCCGATTGTGATTAAAAGATATAATGTGCCCATGGACCAGAGCACGCCAGGCACTCCTGTCTTCCACTGCCTCCCGCAGTTTGGTCAAACTCATGCTGGTACAGTGGTGCCTCGCAAGACGAAATTAATCCATTTCGCCAGTCTCTTCGTCTTGCGGTTTTTTCGTCTTGCGAAGCACGGCTATTAGCGGCTTAGCGGCTATTAACGGCTTAGCGGCTTTAAGAAAAAGGAAACAAACTCGCAAGAACTTGCAAGACGTTTCGTCTTGTGAAGCAAGCCCATAGGGAAATTCGTCTTGCGGAACGACTCAAAAAACGCAAAACCCTTTCGTCTAGCGAGTTTTTCGTCTTGCGAGGCATTCGTCTTGCGGGGCACCACTGTAGCTTTGAGAACACTGTCCAACCATCTCGTCCTCTGTCGTCCCCTTCTCCTTGTGCCCTCCATCTTTCCCAACATCAGGGTCTTTTCCAGGGAGTCTTCTCCCTGGAAAAGATATTAGATATCTTTGATATTAAAAGATATGTTTGATATTAGAAAGGGGAAAAGATAGCTGCCCAATAGCAAGGCTTAAATGCTTTCTTTTTCTTTTTCTTTTAAAATTTTCACCTTTTTCAAATATTTTTAACGAGAAAAACAAAATCTTTACAAATCTAATTTACCTTCCCCTCAACTTCCCTCCCCTCCTTTCTGCGGTTACTTATTTTATATCTTTTTATTACCGCATAGCCAATTCGAAGCCAATCCGAAGAGTCGGACACGACTAAATGACTAAACAACAACAACACAATATCAAACATGTTCCTGCTGCATCATAATATAGCATAGTTCTCATTCTCAGTTATGAATGCTGCCAAGCCAGAGACACACTGAAAGACGGCAACTCTCAGCCACCCTGTACCCCAAAAAAAACAATTCCCCCCCAACCCCCCGCTCTGTTTCATGGTATATGAGTGGACTTTTGGAAGTGGGGACCAAGCAGCCTATGTCAGGAATAGGATTGCACGGCAAGCCTTTGATGCTGGGCATGTCTACTTAGGTGTAAGTCCCAAAGTCAACAGTAGGATCAAACTACAGGGTTACATACACTTCAGATTACATACGCTTCAGGTTACAGACTCTGCTAACCCAGAAATAGTACCTCGGGTTAAGAACTTTGCTTCAGGATGAGAACAGAAATCGTGCTCTGGCAGCGGTGTGGCGGCAGCAGGAGGCCCCATTAGCTAAAGTGGTGCTTCAGGTTAAGAACAGTTTCAGGTTAAGAACAGACCTAACCTATCCATTCTCAAGGAAATCAGCCCTGAGTGCTCACTGGAAGGACAGATCCTGAAGTTGAGGTTCCAGTACTTTGGCCACCTCATGAGAAGAGAAGACTCCCTGGAAAAGACCCTGATGTTGGGAAAGATGGAGGGCGCAAGGAGAAGGGGACGACAGAGGACGAGATGGTTGGACAGTGTTCTCGAAGCTACGAACGTGAGTTTGACCAAACTGCGGGAGGCAGTGGAAGACAGGAGTACCTGGCGTGCTCTGGTCCATGGGGGTCACGTAGAGTCGGACACAACTAAACGACTAAACAACAACAAGAACAGACCTCCGGAATGAATTAAGTACGTAACCAGAGGTACCACTGTACACAGCTTCCATTCTAAACATGCACTCTCTTGGAGATAATTTCCATTGGCACAACTTAGTCTTCTTCCTGACTTGAACCGCACTGCCAAAGCTTCCCCTAAGATTCCTGGTCTATCAAGTCACACCATTCCAGGTACTAAAGATCATCACAGATAGAAAGGACTTGTGGAACTTGGAAGAGGTTCAAGAGTTGGCGAGTCTACAGGAACAGCGAGAGTCTCTCTTGCCTTGACTGAAGAGTGAAGACAGAACCTTCTTTCTGTATCCCAAGGGTCTCTGGGTTCATCATGTTTTAAGGCCCAAAGAGAGCGAACGGAAAATGTGTAAAGGCAGCAAGACATGATCCCATCTCTAATGCTGCAGCCAAGAGAGAAACAATCAGTTCTGGGCTACTTTTCAAAACTTTGTCTTGCACAACCCAAAGCCTGCCACACAGAACGTGGAAAGGAAAACGTGAGGCATTTTGACACAGCTGCACCCCTGAAATGAACGTCCAAATTCTGTTTTTCCTAGCTTGTTGCATACGCTTCAACATTCTTCAGATGAAAATAGGGACATTTCTCTTCTTGGTCCTCCCCTGCACAGCATTTTCTATCAGAAGAAGGGCAAGTGTCACCACTACAACACTAACGGGGTGCAGCAAACAGACCCTCCACCATCTTAAAGAAAAAAAACCTTATCCCTGGGTGTGTGTTTTTTTTAATTTATTTAATCATTTTTTCAATACAAACAAAAACTGCACAAGGCACATACAACAAAAACCATAATAACACTACTAACACAATTACACAATAACCTAGACAGCATCTTAAAAAGCAGAGACATCACCTTGCCAGCAAAGGTCCGTATAGTTAAAGCTATGGTTTTCCCAGTAGTGATGTATGGAAGTGAGAGGTGGACCATAAAGAAGGCTGATCGCCGAAGAATTGATACTTTTGAATTATGGTGCTGGAGGAGACTCTTGAGAGTGCCATGGACTGCAAGAAGAACATATCCATTCTGAAGGAAATCAGCCCTGAGTGCTCACTGGAAGGACAGATTGTGAAGCTGAGGCTCCAATACTTTGGCCACCTCATGAGAAGAGAAGACTCCCTGGAAAAGACCCTGATGTTGGGAAAGATAGAGGGCACAAGGAGAAGGGGACAATGGAGGACGAGATGGTTGGATAGTGTTCTCGAAGCTACCAACATGAGTTTGACCAAACTGCGGGAGGCAGTGGAAGACAGGAGTGCCTGGCGTGCTCTGGTCCATGGGGTCACAAAGAGTCGGACACAACTAAACGACTAAACAACAACAACAAAACACAATTTGACAATTCAGATTTGAATACTGATATACCTATGACTACACCTACTTCCCACCACTGTCCGCCTTATCGCTTAAATATTTCTTCCAGATTTCTTCATATTTATCCATTTTTAATTTGCGTCAACATGCAATTCGCTCATATGTAGCTAGTCTGTCCATATCATCAATCCACGTGTTCAACGGAATCTTTTTGCGGCTCTTCCAATTCATCAAAACAAGTTTTTTTGCTTCTAATATGGCACGGTACATCCATTATTATTTTTTTACCCCTTGTAATCTCCCACGTTTCCGGAATATAATTTAGAATTAAATTCAATCCCTGGTTTTATTTTATTCTTTGGTAGGTTTACAAAAAGGAAAACACGCACCAATAAATAAATTTCCAGAAAGCATTATACAAGACAAAACACAAAACAAAACAAGGCCCCTTGTGTTCTGCTCCACTCCCTTTTTCTTTTCTTTTTTTATAAAATATTTATTAAGATTTTTTAAAATATTACAATAAAAATGAAAAAAAATGACAAAAATACAAAATAAAAATAGTTAAAAACACACAGATTTTCCATTACTTATTTTCCTTTGGCTTATTTTCCAGACCTCCTCATACCTCCCTTTTTTGTATTCCACTTCAATCTGTTGGTTCAGCAAATCCTTTAAAAGTAATAATATTAAATTTTTACCTATTTATAACCCTTTTTTCATATTCCCTTAAAGCATTACAGCTGGAAACCACTTAATTACTATCCAACATTATTCTAACATTCATTAATTTTACAATATTTCTGTAGATAATCTTTGAATTTCTTCCAATCTTCTTCCACCGACTCTTCTCCCTGGTCTCGGATTCTGCCAGTCATTTCTGCCAGTTCCATATAGTCCATCATCCCTTTTTCTTCCCTCCCAGAGCGGTCCTGCCCTCTGCCTGCCCCTCATGAAGGACCTACCTAGGAGCATCAAGGACGCTGCAAGAGTCAAACGACAGCAGGAAAAAAGATTTTTTTATTTTGTTAAGCAATTGCTTGGACACAAAGGCACAGACCAGCTCATGCTCGGAGTCTGGCCCCAAATTCTAAGCAAGCCAGCTTTTTATACATTAGCAGAATACAATACCACCTGATTTATTGTAAACCACCTGATTTCTGGGAAATCGAAAGTTATAGTAAGTTCCTATTACCATGTAAGGTCTTGCCCCCCTCCTTCCTGCCATGGCCTCACTACACCACGGCCATGTGCATTCCTGAGTTTGCTTATCTCTTTACAACCTTGAATAATAAACATCTGAGCCTGTTCCATCAATGCCAGCTTTGTTCTCCTGACGGACCTCTCCTTTCTATGAAAGGCCTTTGGGGGGTTTGCTATGGCCCTACACTCAGACCCCTAAATGTATTTTTCTGGAAACTTCCAGAACAGAAGAGGAATGGGATGACACTTGTCCTTGCTCATGGAGATGTCTGTGTGGATTTTCAGTGCCATTATGACCTCTATATGCAGTCCTGCACAGGAACTGGTCCTGCGGCAGGTAAAAGGATAGGAGAGGAAACCTGCTGTATGAGAAGTCAAGGTTAAGACTAACTACAAAGAGCAGTGAGCTCTAGGTGAGGCTGGCCGTAAGGACAGTTCAAAAACTATGATTGTTCCAGCTGCCAGGGATTTGGCACAAGCTTGGAGATCGGAGTACATTGCTCTGATCCTTAATAACAGAGCTAGCCAACCATTTTTTTCTGGGCTGAACTGGGTTGCTGACTTTGCAAGAGCAAAGCCCAAAACCAGAATATGTTTGGAATGGCCTTTTTTGGCTTGTGAAATCTGGGTGCTCTCCTCTACTGCAGGGGGGCCCAAACTTTTTTCAAAGAGGGCCAGATTTGATGAAGTGAACATGCATGAGGGCCAACCAAAGTTGTTGAGCCACGGGGGCCAGATTAAATCGACCGCCGGGCCAGATTGGGCCCCCAAAATGGACTTTACACATTTCTGCTCAAATTAAGTGTTCCAGGTTAGCCTCTTCAAATGGTTGCAATAAATGGGGGGGGGGTGCAATGATTTTGCTTGCTCCCTTCCCCAAGTGCACAATTTGCTGAAAAACCTTTTCAGCCATTCCTTCTCAAATCCCTCCTTTTCCCCCAATGCAGTTTTTCTGTGCACACTCTATAAGCATAGCACATTTCAGTTTCAAATATTCTGATTATTTCTACTGGTAGTTAAGTATTTTTATTTATTGACTTGATTTGGGGTGGGCCAGCTGCCACCCCACCCCCCATCTCCCTGCAGTCCCCAGCAGCTGGCATTCAGGGACTTATTGCCTCCAACCGTGGAGGTAGAATCTAGGTCTCCCAGGGTTAATAGCTGCAGATGTGAGGATGTTCTGCACAAACCTCGGCTGTGTACACACCGTATACCGTATTTTTCGCTCTATAAGACGCACCAGACCACAAGATGCACCTAGTTTTTGGAGGAGGAAAACAAGAAAAAAAAATATTCTGAATCTCAGAACCAGAACAACAAGAGGGATCGCTGCGCAGCGAAAGCTGTTCTGGCTTCTGGGATAGCTGAGCAGCCTGCATTCACTCCATAAGATGCACACACATTTCCCCTTACTTTTTAGGAGAGAAAAAGTGAGTCTTATAGAGCAAAAAATACGGTATTTAAAGTACCCCATGCACTGACCCTTCACACTGATTTTGGTCACATCCACGCCGTATATTTAAGGCACGTGGCTTCCACCCAATAATTCTGGGAGCTGTAGTTCACCCTTCACAGAGCTTCTGTTCCCAGCACCCTTAAACTACAGTTTCCGGGATTCTTTCGGCATATGCTTCAAATGTCTGAGGTTTGTGCAGCCCCATCCGCAGTCCAGAGAAGCTGGGCAAGGAAATCCTATTTGCTTGCCCGAGTGAGCTTCCCAGTGGATCGGGCCCACAGTGGAGCACGTGCGTCATGTGGGGTAAGGCGTGCCAGTTGGGTGTCTTGATTTAAGTGACAGAAGGAAGGGAAGAGGTTATCCAAGCCAACATTATGCCATCGATGATGGCGCCAAAAAATGTCCTGGCAGTGGGAGAGGCCGGGAGTTGGAAGAAGGTTCTTGGCTGGCAGCCAGAGGTTGGGTGGGGAAGCCAGGGTGAGTTCAGGGACAGCAGAATGGTCTCTGTGGGAAGGGAAATATTCAGAATATTGAAGCCAAGGTCTTTTGGTTCTTCGACATGAGCACAATTCCCTTGCAAATCCTTTTACTTTAGGCTACAAAAACTGAAGCTCTGGTGAAAGCAGGCATGTCCAAAGTCCATTTCGGAGGCCTAATCCGGCCCGCCAGATGGCCCCTGTGGCAGTTTATTTCCTGGGGTAAAATCCGGAAAAAAGCTCAACAACTTCAATCCAATAAAAAGCTCAACTTTGGCCGGCCCTTTAGTCGGCCCTCACGCATGTTCACTTCATCAAATCTGGCCCTCTTTGAAAAAAGTTTGGACCCCTCTGAAAGGGGTGCTTTCTAGGGATTTTTTTTTTAAAAAAATTTATTGATAGAACAAGAAAAAAGAAAAAGCACAAATACCAAATTACACACAGGCAGTGGCGTAGCGTGGGTTGTCAGCACCTGGGGCAAGGCAAGTAATTTGCGCCCCCTAACCCGTGGATTTTAGCACTCGAGTCTCTTCCACTAGATTAGCGCGTCCCCCCCAGATGTTGCGCCCAGTGCGGCCGGCCCCCCCTGCACCCCCCACGCTACACCACTGCACACAGGAATAACTATAGACACATAATTTTCTTAGCAAACAATATGACATATATTGGTCTGAACACTAAAGACCCAACCTCCCATCTGTTCCATATTTCGATTTCATGATACTTATTGCCAATACACACTTTTATTATAATTAAACTTATTCTTAATATATCTAATTTCGTATATCTATCTTGCAACTATTACTGAAGTTCCTCGAATGCTGCAACAGAATTTAAACTACTATATTTATTTTTCAGATATTCTTTGAAAACCTCCCATTTTGAAACAAATTCCTGTTTTGATTTATTCTTTATTTTTTCTGATAGACCATCTAATTCGGCATATTCTGTTAGCTTTTGGATCCAGTCTTGTATAGAGGGGATTTCATTACTCTTCCATGGAAGGATTTTTTTTTTTTTTTTAAGGAAACAAGCATTCCTTCCTTATATAAAAACCAACAACAACGAAACCAAGTCAAGTACTGCATTTGTTTGTTTTTAAATGAACAATGGGATTTGGCACCATGAGTTGTAATGGTGAACACCATAAAGGGGGGTTAGGCAAATTTGTGGAAGATAAGGCTTTCATTGGCTACTAGTGAAGATGGCTTCCCATATTGGGCAGAGTTCAGGACACCAGTTGCGTAGAAGAGTGTGATTGCCCTCATGTCCTGCTTGAGAGCCAGCGTGGTGTAGTGGTTAAGAGCGGTAGTCTCGTAATCTGGGAAACCGGGTTCGCGTCTCCGCTCCTCCACGTGCAGCTGCTGGGTGACCTTGGGCCAGTCACACTTCTTTGAAGTCTCTCAGCCCCACTCACCTCACAGAGTGTTTGTTGTAGGGGAGGAAGGGAAAGGAGAATGTTAGCCGCTTTGAGACTCCTTAAAGGGAGTGAAAGGCGGGATATCAAATCCAAACTCTTCTTCTTCTTCTTCTTGTGCGGCCTTCCCATAGAAGTCCCTTAGAATCAAAGAGTTGGATCATCAAGTCAAGCCCCTCTGCAATGCAGGAATATGCAGCTGTCCCTTAAGGGGATCAAACCTGCAACCTTGGTTTTGTCAGCACCACGCTCTAACCCAGGTTTCCTCAACCTCGGCCCACCAGGTGTTTTGAGACTACAATTCCAATCATCCCTGACTACTGGTCCTGCTAGCTAGGGATCATGGGAGTTGTAGGCCAGAAACATCTGGAGGACCGAGGTTGAGGAAGTCTGCTCTAACCAACTGAGCTGTCCACCTGGTCTGGTTGGTCAGTGGAGCAGATGGGCCTTTGGCTGCCTGATCCACCGGGTCTCTTAAACGGGTGACGTGCAAGGATTAGAGTCAGTGTGATTATCGCCAAAGTTTTGCAATCTGATTTCCAGAAATCCCACCCTCTTTGATGTTGTTGTTGTTTAGTCGTTTAGTTGTGTCTGACACTTCGTGACCCCGTGGACCAGAGCACGCCAGGCACCTGTCTTCCACTGCCTCCCGCAGTTTGGTCAGACTCATGCTGGTAGCTTCGAGAACACTATCCAACCACCTCGTCCTCGGTCGTCCCCTTCTCCTTGTGCCCTCCATCTTTCCCAACATCAGGGTCTTTTCCAGGGAGTCTTCTCTTCTCATGAGGTGGCCAAAGTATTGGAGCCTCAGCTTCACGATCTGTCCTTCCTGTGAGCACTCAGGGCTGATTTCCTTCTGAATGGAGAGGTTTGATCTTCTTTTCTTTTTTTTTCTTTTTTTTAAATAATTTTTTATTAAGGTTTTAAACAAACAAAAAAGAAAAACAACACACACAAAAAACAATACAAAACTTAACAATAAAAACACAAAACATAACAATTAAAAACAAACTCTCTTTTCCATTTCCAATTTTAAATTACTTATTTTCTGGACTTCCTCATACCTCCCTCTTTGTATTCCAATCCACATTATTTGTCCAGCAGTTTCTTTTCCACTTTTTTAATCCCAATCTTTAATTTAATAAAACGTTAAAATATATAACTTCAACTTTTTAAACCTAATCCTTGATCTTAATGTCATATAGCTTTAAATTTTTCCCTTTTATTATCAAATTTCCATTTCTTTAAACATCTTTAATCTTGATCTTTAATCTTAATCTATCCTTAACTTTAACCTGTACAGCTGGAAACCACTTGTTTTCAGTCCAACATCACTCTAACATTCCTTAATTTTGCAGTGTTTCTGAAGATAGTCTTTGAATTTCTTCCAGTCTTCCTCCATCGACTCTTCTCCTTGGTCACGGATTCTACCAGTCATTTCCGCCAATTCCATATAGTCCATAAGTTTCATCTGCCATTCCTCCAGCGTGGGAAGTTCTTGTGTCCTCCAATACTTTGCGATGAGTATTCTTGCTGCTGTTGTTGCATACATAAAGAAAGTTCTATCCTTTTTAACACCATTTGGCCTACTATGCCCAGGAGAAAGGCCTCTGGTTTCTTGGGGAAGGTATACTTAAATACCTTTTTTAATTCATTATATATCATTTCCCAGAAAGCCTTAATCTTTGGGCACGTCCACCAAAGGTGAAAAAAAGTACCTTCAATTTCTTTACATTTCCAACATTTGTTATCGGGCAAGTGATAAATTTTCGCAAGCTTGACTGGGGTTATGTACCACCTGTATATCATTTTCATAATATTCTTCTTAAGGCATTACATGCCGTAAATTTCATACCTGTGGTCCATAACTGTTCCCAGTCAGCAAACATAATGTTATGACCAACGTCCTGTGCCCATTTAATCATAGCCGATTTTACCGCTTCATCTTGAGTATTCCATTTCAGCAGCAAGTTATACATTCTTGACAAGTTCTTAGTCTTGGGTTCTAACAATTCTATTTCTAATTTGGATCTTTCCACCTGGAAGCCAATTTTCCTGTCCAATTTAAATACCTCCATTATTTGATAATAATGAAGCCAGTCTCGCACTTTGTTTTTTAGTTTTTCAAAACTCTGCAATTTCAGTCTATCTCCGTCTTGTTCCAAAATTTGAGAGGTTTGATCTTCTTGCAGTCCATGGGACTCTCAAGAGTCTCCTCCAGCACCATAATTCAAAAGCGTCACTACTGAGAAAAACATAGCTTTACCCAACGCTAAAATTGAAGACAAGGCAGCTGTGGCTTCTGTTTCCTGTTTCCTCAGCTACCTGACCTGCAGTACACTTGGATTCTTGTTTGTTATGACAGGCAAACGAGGGCAATAGGTAAAAGGAAGATGGGGAGGGAGAGGAGAAATGCTGTGTTGCCTTGCTTCCTGATTCACAGCACATCCAGGCTTCCCCTATATTAAAGCGGATTTGGAGGTCTTGCACAAGAAAGCTGCCCCCAAAAGATCAGAGCTTTTGCAATAAAGGGGCAGGGAATATTCAGTGGAAATAGGATTTGCTCTGATGCAGCGTCATCTAACCTCCCTCAACTTTTTCAGAACGACTGCTTATTAAACGTCCAACATTATCTCCTTTCCCTGCTGACAAATCAGGATGAATGCTCAGTAAACCATCTGAAGTAGCTTCAGATACAGTGGTACCTTGGTTCTCAAACTTAATACGTTCTGGAAGTCCGTTCCAAAACCAAAGCATTCCAAAACCAAGGCGCACCTTACCATAGAAAGTAATGTAAAATGGATAAATCGGTTCCAGACTTTTAAAAACAACCCCTAAAACAGCAATTTAACATGAATTTTACTATCTAACGAGAACATCGATCCATAAAATGAAAGCAATAAACAATGAACTGCAGTCACACAATCAATCAATCAGTAGCTGAACTGGGTTCCACACAGTCACAAAAACAAAACAAAAACAGCCGCAAAAACAAAAACGCATAACACCGTATTTTTCGCTCTATAAGATGCACCAGACCACAAGACGCACCTAGTTTTTGGAGGAGGAAAACAAGAAAAAAAATATTCTGAATCTCAGAAGCCAGAACAGCAAGAGGGATCGCTGCGCAGCGAAAGCAGCAATCAATCCCTCTGGCTGTTCTGGCTTCTGGGATAGCTGCACAGCCTGCATTCGCTCCATAAGACGCACACACATTTCCCCTTACTTTTCAGGAGGGAAAAAGTGAGTCTTATAGAGCAAAAAATACAGTAAATAGCAAAGACAGACAGACCTCAGCGTAACACTCAAACCGGAAGTGTGGCACTCCAATTGGAAGCATAACACTCAAACCGGAGCACGTTCAGCTTCTGGAAAAAGTTTGCAAACTGGAACACTTACTTCCCGGTTTGCGGTGTTTGGGTTCCATGTTGTTTGAGTCCCAAGGCGTTTGAGAACCAAGGGACCACTGTATAAAGGTGGAGACATCTGGCGCCCTTGATATTTTCTTATAGGAGCAACCTAGGATTTATTTATTTATTTTACTATTTTTGGTTGAGGAGGATGTGGCAGAATGGACTGCACCACTTCAGTCTACAGGTGAATTTCCCCTTTTGTCCAATGAAAACAAAGAAGAAGAAATCTCTTTGCAAGAGAAAACTAGCACATCAGCTCTGTGCCACATGTGCTAGCATTCTACCTGCAGGGAACTTTTAATGTAGGGAAGCCTTTAAACAGGTGAACCTCTGGGTACAGTCTAAAACGACATGGTTCATGAAAATCTCTGATCTGCAGAGAATATTGGGTTGTGCATTGACAAAAGGCATCCCCACTTGTGGCCCTCAGAATGTCACCTCATTCTCTAGCATATGCGGTCTAGGACCCTCGTACTTACGGGACCGCCTCTCCTGGTATGCCCCGCAGAGGACCCTAAGGTCCATGAATAATAATAGCTTAAAGGTCCCGGGCCCTAAGGAAGCCAGACTATCCTCCACCAGGGCCAGGGCCTTTTCAGTGATGGCTCCGACCTGGTGGAATGTTCTGTCCCACGAGACTAGGGCCCTGCAGGACTTGATCTCCTTCCGCAGGGCCTGTAAAACAGAGCTATTCTGCCTGGCCTTTAATCTGAATTAGCCTGATCCTCTATTCCCTTTTCCCGTTCCTCTTCTATGAAGAAACCCTTTCTGGGACACCACATTTAAATTCTTCCCTGGTCTCCTTGTTGGCCCTAGTAGGACCAACTTGTCTGCTGACTGGGGTGGGTTTTTTCCTTCCCCCTGCCCCAAATGACCCCTGAATTTTTGAATTTTATTGCTATTGATGCTGAATTTTATATTGTATTTTATGCTGTTTTATGCGGTTTTTAAGTCACATTTTAATCAATCTTTTATATTTGCTGTTAGCCGCCCTGAGCCAGGAAGGTAAAAGGCAAAGGGACCCCTGACCATTAGGTCCAGTCGTGGCCGACTCTGGGGTTGCGGCGCTCATCTCGCTTTATTGGCCGAGTGAGCCGGCATACAGCTCCCGGGTCATGTGGCCAGCATGACTAAGCAGCTTCTGGCAAACCAGAGCAGCGCACGGAAACGCCGTTTACCTTCCCGCCGGAGCGGTACCAATTTATCTACTTGCACTTTGACGTGCTTTCGAACTGCTAGGTTGGCAGGAGCTGGGACCGAGCAACGGGAGCTCACCCTGTCGTGGGGATTCGAACTACCGACCTTCTGATCAGCAAGTTCTAGGCTCTGTGGTTTAACCCACAGCGCCACCCACGTCCCTTCTGAGCCGGGAAGGGCGGGGTATAAATAAAATTTTATTATTATTAAAACTATTATAGCATGTGTTGACTGGACCTTACAAAGCTCTCTTGCCCAAAAGAGAAAAATGTATGAGCATGAGAACAGAAGACAAAGCAATAGGGTGAAAAGGAGCAGGAAGAAGGGGGACGAGAGAGCACACTTAGAGCAGTTTAATTGTGTTGAGCCAAAGCCCTACCTTACACCTGGAGGTCACCCCCGAGTCCAAAAGGAAATGGAAATTTTGGATTCGGCTCAGCAGGAGCTCTTTCCTACCACTTTCTTCTTTCAGATGATACTGGAGACAGAAGGGAAATAACCGCCGTGTTAATCTGCAGCGGCAGGGAAGATGGATGGAAACACTTGCTTAGCAATTTGCAAAGCTGTGCAAGCACATCCCAGCCCAAAGGATGAATGTGGGTCAGCGCTGGTGTGGAAGAGGAAACCGCGAGGCAGGCAGGCTATTCGACATTGCATCCTTTTACATAATTAGGGCTGGGAGGTAGAGGTCTCCCAAGAGGTATGGGAAGGAACCGGAGAAGTTTGTCCCCTCCCACCCCCCGTCCAGCAATATAGAAGCCTAACAAAACATGACATTCAGCAAGGTTCAGTGGCTGTGCCCCCTTTTGCTGTCCAAAGGTAATAAGCACTAAGGCTTGCTTCTGTCAACAGATGTGTCCCTTCACGTTGCAGATGTGAGCAACTGTCTGAACACCGAAAGCCAGGGAGAAAGGATCAAGCGCAGCTTTCTGTTAATATGCCACTTTTCTACATGCAGTGGAATAACGTTTCATCGTATGAGCCTCTACAGTGGTACCTCGGGTTAAGTACCGTATTATTCGCTCTATAAGATGCACCAGGCCACAAGACGCACCTAGTTTTTGGAGGAGGAAAACAAGAAAAAAATATTCTGAATCTCATAAGCCAGAACAGCAAGAGGGATCGCTGCGCAGTGAAAGCAGCAATCCCTCTTGCTGTTCTGGCTTCTGTGATAGCTGTGTAGCCTGCATTCGCTCCATAAGACGCACACACATTTCCCCTTACTTTTTAGGAGGGAAAAAGTGAGTCTTATAGAGCAAAAAATACGGTACTTAATTTGTTCCGGAGGTCCGTTCTTAACCTGAAACTGTTCTTAACCTGAAGCACCACTTTAGCTAATGGGGCCTCCTGCTGCCACCGCGCTGCCGGAGCACGATTTCTGTTCTCATCCTGAAGGAAAGTTCTTAACCTGAAGCACTATTTCTGGGTTAGTGGAGTCTGTAACCTGAAGCGCATGTAACCTGAAGCGTATGTAACCCGAGGTACCACTGTATTTGCAATCCGACATGTATGCCCCTAGATCAGGGGTCAGCAAACTTTTTCAGCAGGGGGCCAGTCCACTGTCCCTCAGACCTTGTGGGGGGCCAGACTATATTTCGGGGGGGGGGGGATTGAACAAATTTCTATGCCCCACAAATAACCCAGAGATGCATTTGAAATAAAAGCACACATTCTACTCATGTCAAAACATGCTGATTCCAAGACCGTCCGCGGGCCAGATTTAGAAGGCGATTGGGCCAGATCTGGCCTCCGGGCCTTAGTTTGCCTACCCATGCCCTAGATCATCTTCCATTTGTGAGGGCTATTATGCCCAGCCCTGCTCCCAAAGTACAGTGGTACCTCAGGTTACATACGCTTCAAGGTTACATACGCTTCAGGTTACAGACTCCGCTAACCCAGAAATAGTACCTCTGGTACTTTGCTTCAGGATGAGAACAGAAATCACGTGGTGGCGGCGTGGCGGCAGCGGGAGGCCCCATTAGCTAAAGTGGTGCTTCAGGTTAAGAACAGTTTCAGGTTAAGAACAGACCTCTGTACCACTGTAACTGCTTTAGCCCAACATGATCACTCTTTTTTTGCACAATAATAATAATTTTATTATTTATATGATGCCCATCTGACTGGATTTCCCCAGCCACTCCGGACAGCTTCCAACAAAATACTAAAACACAAAAACCCCCTCAAACATTAAAAACCATTGTCGTTTACCAACCGAAGAAAGGGGATCGGCGATTAAAGCCAAAAATAAAAATATAGTTGCCCAGTTGCAAAAACAAACCAGGCTTCACGCGCAAAAAATAATAATCAAGGAGAAAGAGAGCCAACCCAACTTCACAGTGTAAAGTGTCCCATAATCTGGGGCAACCTCTGTCTTCCAACCCAAGAATGCTTCAACCCTTGATGGGACACAGAGAAGGACTTCTCATTGTGATCTTAGGGAATGGACAGCATAGCATCGGAGGAGGCATTCACCAATCTATCCTGGACTTGAGCCATTTAGAGTCTGAAAGGTAGTCATCAACACTTTATAGAAGTGAAATATACTCAGAGTCGAGAGTGGATTTCATGCTCTTTATTCAGCTCATAGTGGTGAGGAGGAATGAAAGTTTCCCCAAAGTATCTGCTTTATATACATTATTTACACAATGGGCTGCACGTGATTGGCTAATTCTGGAATTCTCCTGTAGGCCAATCAGGTTGTGGATTCACTTCCATCTGGAGCTGGATTGGGTGGCTCCTGCAGACCAATCATACTGCTGCATTGTTCTAGGACCAATCAGACTGCTGCATTCTGAATCCTATTCAACTCAGTACATAACAGTTTTCAAAGAGATCATCCATTTGCCCAGAAGCAAACAGGGAGGTAGCCACCAACACATCCTTGCAGTTGCATTTAGTATCTCCATCGGGCTCCTGGCCACAGCTGCCACCTGGTCATCCAAGTGCAAAACCGAGTCCAGGAGCAGAAGAATCCAGTTCTTCAAGGGGAGTTGCTAACTCAGAGCCCGGCTCCTTCCTGACCAGGAGCACCTGCCTTGGCATACTTGACTGTAGTCAGGGCTCTCCAGATGTTGTTGGCCTCTGGATCTTCCAAAACATTCATCTCTTCGCAAATGATGAAGAATATCCTCCACAACTTGCTCACCTCCATATGCAGTTCTTCCGAATGAAAGGAACGCTCCTTGATGGTTTTTCCTGAAACCAGAGGGCAGCCTTGAAACGGAAGACGGATCTGCGCTCTCCTAACGAAATACTTCCGTTCCGATAGCTTTCATAGCCAAGGTTGTGTTTCACCAAATGTATCAGGAAGCTGCCCACACATCGCTTCACATAAACAGAAGAGGAGCATTTCCAGAAGGTCACTGTTTTCGGGTGTGATGCAATCACAGGCCAGCAATTTCAGGTTGCACAACTAAAGTAGACTTATAACTTTTGGGCAACAAACCTGCTCCTCCGTCCCCAAATAATACAGACCTTTTGCCATAAAGAATGGCCAAGTGTGAGATAGCATTTGCTTGATGCACCTCCTCACAAGTAATTAAATAAATAAATACAAATACCTTGGGTAAATACAAATACAAATAAATACAGTGGTACCTCGGGTTAAGTACTTAATTCGTTCCGGAGGTCTGTTCTTAACCTGAAGCACCACTTTAGCTAATGGGGCCTCCCGCTGCTGCTGCGCCACCGGAGCCCGATTTCTGTTCTCATCCTGAAGCAAAGTTCTTAACCTGAAGCACTATTTCTGGGTTAGCGGAGTCTGTAACCTGAAGCGTATGTAACCAGAGGTACCACTGTAAAGTTGTTGAATCTCCCAGAACAGGGGCGCCATCTCTCCCCTCAGGATTGTGGGTGCCTATCACCATAATACAGATGTGCAACATCACATGCACACGGTTGCACGTAGTGAGTGTGGTGTCACATACTCGATGTGCAGGTGTGCGCGTGTGATGTCAAATGTCTGCATTGCTGTGGTAGCTCCTCTTCTTCTCCAACTCTGCAGCCAGGGAGGCACCCTTTTCCGCAGGGAGGGGCTCGGACTTGGAGGCAGAGAGATTCTGCCTCCACGTCTGAGGCCGCCCCCCCCCCCGAAAAGGGTGCCTCGCTGGCTGGCTGCGGAGGACAGAGCTGAACTTTCTCGAAGGCAGCATCACAGAGGCTGGCTGGCTGGCTGCCTCTGCCTGCCGGCTGCGCTCATTGACTTTGTGGGTGCCCCCGTCCCCACAATTATATTATTCTGGGTGCCCAAGCTTCCACGGCCCCCTGGAGTTGGCTCCTATGTCGCTGAAAAAATTAATCGGGATAAATGTTCTATGAACAGATAGCCTGAAAGCAAACCAGGCTATAGAAAGACATCTTTAGGTCTGATTTGAAATTATACTTTGACTACTGCCTGCTTAAACGTAAAGGGACCCCTGACCATTAGATCCGGGCGTGGCTGACTCTGGGGTTGCGGCGCTCATCTCGCTTTATTGGCCAAGGGAGCCGGCATACAGCTTCCGGGTCATGTGGCCAGCATGACTAAGCCGCTTCTGGCGAACCAGAGCAGCCCACGGAAATGCCGTTTACCTTCCCACCTATTTATCTACTTGCACTTTGATGTGCTTCCGAACTGCTAGGTGGGCAGGAGCTGGAACCGAGCAATGGGAGCTCACCCCGTTGCGGGGATACGAACCGCTGACCTTCTGATCGGCAAGTCCTAGGCTCTGTGGTTTAACCCACAGCGCCACCGCGTCCCACTGCCTGCTTAAAGGCACTGAAATAGACTTGAGGAAACCCATTAGGCTTTCAGTCCTGTTATCAAGTAGCATCTTTCAATGAACTATATAAAGCAGGGGTGCCCAAATGTTTTTCAAAGACAAAGTGAACATGCGTGAGGGCCGGCCAAAGTTGTTGAGGATTTTAGGATTTTACCCCAAAGTTGTTCAGCTTTTTTTACAATTTAGCAATCCCAGGAATTTGAGGGATTAGGCCCCCAAAACAGACTTCGGACATGCCTGAGGTTTTGCTCCTGGAGGAAATAGCGCCTGGCTTAGGCACTCTCCTAACTCTCACTAGCCATTAAGGACCCACAGAGGCACCCCGTCATAGCTGGTAAGATCCCAGTTAGAGAACCACAGGAATACTTTCCGGACTACCCAGTACTGGTTCCGTTGGTGTCATTACTGACTTCCATATGGCAAGCTCACACTCATTTGTCTTGCCCTGTGTTTGAAGGGACTATGCACAGAAAAACTCAGTTCTAAAAGGCAGCCCAGATGCTCTCTCCTGGGTTGCAGCTAAGGCATGCAGCAACAGCAAAGTAGTGCAAACATACCTGCTTGCAGCGCTGAGGTCACGGCAGGGCAAATTTTTATAGGTCTTCAGCAGGTCCTGAAGCAGCTGCTTGAACAGCAAAGGAACAGCTGTTTCTAGTCCACCAAGATTGGTCTTTCTGGAGGAAACTCTTCTTTCTACTGTGGCATAGGAGGCATGTGGGTGGGGTTAGGGTGGGTGTTGGAATGCTATAGAACACCATCAATTATGGGCAGGCCAAAATAGCTCCCAAGAGACTTGTTCAGATGGTGTAAATTATTATAGCATCGCAGCTGTTCCTAAACCTGCGCACAGAGCCAGGCTGCATTTGGACAGCTTGCTGTCTAATTCGGGGGTTGCCGACCTGGCACTGTGGGTGTCATGGCACCTGTGAAGGCCTTTGCAGGTGTCCCGGGGTCTAAACTTTCATTTAAAATAAAATGTAAGGCTCTTGGCCGCCTAGGAAGAAAGTTACAAAGCAAACTGTGCAGGCACCCTTCGAAGCAATCTAAGAGAAATGAGCCCGCCCTGGCTGTTCACACCTGATGGGGTGTTTAGCCAATGAGTGAAATCAGAGTTATGATTGACAAGTGAGTTGTTTGGACAGCATGCAATAGGGATCCCAGGGGTCCCAAAACTCTTCTCTTACCCCCTGACCTTAAGTGCACTTTTCCTGCTAGACTCCATAGTTTGCCCTTCTGTTTCTTCCTAGCAACTGGGCTCCATCTCTCCTATGGTAGATTCATCTGTGACTAGATACTCCCTAGAAGTTACAGTGGTACCTCAGGTTACATACACTTCAGGTTACATATGCTTCAGGTTACAGACTCTGCTAACCCAGAAATAGTGCTTCAGCTTAAGAACTTTGCTTCAGGATGAGAACAGAAATCGTGCTCCGGCGGTGCGGCGGCAGCAGGAGGCCCCATTAGCTAAAGTGGTGCTTCAGGTTAAGAACAGTTTCAGGTTAAGAACGGACCTCCGGAACGAATTAAGTACTTAACCCGAGGTACCACTGTATTTTCTGCAAATACTACTACCGTACAGTAGTTGCAGGTTGATGTTTAAGAAACCCCTCTCCAGATGGGGAAAGGGGAACATTTGCAAAAAGTCTTAGTTATGTCCCGTGTTGTGCAGGAGCTGATGCCCAAGCACTCATCAAGTACTCACTGTATAGCATAGCTGTCAACATTTCCCATTTTTAAAGGGAAATTCCCGTATTCTGAATAGGATTCCTTGCAAGATAAGGGAAATGTTGACAGCTGTGCTGTATACTTATACTCATCTATTTCAGAAGTAAGTCTCTTTGTGCTTAATGGGGCTCACTCCCAGGTAAGCAGGCACTTTGGTTTAGGAGTGGCACTGGGGAAAACAAGACTCTTGTGCCTTTAACAGATTTATCTTTGCAATCGGGACCAGCTGCCTTCCTATTTATTTATTTAGTCATTGTATTTCTATCTCACCTTTTGCTCCAAGGAGCTCAAGGTGGCCTACATGGGTCTTCCTCTCTTCACAACATCCCTGTCAGGTAAGTTAAGCTGAGTGGCAATGACTGGTCCATTGGTCATCCAGCAAGGTTTGTGGCTGAGTGAAGATTTGAACCCTTGTCTCCCAGGTCCTAGCCTAGCACTCTAACCACTATACCACACTGGGGAATGGCTATACAGCTGCAAATAAAATGTTTTAGGTGTGTTGTAAAGTGCAATATACAAATCTGACACTAGATGGCGACAGTGAGCTATGTATTTTTCAAAACTTTTTTTTTTTAAAGCATTTTCACAGCTTTTTTAAATATGTGTGAAGATTCCACCTGGGTCTCTTGGCAAGTGTGAGGTTGTCCAGGGGCAGAAGGTGGAAATTCAGCAATGACTATATTCTTCCTGTGTTATGTCATGTCACCCCCACCCCTGGGCAGTAATTTTGTGGCTGGTACCCTCAGCGCTCACTCACAATTTGAAATGTGCCCCCCAGAACATCCTCTCCTTGGAAATACACCAGGCACTCGCCCCTGTGATATTTCAGTACCAGGCTAAGATAAGACCTATGATTTTGCCCTGCGTTCTTCTGGGATGCAAGTCAAACTCCTCGGTTTTGTGCTGTAATTTTAAAATCATAATTTTCACCTGCTCTTATTTATTTTGTTGGGAGTATTGTTGTTGTTTTACATACTGTAACCCACTCTGAGATTTTGAATGCAGGGCAGGCTAAAAATATTCTGGAACAAATAAATGAATAGTTTGAGGAAAGAACAATTAGACTCTTTGTTGCCCGAAGCCACAGGACGAAGCAATCTTGGTAACACTAAGCAGATCTGGTCAGATCTGAGGAACCCTGTCCACAAACACCTAGAGTTTCATGGAAGAATGGCAGGATGCTCATTGATATGTACCGTATTTTTCGCTCTGTAAGACGCACTTCTTCCCTCCTAAAAAGTAAGGGGAAATGTGTGTGCGTCTTATGGAGCGAATGCAGGCTGCGTGGCTATCCCAGAAGCCAGAACAGCAAGAGGGATCGCTGTGCAGCGCTTGCTCTTGCTGTTTTAGCTTCGTCATGCGAAGCCTCTTAAGGACATGGGGAGCCTTCATCCTGCTGCCCTGAGGAGGCTTCGCACAGCTATCCCAGAAGCCAGAACAGCGAGAGGGATCGCTGCGCAGCACTCCCTCTTGCTGTTCTAGCTTCTGGCTTAGCCCCTCTGTCCCTTCCCCCACCTCCTGGAAAAGCCCCCAAGATCCGCGCTCCCTTTAAAGAGCCGTGTGGAGCGTGTGTGCAGCTCTTGGGGGCTTTTCCCCAAGGAGGGAGAAGGGCAGCCCATCAGTGACAGGCTGCCCTTCTCCCTTCTTGGGGAAAAGCCCCCAAGAGCCGCATACATGCTCCACGAGGCTCGTGAAAGGGAGCGCTGAGCAGAGCTTGGGATGCATACAGGCTTTGCTCAGCGTTCCCTTTATTTTATTTTTTCTTGCATTCCCCCTCTAAGAACTAGGTGCGTCTTATGGTGCGAAAAATATGGTAAATAAAACTGCACATTTGCTAGAAGATTATCGCCTGCAGGAATCCTCTGAGGCAAAGCAAAGCAGAAGCTGTCCAGTTCTGCCTTGCCTCCTCGCACAAAATGCCAGGGCAGCAACCGCAATGCAAAGATCTGCAGGAGTCCCAAGACAAAATGCTGCAACATGGAGGGCTTCTCATTCTGGATTCCAGCCACTCCTTTTCCATTGCCCCATTTTCTCCCCTTCAGTCAACGCTTGGTTGGGATTCCCTGGCCAATGAGCATGCTCAGTCCTTTGCTGTTTTGCCCCCACCCCCCACCGCAAAAAAAAGAGATTTTTGCAGACTTCCAAGTCTCCCCAAGCCTACCTGATACTTCCCTCTCCTTCATGGGTGGTGCCATTTTGCTTATATGTGGAGCAAAGCTCACAGACTGAACATTGGAAACAAAGGAGATTATAGCACCCAGTAGTCAAAGCTCTTATCTGGCATTTCGCTCCATGAAAGCATCCCGCAGAACTAGCTGAGATCAGTATTTTCCCCATGCTCAGGTCTACTTCCGGTGTAGCATGTTCTTACAACAGAATGGCTCAGCAAACAGCATCCACCCTAAAGAACAACAACAGTAATCCTACCTGATCTCTCCCTGACTCATTTGTAGCACAAAAATGTCGTTTATTCTCAATCTGGAACCATTCATACCCGTCCTCAGCATGCTGCTTTCAGTCTAGGTCTTGCTGTCCACAAGGACTTGTGTGGTTACTTGATATTTGCACCATTTCGCCCCTGCACACGCCCCAGGTAACATGAAGAAAGAAGTCGTGGTTGTGATTTGCGAGCTTGGTGTGCGCCTACCTACGAGGTTATTGGCAGGTGTGGCTACACCCCATCCGTTGCTGGGACCGCCTATAAGCATTTTCCAATGGACAGACTGCAGAGTAATGCAGAATCAATCTGCAACGAACTTTTACGATCAGAATGAAGTCAGATTCTCAAGTCAGTAAGTGCTTTTCTGGGGCAAAAATGATGCAAGAGAAGAAGAAGAGGAGTTTGGATTTGATACCCCGCTTTATCACTACCCGAAGGAGTCTCAAAGCGGCTAACATTCTCCTTTCCCTTCCTCCGCCACAACAAGCACTCTGTGAGGTGAGTGGGGCTGAGAGACTTCAGAGAAGTGTGACTAGCCCAAGGTCACCCAGCAGCTGCATGTGGAGGAGCGGGGAATCAAACCCGGTTCCCCAGATTACGAGTCTACCGCTCTTAACCACTACACCACTGTGTAGAATAAAATAATCACACAGTTTCCATTGATTCCAGAATAAAATGTCATGTGTACATGCTATACCTTTAAAGTTTACCTCTCGCAAAGTACAGTGCCCATAATCATTTGAGGGAAGGAATAAGCTGTGAATACAGTGGTCCCTCTGGTTACGTACTTAATTCTTTCTGGAGGTCTGTTCTTAACCTGAAACTGTTCTTAACCTGAAGCACCACTTTAGCTAATGGGGCCTCCCGCTGCCGCGCTGCGATTTCTGTTCTCATCCTGAAGCAAGGTTCTTAACCTGAAGTACTTTTTCTGGGTTAGCGGAGTTTGTAACCTGAAGCGTATGTAACCCGAGGTACCACCGTAATGCTCAAAGGTATAGTGTGTACACATCCTTTGACTTTTAGACTCAAGGGTTTTGCCATGGCATCTGTGACCCTCCGATGCAAAAAAAGGGGGTCTTGGATGCCAAAAATACATTGTATTCCTGAACCACATTGAATAGGTCTTTAAAAAAATACGAAAGTACAATAGCAAGTAAATAGCAGGTGGAAATGAAAAAGTATATTTCCATGCAAATGATAGACCCAGGACAGCTGGGTAGTGAGGTCTATTGAAAAGCAAATTACTTTGGAGGCGTCAGTTGTTAGGTTATTTTCCTCACAATATCCTGAAGTAAAATGAGAGAGAGAGAGAGAATACAGATGGGGAAACAGCCTTCCAAGGAAAAGCAGTGCCCTTTTTTAGCTATATGACCTTGTAACTTCAAATAATGCGCCTTCAATTCATAGGAACACAGGAAGGTCAGACCTACCTTGAGATACCAAGAGATTGAATGAGAGATATTCTGCATACAGAACAGATGTTCTACCGCTGCGCTTAAGCCCTGCCTCTCCGTTTGCAACTGGCATAACTCCTGAGCTGCCATTTTTGAACAAAACAGCAAGGGCAATGAAAAAGTGACGAATTAATCCGAGGAATAATACATTCAAAATCCTAACCCAAGTTACAGTATATTTTACCAAACAGAACTCTGTTATCATCATTATCCTTATACAATAAGTACACAAAGTATTTTACAGTACAACATACGCACACAAAAACCAAGTCCATGCCTTGGAAGAACTTAAATCTGCTAAAAGTGGAGGAAACAACAAAGAAGAGGGAGAAGGAATGGTGCAAGCGCAGTGACATACTTAAGCTGCAATCCTAGCTCCATTTAGGTAAAGGGACCCCTGACCATTAGGTCCAGTCGTGGTTGACTCTGGGGTTGCGGCGCTCATCTCGCTTTACTGGCCGAGGGAGCCGGCGTACAGCTTCCGGGTCATGTGGCCGGCATGACTAAGCCACTTCTGGCGATCCAGAGCAGCGCATGGAAATGCCGTTTACCTTCCCGCCGGAGCGGTACCTATTTATCTACTAGCACTTTGACGTGCTTTCAAACTGCTAGGTTGGCAGGAGCAGGGACCGAGCAACAGGAGCTCACCCCATCACGGGGATTCGAACCACCCACCTTCTGATCGGCAAGCCCGAGGCTAAGTGGTTTAGATCACAGCGCCACTCATGTCCAGCTCCATTTATCTTGGGCTTATTTACAGGTTGACAGATATAGAATAGCAGTGGGAGGCTACATTTCAGTTGGGAGTGACTAAAGCATGGGTCGGCAAACTAAGGCCCAGGGGCCGGATCAGGCCCAATTGCCTTCAGAATCCGGCCCGCGGACTGTCCATGGATCGGCGTGGGAATTCTGTTCGTTTGGGCTGCGCCATTTTTTTCTGGCGCCATTCCATTTCCCCACACACACACTGCAGCGGCGTCTCCTCCCTCCTCCCGGCTTCTCCCCGCCCTGCCTAGAGGAGGAAGGGGGCTGGGCTGAGCTGGCTGAGAGCCATTTTAAGCAGCCCCTCTCCGCAGCCAGCCCTTTCGAGCCGCTCATCTTCCCATCACCGCTGCCCTGGTGCTCCTGTGGGCCAGAGAGCAGAGCGGATGAGCTCCCTCTGCCTACCCAGGAGAAGCAGTGGCAGCGGCGGCGGCAGCCCCTGGGAAGGTAAGCACAGCGGCTGGGGCTGGGGGCTGGGAAGGAGGACTATTTGCCCCCCTCGCGTCTTCTTCCAGCTCCCCTCCTCCTGGTGCCGCTTCTCTTGCCCACCACAAGATCTGAGGGACAGTGGACCGGTGGCCCGTGGCTACAAAAAATTGCGGACCCCTGGACTAAAGCATAGCTCCTATCCAAGTTTACTCAGGGTTTAATGAGATTTCCTCCCAAGTAATTATTTAGAGGATTGTAGCCTTACTAACAGCAGTCACGAAATTACAAGATGCCTGCTTCTTGTGGGGATAGCAATGACAAACCTAGACAGCATCTTAAAAAGCAGAGACATCACCTTGCCAACAAAGGTCCGTATAGTTAAAGCTATGGTTTTCCCAGTAGTGATGTATGGAAGTGAGAGCTAGACCATAAAGAAGGCTGATCACCGAAGAATTGATACTTTTGAAATATGGTGCTGGAGGAGACTCTTGAGAGTCCTGTGGTCTGCAAGAAGATCAAACCTCTCCATTCTTAAGGAAATCAGCCCTGAGTGCTCACTGGAAGGACAGATCGTGAAGCTGAGGCTCCAGTACTTTGGCCACCTCATGAGAAGAGAAGACTCCCTGGAAGAGACCCTGATGTTGGGAAAGATGGAGGGCACAAGGAGAAGGGGACGACAGAGGACGAGATGGTTGGACAGTGTTCTCGAAGCTACCAACAAAAGTTTGACCAAACTGCGGGAGGCAGTGGAAGACAGGAGTGCCTGGCATGCTCTGGTCCATGGGGTCATGAAGAGGCGGACACGACTAAATGACTAAACAACAACAACAAAGCCTTACTAACATACTTTTGTTTGAGAGTCTGTTCCATCGAACAAGGAACCAAGCCAACACTTACCTGGGAGAACAGGTGACTTCTTGGTGTCTGTAGTTGAAAATTAATCTGACCTGCTGCTCTGACAACTCAGCAGCGATCCAAAAGCTGTAAAATAAACACAGTGCTAATGCACTTGCAGCTAAGAAATGATTAATTTCCTCTTTCTATCCTCACCAGGAAAACTGGTGCTAGTACATTCTGAGTTTTAAAAGAAATGTATTTGCATTAGCAGCTGAAGTACCCATTAAATAGTTGATTCATGGATAAACGAGGTGACACCATCCTTGGCTCTGACTAATGGCAAGTAATCTAAAACAGCTGACAAAGGCAATTTGGGTCAGTAAGCTGTGGGTCCCCTCCCAAAGTCTGATCCCACTAATGCAATTCAATCTTTTCAAGCCTGATAAACTGACTAATCTATGACCAACTCTGAAGAAGATCCAAGTAAATAAATTGTCACTTTTGATCAACACACAAGCGTAAGTGAACTTTTTAGTTAATGTTAGGTTGAGATTTTGAAAGCCCTTAGGATACCGGCCTACGGATCTTGCCTTAAAATTAACCAGGTCGTTGACAGCCTAATCAGTTGCTGGGGGAAATAGTAAATCTAGATCTGTATCTGTAGTTAATAAAAGAATTGGCTGGCTCCCTAGCATGGGGTAAACAAACTCTCCAGCAAGAGAGAACCCCTAGCAGAGTTCAAAGACACAAAATCATGCAACACAGTGAAGTGTGAGGAATATAGGCTGTTAGACCCTTTAACTACCCCATTCTAGTCGGCTTACAATGCTTCCTGTACGAGCATACCACACCATTAGTAAGTTTAAATGCTTTACTTACAAATGCCAAAGGTCAGATTCATGTGTGATCCCATGCAGCAGCCAGAAGAACACAGATAGAAAGCTTGGGATACAAAATATAGTGGAAAAGCACACAGCCTGAGCTTGTAGCAATCTAATTCAGGCACTCAGTGAGTTCACATAATGAAAGAGAATGAACAAAGGAGGAAACATAATTTTCTTCATTCCAGGTGAGGGGCATGACCTAGCTGAGTCTAGGAATACAATTCTGTGGTCATGACCTCTTCATGCATTAATTAGCCCTAAGCTCGCTAGTCATGTTTGAATACAACATGACACACCAGTGAGCCCTAGTAAAAAGCACAGCTCACAGCAACATCTGGAGGGCAAATGGCCTGTCCCAGAGAAACGGAGGCTTTAGCAGGCATCTGACTTGAATTTCAATTGCTTTTATGTATGTATGTGCTGATGTTCTTTTATATTGTTATTAATGGCTTAGATTAGAATGTAAATGGCTTTGCGATGCCTCGTGGGAAGTAATTCATGTAATAATAATTATGATAATTGCACACTAGCAACTGTAGGGAAGATGGTTGTTAAACCCACTAGCACTACCAGGAATTCAGCCAGTGGGACTCGCCTTTAAAGAGAACATTTAAGCCAGGTATTAGCAAACCTTTTCAGCAGGGGGCCGGTCCACTGTCCCTCAGACCTTGTGGGGGGCCGGACTAGATTTTGGGGGGAAATGAACAAATTCCTATGCCCCACAAATAACCCAGAGATGCATTTTAAATAAAAGCACACATTCTACTCATGTAAAAACACGCTGATTCCCGGATCGTCTGCGGGCTGAATTTAGAAGGCGGTTGGGGCCAGATCCGACCCCCGGACCTTAGTTTGCCTACCCATGATTTAAGCAGTACTGTATTCCACGTGCGTCTTCAGTTTACACCCCACATTGTAAGCAGCGTACACAGTTCAGAAGCTTAGAGTTTTGCTACAAAATAAAGTGGGGCCTGCTGCAACAAATTGTTGCAGGGTGGACTGCTCCTGTTCTGGATACTCCTTTCCCTTCCTTCCCAGTTTTCTGCTTCCCGTGTTCAGCAGTCAGTGGGCCACTGAAAACGCTCTGTCTTCATTGTGCTTTTTCGGGGGGAAGGGTTGGGGCTCCTCAGGGACTTTGGTTCCCCAAAGATATTGTATATTTTGTACTTCTGCAAACCTCAGGGTTCTCCTGAGCCCGCTGCTACCTCCCTCTTGTGCGTAGGATGCTGTTCTGGTTACATAAAGATCCACACAGATAATTGATGAGTGCGCCATTGGTATATGTAATGACTGCCAATGTCCCTTTCATTAGTATCCGCAGGAGGCTTGTTACAGTTCTGTCCCTGCCACGCTGCTGTGTAGTATTTGAGTGGGCAATGTACAGTCGGAGACAAAGAATGGGCTCGACTTAGCTGGCATGGCACGGCTTTCAACAAAGGAGCATCTCAATCACGGCAGCTTTCTCTTCTAAGCAACAAGTAGCACAATCAGTTTCAAAAGGTCCCCCCAACCTTCACTCCCAGGCCCAAATTTCAGTTCCTTTGTGTCACAAACCCTGAAGTACATGGCTTGTCTTACCAATATAGTAAAATCTGTACCTGGGTCAGCTGGGCGGCACTTTAAACTGCTTCACATAACCGTGTGCTCCTCCATAAAAAAGAAAATTAAAAATGCAGTTGCACCTAGAAAGCAGCTTTCTTTCTTTCTTTCTTTCTTTCTATATAGAAAGCAGCTTTCAAGGGGCAAGGGTTAGCGAGATGAACCCTTAAATGGTATGCTACTTCTCTCTGTAGGGGACGCGGGTGGCGCTGTGGGTTAAACCACAGAGCCTAGGACTTGCTGATCAGAAGGTCGGTGGTTCGAATCCCCGCGACGGATTGAGCTCCTGTTGCTCGGTCCCTGCTCCTGCCAACCTAGCAGTTCGAAAGCACGTCAAAGTGCAAGCAGATAAATAGGTACCACTCCGGCAGGAAGGTAAATGGCGTTTCCGTGCACTGCTCTGGTTCGCCAGAAGCGGCTTAGTCATGCTGGCCACATGACCCAGAAGCTGTATGCCGGCTCCCTCTGCCGATAAAACGAGATGAGCGCCGCAACCCCAGAGTTGGCCACGACTGGACCTAATGGTCAGGGCTCCCTTTACCTTACTTCTCTCTGTATAGGACATTTTTTAATACTGTGGAACATTACATTACATTAGGAATGAGGAACCTGCAACCTCTCAGTTGACGTTGGGCTCCAACTCCCATCAACCCCAGCTAGCATAGCCAAAGGTAATGAATGATGGGAGATAGAGTCCAAAAAGTTCTGGAGGGCCACAGGAGGCTCCCTGCCCTTCCATAATTTAAATGAAACATCACTTACAGTCTGAGGTGGTTTAACATATCAGGTTTAACATATCCGCTAGCAGGAGGTCTAAGACAAGGTGTAGGCTTAGTAGAAGCTCCTCAGGGTTGCAAGAATAATCTTTCCCCAGTTTCCCCATTTGTGATTCTTTCCTTGGAGATGCTGGGGCTGGAATCCTGGACCTCAGATATACAAATAACAGCATCTTCTGTCGAAGTAGGAAGGAAGGGAAAGAGTGAAAGGGAGAGCCATCCCTAACACCTTAACTCCTGGAACATCCTTTACCTTAGATCAGATCTATGGCAGCACAAATGAAATCAAAGAAGATGTATGCTTTTGTAACATCTCGGAATATATTGGTCTGTACTCCAACTGCTGTTGCTTATTTTTCGTTATCTAACCCTCCTCCTTTCTGCCAGCTGTCCTTTATTGAAGAAACCACACCTTGTGGATGTTCCAAAACTTTATTCACATCATTGCTATTTATTTATTTTTATAGGTCAAGCGAAGCATTTTTGGCATCCACAAGCTGTTTTTAAGATACAGCAGAGGAACTGAGTTGGGAAATTGTGTGTGGGGTGGTGGTGGTTTCTTGGTGTGTTTTTGTAGTTTTTGTTTTTAATCTTCTATGTTTCAGAAGGCCAGCTGTAGCACAAACTGTGACTTGGGGAAATTACCACATAGGCTAGGATCTTCAGCTGGTGTGTTTTGGCCCAGTTCCATTTTTACATCAGTGTAAAAATGAGCCTCTTTCCAGCATCTTAGGACTTGTACATTGACAGGGGGAGAAAGCATGCCAGTCTGAAAATTAAGGGAGGTAGTAGGGAGAAGCTCCATAAATCAGTCGGGAACATTGATTTGTGAACTGAAACTAGGACTTAAATAGATGAGGTACGCCATCATGGATAGGTTGCAGGTGCCTATCCAGGGTTTGGGTTTGTTATAGGAATCCCAAGGTCTAAAATATAGATAATTGCACAAGGTAAACACACATACATCTTGCCAACAAAGGTCTGTATAGTTAAAGCTATGGTTATCCCAGTAGTGATGTATGGAAATGAGAGCTGGATCATAAAGAAGGCTGATCGCTGAAAAATTGATGCTTTTGAATTATGGTGCTGGAGGAGACTCTTGAGAGTCCCGTGGTCTGCAAGAAGATCAAACCTATCCATTCTGAAGGAAATCAGCCCTGAGTGCTCACTGGAAGGACAGATCCTGAAGCTGAGACTCCAATACTTTGGCCACCTCATGAGAAGAGAAGACTCCCTGGAAAAGACCCTGATGTTGGGAAAGATGGAGGGCACAAGGAGAAGGGGATGACAGAGGATGAGATGGTTGGACAGTGTTCTCGAAGTTACCAGCATGAGTTTGACCAAATTGCGGGAGGCAGTGGAAGACAGGAGTGCCGGGCGTGCTCTGGTCCATGGGGTCACAAAGAGTTGGACACGACTAAACAACAACACACATACATAAGTGTATAAGCCACATGTCTAAAATAGTACAGGAGAGCAATCCAAAAGCCATCTTGGCTCTTCTAAAGACTCTCAATATTTCCTCTGCCTTCTTAATCCCCCTTACCTGAGAACAGGTAGGCAGACAGCAATCAGGGGAAGTTCCTGAAGTAATTCCTCTCCTATATCTATGAACCTCCTTTGTCTTAATTGTCATGGTTTGCCCAGATGCTCTGCATTGAGGGATGTCCAACGTGTATCCTGATGGTCTTATCAAATGCTAATGTTTTGTGTAAACTGTGTCTGGAACTATGCGAAATTTGCTAAATCCTCAGGAATATCACACCTTGGCCTGCCTGAGCCACAGTAACCCCACCTTGTGTGTGATGTAATTTCCAACTGTTTGTAGAGGGGGTGTCCTTCTCCACGCCAAAATGAAAACCCTGAAAAGAGATGTTTCTTCTTGGTTTGGGGTCTCTCTCGCCTCCTTGCTAGGAGGGCACCTGGCAGATTGGGCCTGCCAGTGCTTTAAGAAGGATTTGCTGTAGTTGTTAAGAGTACTGGGGCAGCATTGGGGAGACCCAGACTCGAATCTCTGTTCAGCTTCAAAGCTCCTTGTCACGCTGCCTCTCAGTCTGACAAGGTTGTTAGAATAAAATGGGGGTGGGGGAGAAACATATGTCCACACCCATTTGTTAATCTGGACTTTGCTAGGCCTGCAGAACCAGCAGCTGCAGCAAACCTCAAGCACACTGTGTTAAGCACCCACAAAGGATCAAAATGGGTGAGATGTACAACTCTGTGTCATTTCTGTGCAAGAAATGCCTGGAACATATTGTCCTCGACTTCACTGCCTGATATATGAGACCTTGGCATTCTGAAGGAATGATAAGATTAGAAAGAAACCTCACACAAATGAGATGTTGCCTATGGGATAAAGGCAATAAACATGAAGCCAAAACGAAGGTGAAACCATAACATATTTTAGAAAATCTGGTGGAACATGTTGAAGTGACCTGCATGAAGAACTGCTGATGAAACAAGGATCCCAGCTACACCCATCCCCTTCCCAGATAGATTATGGAATTCGTTGTCTATATCTTTAGTGGGTCTGCCCGTGTAAATAATGAAAGTAATGCAGAAGTTGGACAAGTCTATCCTTCTGCTAGAATTCCAGATCAACATGAAAGGTGTTATGAGAACAATTTTACTGGAGGGAGGAAGGGTTTCTTCTTCTTTTCCTGCCCAGCTCTTCCTTGTATGCTTTTGCCCACCTGATGGCCACAAGATCCTGCCCTACTGCCTTGGACTGGTGACTATGAACTTTATTCCAACCTGCTAATATACTAGGGGAAATGTATGTTATTAGTTGGTCTGTTACAGGTGCTAACTGTGGGTTGGCAAATCCAGCATCCCTCTTTCTCTCCCTTCTTACCTAAAAACCTTCTTCATCCCTTATATACCCATTTGATCACTGTGCTCTGCAGGAGAGGTCCTCCTACAGATACCATATCATTAGGACTGCACAGTATACGAATTGGGCCTTTAGTGTTGTGTCACCTATCCTTTGGAATCTCACCCCAGTACATATCAGGCAGGTTATTGTCTTTATTGTATTTTCTGCACCAGCTGAAGACCTTTCTTTTCCAACAAACTTTTAAAGTTGGTATCTTCATCCCAGTCTGCATTCAATTTAAAGTTGTTTCATTGTTTTTTGTACGTGGAATCTTTTTACCTATGGAATAGTTTGTGTGTGTGTGTGTGTGTGTGTGTGTGTGTATTTCTTTTCATTGCAAAATTGTTTTGAGGTAAGTTATGGGAAGCAATCCATAAATGGAATAAAATAAAATAATGGTTCTAACTCTTTAAATCAGACTAGGACTGGGCAGCTCTTCAAATACAGGTCTTGCCTCTCTCAATTACAGCTCGTGGCCCCCTGGTGGATGCAAATTGCACACACCCTTGATTTAGTTGAGGAATCAGACATGCTGGGCCAGCAACCTAATGCTGACATCACAGAAAAATGTCTCAGTTGTTGCAAGGCAAATATGCTTGCACAAATGGCTAGAATCAGGATGTTAGGCCAGAATACTTTATTCATAGGAGTCACGCCATCCCGTGATCATTTTTACGGCCTTTTCCTGAAACCTTTCCAATGCTGCAGAATCCTTGAGGTGAGGCAACCGGAACTGCACACAGTATTCCAAATGCAGTTGGGCGATAGGTTCGTATAACAGCATTATGATATCAGCAGTTTTATTTTTAGTTCCTTTTCTAATGATCCTAGCATGAAATTTTCCTATTCCACAGCTGCTGCCCAGTGGGTCACCATCTTCATGGAGCTATCTGCTATGACCCCAAGGTCTCGTTCCCAGTTCAGTTCGGAGCCAGTTCAGACCCCATGAGCGTATATGTGAAATTAAGTCCTTTTTTGCCCCGACATGCATCACTTTACAATTGCTTACACTTAATTGCACATTTCATTTTACTGCCCATTCACTCAGTTTGGAGAGGTCCTTTTAGAGCTCTCCTTTTGTTTTAACAACCCTGCACAATTTAGTATCATCAGCAAACCTGCTCATTTATGAACAAGTTAGGAAGCACAGATCGCAATACCAATCCTTGGGGGACTCCACTTTCCAGATACCTCCATTCAGAGAACGATCCATTTATTCCTACTCTTTGCTTCCAGCAACTTAACCAATTCATGATCTCTCCTTTTATTCCTCAAGTGCTAAGCTTACTCAGGAATCTTTGGTGAGGTGCTTGAAAGCTTTCTGTAAATCCAAGTATACTTCATCAACCGTACATGCTTGCTGACACTCTCAAATACCTCTAATAGGTTTATAAGACAGCAGCCATGCTGCTCTGCTTCAGTAAGGCTTGTTCTTCTTGCTTATTTTATTTTTAACAATACTCTCCACCAGTTTCCCCAGGACAGATGTTAAGCTAACCAGTCTGCAGTTTCCTGGATTCCCTTTTAAAAACTGTTCTTAAATTGCCTGCATTCCAGTTCCTCGGGTATGGAGGTTGATCTTAGGGGCAAGTTACATATTTTTGTAAGATTAGCAACTTCACATTTGAGTTATTCAAGGACTCTTGGGCGGATGCTGTCCAGACCTTGCAATTTGTCAGTTTTTATTTTGTCTATTAGGCCTAGAACTTAAATCTCTTGTCGCCACTATCTGCTTGTGTTCTCAAGACTCACCTCCTGCAGTGCTGCTGCAATCGGCCCTATTATCTTCCTCTGTGAGATGCAAAGAATTAATTCAGCTTCTTCACAATCTTCTTATTCTCCTTTAGCACTCCTTCGACTCCCTTGTCATCCAAGGGTCCGACTGCCTTCTTAGATGGATTTCTGCTAGTATTTTAGGACCATTGTCCCACAATATAAGTAACATGGAATGTTATTTTTAAAGCATTTGAAGGCTTCTTAAAGGAATGTTAGGATATGTCTGGGGGGGGTGTTATAGAAAAAGCAGGTTTTGAATCTGCTAATTTGCCTACACAAATAAGATAAACCTCACTTGGTCAAAATTCCATTCAATAATTAGGACGTGTAAGAGCGGAATCATAGTGGTTGCCTTATGTTCTAATTCTGATTTATAGCTGAATTTTACAGCTCTTTGGGATGACAGGGGTCACAAACATTGCTAGCACCTCATTCACAAACACTGGCAATGAGGGAAATCATGCCTGAGACAGCCTTGTGCAAAACAAAAAACCACTCCACTTTGATCCAGGGTTTGGCATCTTAAGAGGAGACCGTCTTATGGCGACAGGGGTATATAATTTGCGGTGGCTATTTGGGATTGCAGAAATGTGCTGACCAGCTCCTTCCTTAAGAACAGGGAATAATGCATGGTCAAGAGGCCAGAGATAACCCTTTCCTTACAGGCTACTACAGTAAACCTCACGTTGTCAAGCCACCAAGGAAAGCTAGCACACAAATAAAACGAGTTTATTGATGATGGTAGGAGAGGCAAAGAAAAAAGGTGGGCGCAGAACTTTCTTTATGTATGCTACAACAGCAGCAAGAATACTCATCGCAAAGTATTGGAAGACACAAGAGCTACCCACACTGGAGGAATGGCAGATGAAAATGATGGACTACATGGAATTGGCGGAAATGACTGGCAGAATCCGTGACCAGGGAGAAGAGTCGGTGGAAGAAGATTGGAAGAAATTCAAAGATTATTTACAGAAATATTGCAAAATTAATGAATGTTAGAGTGATGTTGGATTGAAATTAAGTGGCTTCTAGCTGTACAGGCTTTAAAGTTATAAATATATCAAGATTAAGGATTAGGATTAAAAAGGTTAAAAGAATGGAAAAATTGGTTTTTAATAGATAAAAATTTAATGTTATATTATATTAAGATTAAGGATTGGGATTAAAAAGGAGGGAAAGGAATTGCTGGACTAACAAACTGAATTGGAATACAAAAGAGGGAGGTATGAGGAAATCTGGGAAACAAGTAAATGCAAAAGTAGTGATGAAAAGAGGGAATTGTTTTTAACCGTTTTTTCTTTTTGTATTTTGCATTGTGTATTTTTCTTTTTATTCTTAAATTTTCCTTTTTTTACTAATGTGATTTCTTTTCTGTGAAACTTTAATAAATATTATTTAAAAAAAGGCGGGCGCAGGACTAATTCCTCACGCACACAAAACACCCAGTAATATAGTCCTTGCTAGATTTCCTCTCATGTTCTGCAAAGGCTAAAAACTCCCCGTCTCATGTTTGACAAATGCTGAAACCTTTTTGCCCCTCAGGGTCTACAAATGTGAAAAACTTGTGGTGTTGTTTTTTTAATGAAAGCTGGGGATCTGAGGCTTATGGTTCACACAGGGGTAGAGCAACTGCTCCCCAACAACTCAGGCGCCCGCCTTTAACGGCTTCCCGAGGCCTGAGGTAAAAAACGGTCCCTTGCCCCTCCCTCAGCGAAGACCTCGCGCGACGCCTCTCGCCGCTAATTCCCGCCTTTCTGGCCGGACGACCAATCGCGCCAAAGGCTCAGGAGGCGAAGGGAGGGGGAGGCGTGGTCGTGCGTCGTGGACGTCACCGACGTCGTCATCCTGGTCTGACGGAGGGGACTGGCGCGCACGCGCACTCCCACCCCACCGTTTGCGCCGGCCCCGGCCGACTCTGCAATGCGCGCTCCCGGCCGCCCCATAACCAGCCGGGGACGTGGAACGCGTTTCCCTCCCTTCACGCTTCCCTCCGCCTCCGCCAGGCCTCTCTAGGAAACACCCTAGCAAGGGGGCCCCCCTCCCTCTCTTTCTGTGGTAACCCGGAAGAGGAAGCGGCGGCCGCGCCCTTTGACCCAGTTCTTAGCGGAGTGGGGGAGGGGGAGGAAAAAAGGCAAAGTCGCGACGGAGGCGAGGAAGGAACCCCGGAAAGAAGGTGGGCAGATGAGGCGGCGGGGAAGGGGAGGGAGCCGAAGGCGGCATGGAAGGAAGGGCGCGCAGATTACGCGCCGGCCGCGGTTTTAATCCCCGTGCGGGCGCGCGCGCGCAGGGGGAGGCGGGGCCTCCTGGCTGCTTCCGGAGCGCGCCTTCAACCGAGAGTTTGCTCTTTTTCTCTTTTATTCCTCAAAAATCCCCCCCTTCACGGTTCTTTCAAGAGACCAGGTGGGGTGGGGGGGGAGGGGAAACCCGCCGGGCGTCCTCTGAACAGCTGCGCGGGAGGCGCGGGCCCCCATTTGGGTGCGCCTCCCCTCTGAGGAGGGGTCCCGCCGCCGGTGCTGCGGGTGAGGAGGAAGGAGAAGCCGCGCGAGGCTTTCGCGCGACGGGCCCGGATCCGGCCCAGAAGTGGCGAAGCTGCCCTGCTTTAGGCCGCGCGTGGAGGGGGAGGCTCACGTGGCCATGTGCACCCCGCCCCCCAGCTCAAAATAAAATGATTTATATATATAAAGCACGTAAAGCAATCGGGCTAACCAGCCTTGGCCCTGACTGGCTTGTGTCCATGTTGTAGGAACTATGGTCTTCCTTCCCTAGCCTTAATTCTTCTGGAGGATCATTCTTAACTTCCACTGGAGTACAGTGGTACCTCGGGTTACATACGCTTCAGGTTACAGACTCCGCTAACCCAGAAATAGTACCTCGGGTTAAGAACTTTGCTTCAGGATGAGAACAGAAATCATGGTCTGGCGGCGTGGCGGCAGCAGGAGGCCCCATTAGCTAAAGTGGGGCTTCAGGTTAAGAATAGTTTCAGGTTAAGAACGGACCTCCAGAACAAATTAAGTACGTAACCAGAGGTACCACTCTATTTCTTTCTTTCCACTGGAAAATCGTCAGTTATTTCCTTCCTTCCTTCCTTACAATGGAAGTTGCTCCTTTCCTTCTGCAGCTCATTCTATCCTTCCCTCAACTGAAGGCTGGAGTTTCTTCTATCCTTTCACTGGAGGATCATTCTTTTCCTTTCTTCCTTTCACTAGAAGATCATTCTATCCTTCCACTGGAACAGTGGTTCCCAGTTAGCTAAGTACTGCAGACCCTCTGTTTTTCAAAAGCCAAGCTATGGGTATTTTGAAAATGTTGTGATATCTGTGGTAGTTTTTGTTATGTGAAAGATGCCACCATACCCTCCAGCATGTCACAGCACAAAACCATGATGCATGGCTGCACTTCTGTGTGAGAGACGGCCTCCAAAATGGGATGTCCCGGACAGTTGACAGTTTGTGATACGGACCCCCTGCCTCTGTCCACCAGTTGGGAACCACTGCACTGGAGGATCATTCCTTCCTTCCACTGGAGGATCATTCTGTCTGTCTGTCTTTCCATGGTAGGGTCATTCTGTTACTGAGCTCCAGCCTTCAGGGTGAAGTGGGACACACAGGCTAAGTGCCCTGGGAGGCCTAAAGAAAACAATACCGCATTCTCCCTTGTGCATTAGTGTGTTGCAAATGTTATGCATAACCCTCCAAAGGGAAGGAAGCCTGTGGGACTGTGTGTTTTGTGTGGAGAAACAGCTTGCATGAAGCACCCAGACACTGTATCGCTAGCTGTCACCATAGTTTGCCCAAACTAGCTGTTCTTTTTCGTTGTTCAGTTGGTGAAGTTTGTGTAGAAGTTGACACAGCTTTTAGCATAAGAGACTAATATGGGCAGGAGGATAGTGAAGAAAGATGCGCCTCAAGCTGGTGCTAGAAAAAGATATTTTTTGTTTTTATGAAATATCTTTCACAGGTTTTGTTCAGTGGCAAAGAGTCTGTGTGGCATATTCTAGTGCAGAAAAGGAAGGCAACTAAAAAATATACTGTATTACGTATACAAGTGGGGATTCTGCAACAAAATGCTTCCATGTGTCTCCAGTTTTTACACGTGGCCTTTGAGTATCTTTTTTACTTCCCTGCCTGTCTTAAGAGCATACAGTTAAGTCAGGGGCTCCCATTCTTTTCAGACATAAGGAAAATTGAGAAACAGTCAAGGGCACTACCTGAAGTAAAAAAGGATGCCCCCAACCCCCCCCCTTTAAATTGGGATAAGCATGACCACTGTATGCCATGTTGAAGATTCCAGGCTCAGCTGCTGGCTGTGAGCCCCAAGCCATATGAGCAGAAAGCTATACTGCTACATGGGGAGGGGCAGTTTCTGGTAAAAGCACAATGGGAAGTGTTTTTTCATGAAACCTGGTAAGGGGAGTTTTTTAACCTCATGGCACTAAATCTTCCCCATCTTAATCCCACCTTTGAGAACACAGAAGCTGATCCTCTTTCTCCACCATTTTCCTTATTAAAAAAAAGCAGACAAACTGAAGCCCTCAATACTGTATTTTGTAAGGTCCTTATCTGGTCCTTTTTGTGGGTTTTAAAAACCGTTCCCCCCCCCTTTTGATTTACAAAATACAGTGGTGCCCCGCAAGACAAAAAACTCGCTAGACGAAAGAGTTTTCCGTTTTTTGAGTCGTTCCGCAAGATGAATTTCCCTATGGGCTTGCTTCGCAAGACGAAACTTCTTGCGAGTTTGTTTCCTTTTTCTTAAAGCCGCTAAGCCGTTAATAGCCGATAAGCCGCTAATAGCCGCTAAGCCGCTAATAGCCGTGCTTCGCAAGACGAAAAAACCGCAAGACGAAGAGACTCGCGGAACGGATTAATTTCGTCTTGCGAGGCACCACTGTAATACACTAACACACATCTGAGAAACCCCCCTGAATCTGTAGGAACTATCATTTATGTCAGGTGTCCCATTTTGACTTTCCAGCTGTCAGGCACTTAACCATCCAAGGCTGATATTGGAGGGAAGAGTTGGAAGGAAAGATTACAATACGGATACTACTGAGATACATTTGGCGTAGTGAGTCAACAAGTTGTATGGGTCTGTTCTGGTCGGGGACAGAGGATGGCGCTTGGGGGGGAACTGTCGTCGCACCACTCCTTGGTGTGTGGAGTGCCGCAGGGTGCGATACTCTCCCCGATGCTTTTCAACATCTTTATGTGCCCCCTCGCCCAGCTTGTCTGGAGTTTTGGTTTGGGCTGCCATCAGTATGCTGATGACACCCAACTCTTATCTGTTGATGGACGGCCATCCTGACTCGGCCCCAGACACACTGATCAGATGTCTGGAAGCTGTGGTGGGATGGTTATGTGGGAGCCGGTTGAAGTTAAATCCTTCGAAGACAGAGGTCCTTTGGCTGGGTCGGGACGATATGGGATTGGGGGGGGGCAACTCCCATCTCTTACGGAGGCGCAATTAGTGCCAGCACCGTCTGTTAGGATTTTGGGTGTAATCTTCGACACCTCCCTTTCCATGGAGGCACAGATTGCAGCTACAACAAAGGCGGCATTTTTTCATCTCTGCCAAGCTAAGCAGTTGGCTCCTTACCTCTCTCGCCCTGACCTAGCCACTGTGATCCACGCGGCGGTCACCTCTAGACTTGATTATTGCAACTCACTCTACGTGGGGCTGCCCTTGAGACTGATCCAGAAACTCCAGTGGGTGCAGAATGCCGCGGCGAGGCTCCTTACTGGGTCCTTGCCGCAGGATCACATTCACCCGGTGCTATACCAGCTGCACTGGCTCCCGGTGGAGTACAGGGTCAGGTTTAAGGGGCTGGTTTTGACCTTTAAAGCCCTTCACGGCCTAGGACCCTCATACCTATGGGACCGCCTCTCCTGGTACAGTAAGTCCCACGGAGGACCTTACGGTCTTCAAATAAAAACATCTTGGAGGTCTCGGGCCACACGGCGGTTAAGCTAGCCTCAACCAGAGACAGGGCTTTTTCGGCCGTGGCCCCGATCTGGTGGAACGCTCTGTCACAAGAGACTAGGGCCCTGCGGGACTTGACATCTTTCCGCAGGGCCTGCAAGACAGAGCTGTTCCACCAGGCCTTTGGCTGCGGCACAGTCTGATCCCCTCCTTCAGTAATCCTCATAGAACTCTAGCCCAATGGTTGCCATTAATTTGACTCTGAACTGATTTTAGAATGAATTGATTTTAGAATGTATTCCAGTTAATTGATTATGATTTTATGTAAACTGTTATTTTTACTGTTGTTAGCCACTCTGAGCCTGGCTTCGGCTGGGGAGGGCGGGATATAAATAAATTATTATTATTATTATTATTATTATTATTATTATTATTACTCCTGTCTGAAACCTCTTGTTCCCTGGAAAAAAATGCCCAGCTGCTGCAATGGATGTAGGCATCCAATATGTATTTTGTGAAAGCAACACTCTGACCTACTCTATTAAGATGTATGTGTTTTCAACTGTTATCAAACCTCATGGTGGGACTGGTGTTGCGGAAGCACTTGGCTGATTTGAGTGATACAGGAATATCACCAATATGCTTTCTGGCAGCTATCATCTTCATACTGTGAAACCAGATTATGTTACTGACAGTGGGTAAGGAACAATGAGTGACTGTAACAGGCCTGTTTGCTTAAATTCAAGGCTGCCCCAATAATGTATACAGAAGGAGTGGGGATTGTATTTGAAAGCAAAAGGAGGATATGGGTAAGAGGAGCTGAACTGTCCGTGCTCCTGTGACTTGCCCCCACTATTCTCCCCTTCTAGGCATATTTCTTTCCGGTGAACTCAGTTTCAGAATCTGGAGGTGGGAGTTCAGGTAATAGCTTGGGGAGATACGTCCCTTTTGCTTGTAATGTTCAGCCCCCGCTTTCCAATTTTATACATGCTGAGAGCTGTGTTTGAAATTCACCAGGCACATTTTGCACCTGGCTTTCAGCCACTTGCAACCAAATGAAGATTCCAGGGTGGCACCTGACATCTCCACCATCTGGAGGTGCATGCCTGGGGATCCTTGGATCTTGACTGTGTGCACGCACTAGCAACACATCCTGTAGAATTCTATCCATTATACAGTGGAACCTCTACTCACGACCACAATCCGTTCCGGAGGCCTGTCTGGAAGTCGAAACGGGTCACTGGGAGAGGCGCCGTTGTGCGCGAGCGGCTATCACCCGCTTCTGCACATGCGCAACGGCAATCGCCGCTCCTACGCATGCAAACCAGCCGGTTACTTCCGGGTTTGCAGCAGACGTGGGGCGAAATGGATGCGAGCCGAGGTGGACATAAGAAGAGGTTTGACTGTATTTTATCTGCACAAGGAGAATGAATTTCAAGAACTAAAACGTTGTTTTGAAAAATACCACTTTTGAGGCATCTGCCTCAAAAATGGCAACTAGGCATTGTTTTGGTGACTGAAACCCTCGTTTTAAGGAGCCTTTTGGTGCTTAGCTTGTATATCTGAGTTTCTGACACTGGCTGAGAGCAGAAGTGATTGGTTTGACTGTTTGCACAACAGTTTATAGCTTTTTGAATTAAGTCCACAGGTCAGTTTATTGTTGAAGGAGTAACTGTCTGGAAAGTTGCTCCAGAATTTTTGTACAGTGGTACCTCGGATTACATACGCTTCAGGTTACATACGCTTCAGGTTACAGACTCCGCTAACCCAGAAATAGTGCTTCAGGTTAAGAACTTTGCTTCAGGATGAGAACAGAAATTGTGCTCCAGCGGCGCAGCAGCAGCAGGAGGCCCCATAGGCTAAAGTGGTGCTTCAGGTTAAGAACAGTTTCAGGTTAAGTACAGACCTCCAGAACGGATTAAGTACTTAACCCGAGGTACCACTGTATTGCTCATACAAAGAATGATACAGACAGTGAGACTAATAAAGAAGGCAAATAATAGTCTAATTGAGTCATTCTTTTTTCTATAGCTTAACTGATGACTTTTCCCCTTTTTTGTGGGAGTGAAAACTGAACCTCATCCAATTAATTACAATTTGATATAAACATGAATAAATTTGCCATGTTTTGGTGAGTGTTTGTGTTTCTTGTCTGCCAATATTTTGTACCCCGTAATACCTGTGGTGTGATTTATCTCACATTCAATATGAGCTGGAACTTAGCTGGAAGGGTGCCTCATGCTCTAGCATCATCAGGTTTTTTGGGTTTGTTTTTTATTGACCACATGAGACCATGCAATTAACGATACTTGTCTCATTTGCAGCCCAAGCCTATTAATATTTACTTGGAAGTGGGCCTTGCTGAATTCAGTGGGGATTATTTTCCAAGGGAGTGTGCGTAGGATTGAAGCCGTAAGATTTGCACAGGATTGATATGTAGAGTCCAGATGGTAGACACCATGCAGTCTATGTTTATGGTTCTTCACAGCGTAAGCAAAAAAACACACAAGATGAGAGGGATGAAGACCCTTAGAACTGTGGAATCTGACTACGTCCATAGCAACACTGAGCATTGAATACGCTTTAGATAACTAAAAGAGAAGACTGATAATCTGATGGTTGTCAAAAGGGACCCGGATTCAATTAATTAATTAATTTGTTAGTTGCGTTATGTTGCCAAGGGCAACCCAAACAGCCAGCCAGACAACCCCCACCCCCACAGTGATACATGAAAACCAAGAGGGAAAATAAATACATTAAAAGCATTCCACCTGCTTCTAAAAGGCCACAGATACTTAAAGGTCAAATACCTGGTTCTAGAGGAAAGTTTTTGCCTGGCGCCTAAAGATATATAATGATGGTGATGCCAGGCGAGTCTCCTTGGGAAGAGCATTCCACAAATGTGGAGCCACTGCAGAGAAGGCCCGTTCTCATGTTGCCTCCCTCCAGACCTCTCATGGAGGAGGCACACAAAGAAGGGCCTCAGATGATGATCACGGGGTTCAATTTGGTTCATATGAGGAGAGGTGGTCCTTGAGGGGTTGCGGTCGTGAGCCATTTAAGGCTTTATAGATCAAAACCTTCCTTTCCAGTTGGGCTCATTACTCTGTAACCTCTGTTTGCTGTGCAGTAGAAATGATGGTATTTATCTTAATTTTCTGAAATACTGTTAGCACTTAAACTGCTTTGACTTTGAACCATTAAGAAAAACTTCAGTGGTTCAAGTGGCAAGATGATAAACTGTTACATTAATTCTGGAATACAGAATATATATCAATAAATCCAGTCTTTGATATGTGTAATAATTGTTTTGATTTTGAGAAGTTAAAAGTTGATGCTTTCAAATTCATTTAGTTTTAAAGTTGTGATTTCCCGTACAGAATACACGATGTGCTCCTTCATTGTTTTGCCAATAAATTTTTATTAAGTCTTAAAAAAAACACAGATTAACAAATTTAACAAATCTCAGATTAACAACTTTTAAAAATACAAATTAATTTCCAGTTTAATATATCCTTAGAGGTTGAATTCCCACCTGTCGTTCCATGGTGTTTTTAATGCCCGCCCTTTCCTACAAAGAGATCTTCTCTATTACACCACCTGATAATCATTATTATAATCTTTCTTCCATTGATTAAACCTCAAAAAAAGAGCTGCACTCTTAAAAAAGTTCGTCTTAATCTTTTACTTTACTGTTTTCATATAATTTTACTTTTAAAAGCCATCTTTAATCAAAACTCTTTTTCCTCCCCCTTCGTTCCATTGCTGCGGGTGCAAAGATCTAGTTGCAAGTTATTGCATCTTCTTTGGAACCTCCCTCTCAGTGGTTGTTAGCATGTTGGGAATCTTCCTTATTACTTTCTAACTTAGCATCACTGCCCCCGACATTCCACCCAAATCCACAGCAAGTCCTTACATTCCAGTCATCCCCAACATTCTTCTCTATAAAACTGCTTGGCTTTCTCTTAATTTTGGTAGATCAGATCCGTAAGTCCAGCCACAGTCCTTCCGGGTCAGATTCCATTTTGCATTTCTCATTCAACCAGACAAAACGAGTTTATGTTTACATTCCTCACTTCCTAACTCCCACCCAACGGTCTCTTCCACTGGGATTTTTCCTGTTAAAACTGTTCTAGCAAAGTCATTGCAGTTTTTACATTATAAAAGTTGCATTGTATCCAAATGTTTTGTTTTGTTTTGATGCTCCTTATTGCAACTTAATCTTGATGCTCTTTACCCTCTGACGACAACAGGGAAGGTAGCATTTCTCAACAGCTTTATAACTTTATGAACTATCTTCAGCTTGATTTTGTTGTTGGTTTTTTTCCCAGGCTGTCAAGAACAATGAAAGACGAATCCTACTCAGCAAACAACTTTTTACGTGAGAGATAGTGTTTGAATCCTGCTCTTCAAGTGGATGTGAAGGACAGCAAGAAGGGTAAATATTCAAAAGTGCCTAGTGATTTTAGTTACGTTTATCACAGAAAGATTGGAATACTTCAAGTCATCCTTGTATAACTGAAATTTGGTATTATCTTCCATCTAGACTCTAGGATAGTCTAGGCCCAGTACTGATTTGGGGGTAGTGCCTGCAAAGGCGAGCAAGAAGGGATTTTTGGCCATTCCCACTAGAGACAATCTTAGCGCCTTTTATTAGGGTTTGCTGCCATTTTAAAATAAGAACCAATGATAGATTCAGTCCTATAGTGATCCCATAACCATCTTTGACAGGCTATTCCCTCAACTCATGTCTCAGTTTGTAATTTAGTTAAGCCTGTAAATACCTTATTTATAGGCATGGCCTATCGGTTTTTTGTTTGCTTTCCTTGCCTTCCAAGATCTAATCCTTATGAAAGCAGTAATATCTCATGGCAGCAAAGGTCTTAAGAGTCTTAACAAAAAATAGAGTGAGGAAGAAAGTAAGCTCATTTTCTAACTTAAAAATGCAATTCATTTTAACTTTTTAAAATAACGTTGGAGGCCATTTTAAAGTTAATCTGCAGCAGTGTTCTTGATATGGCAATGTTTTACTGAGCAAACATCTTGGAAGTGCCTTTGTGCGTGCTCAGCTTTTCTCTGCATCGATTTTATTTTACAGATGTTTGATCGAAATAAACAAGCCGATGAAGCCTCTGCTGCTTCAGCACAAGGTAAGACTCTTATTTAATGGGGGAAACCCACATAATCACATCATTAGCATCTGCTTGAAATGTATCTTTACTGCCTTGACAGTTAATGAAACTTGGGGAGGAGGGATATTTGTTGGCTGATTTCCCTTTCTATAGATTATCTTTTCCCCACCCTCCTTCTTACAGATATAGAAAGAAGAGGTAATGAAGGCTCCTTGCAACAGGAGAGAGGTAGCAGGTGAGTAAGATTAACGTGGAATTACATTGAAGCTGTATTCTTAATACTTTATACCAGGCATAGGCAAACTCGGCCCTCCAGATGTTTCGGACTACAACTCCCATCATCCCTGACCACTAGTCCCGTTAGCTAGGGATGGTGGGAGTTGTAGTCCCAAAACATCTGGGGGCTGAGTTTGCCTATGCCTGTTTTATACATTAACTAGAACTTCCCATTTGTGGTCAGTGTCACCCACCGACATATGGTTGACCACTTTGAGGATGCTGGATTGTTTTTAACTGTTTTTTCTTTTTTTCTACTTTATATTTTTCCTTTTTATTGTTAATTTTTTTTTATTAATGTGATTTTTTTTTTCTTTGAAACTTTAATAAATATTATTAAAAAAAAAAAAAAAGAGGATGCTGGACTAGGTGGGTCACTGGCCTGATCCAGCAGGCTCTTCTTACACTCTGTTCTATTGAGTTAATGCTCAGATTTCTTATCCAGGATCTGATTAAAAAAAAAGGCAGTGGTACCTCTGGATGCGAACGGGATCCATTCCGGAGCCCCTTTCGCATCCTGAAGCGAACGCAACCTGCGTCTGTGTGTGCATGGGTCGCGATTCGCTGCGCATGCGCATGACGTCATTTTGAGCGTCTGCGTGTGCGCGAGCAGCAAAATCCAGAAGTAACGCGTTCCGTTACTTCCGGGTCGCTGCGGAGCGTAACCTGAAAATGCTCAACCTGAAGCATATTTAACCTGAGGTATGACTGTACAGTCATACCTCGGGTTGAAGTAGCTTCGGGATGAATATTTTCGGGTTGCGCTCCACGGCGACCCAGAAGTAATGGAGCGCGTTACTTCCGGGTTTCGCCACTTGCGCAGACGCGTCTTACGTTTACTTCCAGGTGTGAATGGGGCTCCGGAACGGATCCCGTTCGTATCCAGAGGTACCACTGTAAGTAAATATTTGCACTAGCACAGTGGGACTCCCTCCCCCCTTGGGTCCCTTACAGCATCCCCTAAACTGCTCCAGTATGTACATTCAAGGGAACCTCCAGATGAGATTTAGTGGGTGTGCAGGGAGGAGGAGAAAATTGCACTGATGGAACTTTTTCCTTAGCGCTACATTGAAAGCAACCCAAAGTGTGTGCAGGTGGGGCCTCCTTGAAACAGCCCCATTTGGCCTGGATGCTCAGAGGCCATAGAATGATGACTGACTGTTATGGCGGGGGGAGAAAAATAAAAGCAGAAAACTGGGTGGGAGAGGGGAATGGGATGGAGTGTCATGGAAGAAGGTATGTCTGGCTGCCTCTCTGGAATACTGAACAGGAGCACTCCACACTGCAACATTTTGTTGCAGGTTCTGCCTGTATTTTATAGTAATGCATTTGGAATATGGGGAGGCTAAAGGAGACGGCGCTGTTTAAAATATAGTAGTGGGAATAGGGAGCAGAATGGAAAAAAATTACCGTATTTTTCGCTCTATAGGACGCACCCAACCATAGGACGCACCTTGTTTTAGAGGGGGAGAACAAGAAAAAAAAAATCTCCCCCCCTGCGCAGCGCCCCTTCAGCGAAGCAGCAGGAGAAATGGAGCCCCTTCCATTTCTCCTCCCGCTTCGCTGAAGGGGCGACTACCCTTCAGCGAAAGGAACCCGAAGCCTCCGGAGCGCAACCGGAACTCCTGCCGTGCTCCAGAGGCTTCAGGCGGCTATCTTTGAAGCCTGGAGAGCGAGAGGGGTTGGTGCGCACTGACCCCTCTCGCTCTCCAGGCTTCACTGAAGGCAACCCAAAGCCTCTGGAGCGTGGCGGGAGCGCTCCTACTGCGCTTCGGAGGTTTCACGTTGCTATCGCTGAAGCCAAGGAGCCTGCATTTGTTCCATAAGACGCACACACATTTCCCCTTAATTTTTGGAGGGGGAAATGTGTGTCTTATAGAGCGAAAAATACGGTATTTGATAGAATTATTTTTGTTTGCATGCATATTCCATGACTGCTTTTGCATATTCCATGACTGCTTTTGCAGTCCGCAAAAAAATGGATGATTGTATGCAGTCAACAGTGAATTGTTCTTGAAGCCTTTCTCCCAATCTGGTTGACTTGCTTGCACTGCTTGGAAGCTTCTCCCCTAACTGACTGAAATTTCACTGTTCTGCATTTGTTACAGTTCTGACTCAAATCTACTTTCTTGACACTTCTATCCTAGGAAATAATGCAGGATTAGCTTAAGCTACTTTCATTAACAATCTTCTTAGTGGGAAGCGTCTTAATGGCCTGTGATGTTGGTCAGCATTGATAAATGATTTTTGTGAATTAATTTTAAGAACCCATCTCTTTGGGTCTCTGAAATCCTTGACAAGTGCTGTATATGAATAATGTAGTGTAGCTGTAATGCATCTCGATATGTTACCGGTTCATAACAATCTGAAAAATGTGTACGTTCTACAGAGTCGTTAGTAAAAATTGCTAAGTGCTTTCTACCTCCCCCATGGTCAAAATGAGGTTTAGGAATGCTTGTTCAATGCAATAACATCTTTTAACCATTTCAAAAGTGTAATGATTCTGAACCATTACTTTTTCACTCATCTAATATAGGGATGAATATTTCTTGGGTCAGAAAATTTTATATACGTAGAGGTGAGGCCATACTGAATTTTACTTATGTGTGGTTCATTTTGACTGAGTGTGGAAAAAGTAACACGAATGTTGTTTTAATAGCAGCCCTCATCCGGGTAGGAGTCTAACTTCTCTCTCCCTCTGAAAACAGCTGGTTATATGAAAATTTCTATTTTTCATTTTAAGCACGCAAGCACCAGAGCTGGCTGGGCCTGGAGTACCTGTCGTACAGAACAGGCAAGGCTATTGCAACTGTTGCCATGTACACTACAGTAATCTTGAACAGGTAAGGACTTAACTCCAACTGCCATTATGGGAACCTTGGTTTTCCATTATCTGTCAAAGGGCTTGATCAGCTGTTAGTTTTACTCGATTGGATCTAAAAGTTTAAAAATAAAGGATGGGAACATTGTTTGACACAGCCAGTTTCATTTTTAATCTTCAGCTTGAAGGTGTTTGCACTAAAAATTTTTTTTAGGTAATAGATCTGTAAACAGTGGCTCACTCTCACATTCACTGCAACTTAAGAAAAGCGTGTTTGTGAAAACGAGTAGAGTTCAATATGTGCATTAGGTGTAGAGAACAGCCCCTCTGTCCGGCAAGTCCCACTTTTCCTCATCTTCCTTAGCGCTATCACCTACAGTGGTACCTCTGGTTACGTACTTAATTCGTTCCGGAGGTCTGTTCTTAACCTGAAACTGTTCTTAACCTGAAGCATTAGCTAATGGGGCCTCCCGCTGCTGCCGCCGCCACTGCGCGATTTCTGTTCTCATCCTGAAGCAACGTTCTTAACCTGAGGTATTATTTCTGGGTTAGCGGAGTCTGTAACCTGAAGCGTATGTAACCAAAGGTACCACTATATTTCTCACTGCTATCATTACAATTCTTGGGCTGGGCTTGAGCTGTTGAGAGAACTTGCAGTCCACTGTACAGGATACCATGGAAGAAGATGCTCATGGGGCTAGTAGAACATTTAGGCAAGGAAAACCTGTGCCTTGGAAGCTGGGGGTAGAGAGGTTAAATACATCTGAGAAGTGGAAAAACTTCCTTAAACCTTAGGAGGGAAATTCCATTGGCCTAAAGGGCATTTTGGCCACTTCCACACCTCACCCTTGTTTCCCCCAGTTATGTGCAGTCTCTTTCTTTTGTCCCCCATCCTCTGCTGCAACTGCCTCCTCCCACCCAGGTTTCTTTGCTTCTAGTGCAGGGGTCAGCAAACTTTTTCAGCAGGGGGCCGGTCCACTGTCCCCCAGACCTTGTGGGGGGCCAGACTATATTTTGAAAAAAATATATGATGCAAGAGCATCACGAGCCCCGGTGGCTGCTTACCTGTGTCTTGTGAGCGGCAGGGGCTGGTGGCGGCGGTGGAGGGACGATGAGCGGCCTGCGAAAGAGCTCCGGGGAGGGGCTGCTTAAAATGGCGGCTGCTCGAGCGCTGCTGCTGCTGTGACACCAACAAAGCCCAGCCCCCTTCCTCCTCTAGGCAGGGCAGGGAGAAGCCAGGAGGAGGCGCCACCGCCGTGTGAGGGAGAGGGAGATCCACACAGCGATTCCCGGACCGTCCGTGGGCCGGATCCAGAAAGCAGTTGGGCCTGATCCGGCCTACGGGCCTTAATTTGCCAACCCATTCTAGTGTTTGGTTGGGAGGGGGAAAGGAGAGATGGGTAGCTCTGTGGCAACTTTATCACACGTGTTCAACTGGCATCTTTTTCTGTTCATTTTTTTGGGAGTTACGCTTGTCTTGTATATTGTAATGAAAACAGTTAAGTTTTGATAGCTGATTAATATAAAGCATCGTCTTCTTCCCTCATTCAGCACGTGCACAGTACCCAGCACAGGCACTTTGCCACTTACTGCAGGAATCGTACGGGCACAACTAGCCTGATGGAGCGTTTCCTGCAAGATGTTTTGCGGCACCATCCCTATAGATACCATGATAACAGGTAAAATACCCAGGGTTTTTTTGGCTTGTCTAACTTTTATAATATATACGCAAGGTAGTGTGTTAAACTTCTTAAATTATGGAATTTGCAGCAGGTTTGGCCCTTTGGAGAGGGAACTTTTACCTGGAGACCCTCGCTTCATACAAAACATGTATTTAGCTTAATGGATTATTTCATATATCTGCACTAATTACAGAGCTTTTAAATTTAATTGGTAGAATAAATCAGCACGATTCTATGGTTGTGCAATCGTTGCATGATACAAGTCATGCAACAAACCACATCCACGGAAGCATTTGTGCAAAAGGGCTTTCCCCTCTCCTCCCTCCACCCTACCCCCCAATTTGACTTAGGGGGAGTCAGAAGAACCCTTCAGAACAGCACAGGGTGGGGGGAACATTCTGTCTGGTAGGGTGCAATGCTTGCATGGACAGAATGATTGTAATAGCATGAGATTGAATTCTACTCAAAGAGATGTTGTGTGCAAATTTGGCTCCAGATCCCCGCATTTATTTTCTGGGGTCTTTCAATTTCTCTTGATGGTGTTATTTCAAATGATACCTGGAAGGAATATCTTGGCAGAGAGAGCTGAATGTCCAGATCAAGGCCAGCAAAGGTATAATGTAGGAGTTTTGCTGTGAGAAGTGACGAGGGACCGAATATTAATCCTGATTCTGTTTTGGAAAACTGAATTGTGAAAATTTATTCTGTCTGCTGTGAACTAGGTTCTGCCATTTTTGATGAATTGATGAGAATGCAAAAATGAATTATGGGTGTGTGAGGGAAGTGCACAATGGCTGCAGTTTGGCATCACACTAAACCATAGTTCAGTGTAATATAAGCTGGAACAAGCTGCAGTGAGCCTTGGTCTCCCATCTCCTCCTTCTGTGTGGTTAAGGAGGAGGAGTATGGAAGCATTGGCATCTGCTTTTGCTTAACCACATTTTTTTCATGTTACCTGTGATTTGTTTGAAACAAATCAGCTTGGAACCATAATTACGGAGGCATTTATTTAACTGGGTGGGGGAACTGCGCAAACCTGAGGCTCACTGCAACTCATCCCCGTTTGTTCGTGTAATTTCACCAGTATAAATGGAGCTGCAACAGACATCCTGAAGAGTGAAGGAAATGCATAGGTCTCTCTATCTTATTTGTATCTGTCTTCCCCCCAAGGAGTATCTTTTCTGCCTGGGGCTTGAGTGGGGATCCTGAGCCCCAAACCCAGTGTTCTCTGCTGAGTCCTATCAGGATTCCCCGTCAAGCAGCTAGAATGTGCCTTGTGGGCTGTGTTTAGCACAGTAGGGAACCAGTTGTGCAGGCCCTGAAGCGGAGCCCAAACATAGCTGTCAACCGTCCCTTATTTGGCGGGAAACTCCCTTATCCCAGCGCCGTGTCCCGCTGCTGTCCCTTATTGATGATGTTCCTTAAATTTCCCGGGGTTTCATGCTCGCCTGGCTCGGGAGGGAAGCAGCGGCTCGAGGTCCGCCACAAGAGAGAGCGCGCGCTGGCGCCGTCATCCTGGCGCGAGGAGTTCCATCGGCCCTTCCCCGCCTGAGGAGGGGGGAGGGAGAGAGACTCTTGCCCACGCCGCCCGTGAGCCCAGAGGCAGCAGCGGTGGTGGCAGCTGAGGAGGTGGCCTGAGGGAGGAGGAAGAGGAGGGGATGGGGAGGGATGCAGAAGGGCGGCGCTTCAGCAGCCACGGCAGCGCTGCAACCGCCTTATGCCGGATTGACAGCATCTGTCAATCCTACCAATGTATGTAACTTTACAACAGCAAAATCCCTTATTTTGGCTGCTGATCCCTTATTTTAGAGGCTGCTGTTCCCTTATTTTCAAATCTGTAAGTTGACAGCTATGAGCCCAAACAAAGCTACCCCATCTTTTTGAGGGATGCTGTATTGAAAACAGGGGGCTATATCCAGTGAGGGTCTTCCAACCCCACCAGAGCTTGTTCTGAGGGGGCAGGAAAGGAAGAGGAATTTCCGTTGTGCCCAAGGAAGTCTCTTGCCCCAGCAGAGCTGCAGTGATGGACCCAGCCCTGGGATCCGGTGCTTTCATTTTCTTCTTTCCGTTTGATTTTCAAAGTATGTCAAGAGCAAAATCCCATCTGGGCATCAGCTGTGAGGTCACCACTGGAACTTCTTAATAATAAACTCCTGGAGTGAAATAAACACCTGACTATTCTGGGTTAGCTATAATCACATCACTCACATGTGGCAGCCACGAGCCAGGGAATAGGTCGTTCTAATGAGTGCAGACTAAAATAGTATTTTGCTCTGGTACCTGATATATTATTTATAAAAGTTAGCGTAGAAGGTTTTATTCCTTGGTGTTTCATCCATCATACTTTTATGTTATGTGCTGTATTGATGGCAGGGAGGATATTTCTGAAGACTGCTGTTTCATGCTGCTGCTATTTCCTTTCTGAAAAGACAGTGCATCAGTTCTTAGACTGCAGGATGCTACCAGAACAGAAGGAATGTTCTTTGGTGTCTGTTGAGAAGCTAGTATTTCATTCACTGATATGGTTTATCAAAGACTTGAAATTAAAAGATACAAAGCGTCAAAAAGTCCAGGACAAAACCAGCTTTTCTGCCAGAACGCAATTCTGAGCAGCTGCCATGCATCTAAACCTTTCATTCCACTTAGATGGTTAGTGGCTGCTATGAGTGCTCCCACACACTCGTAGGAATGTGTTTTGTTTTGCCTTTGTTCATTTTTCTGCTTGAGAGGCGTTTGAATTTTTAACACATCTCCCCTTTGCTGTGTTGATTTTAATGGAATTTCAGCATCTTGCAAGGCTATCTTGATTCTAGCTAGTATTAGAACAGTATGGGGACAAGGAAGCTGCTGTAAAAGCTTCTTTCAGGGCAATCTGAATATAAACTCAGACATATAAAATGCACACGAGAGCATAATTAGTGCAAAGACGAACCTTTGCTCAACCATTAGTGCAAAGCAACACTGATGGTTAACTGCCTGCGTCCGTGGTCAGAAACATCTGGCCTTTATTCAGGTAAACTGTTCAGTATGAAGGAAAATATCAACCCTTTGTTTAAGTAGGATTTCCCCTCTCAGATCTTTTGACATTTGAATGCAACCATGGACCTGTGTACCTAGTCCCTGAATGGGGGCACGGTTAGTAATCAGTTAAGAATCTCATTAAAAAATTAGCCCATATCATTGTGAATATTGGCTGCAATGACAAGAACACTCCGGGTTAGTTTACAGAAAGGGCAAGGACAAGGGGCGAGAAGAATTCATCTACACAGCTGTGGATTAAGTTTATGCGGGTTTTACAGACACAGTGGCTTGGATCCTAATTTTTCATTCTGTAAACAGAAGCTCCTTCTGTTCATGGAATAAGAGAATTAGGATCCTAACCAGTGGCTGTACAATAATATACACACAATACAGGAATATTCATGTTTTTGTCACAGGAAGATTATTCAGAATAGAAATTCGTGCTGTCTTAGGTGTCTAATGCAGTTCATGTCTGCGTATAAACTGATACTGGGTATAGCTTATTTATATTCTTGTTGATACACTTTAAAAAATCTGTCTTTCTTTAAATTGAAACCTATCAAAGTAGCATTTCTAATTCTACAATGTAAAGATGTGTATGCATTGCTTCTGTGCTCTGGTCCTCATAGGCAGCCATTAGCTGCATTATTACATTAAGCTTTCCTGCCTCAAAGAGTGTCTGCTATAACAAAGGCTGCCCAGCTGAAGGCTCATATTCTTTCTTTTATTTTTATTGTCCCAACATATCCTTCCCCAGCGCTCCAGTAGCTCAGAAGAGTGTTAATCATTGTGGCAGAGAGTCTTGGCACTAGTAGTAGTTCTGGGAACAGTGCTGCAGTTTTTCCTATGCAGCAGAATCTCAGTGCTTCCCTCCCTTCCCTCACCATTATACAGTAACATTAAAAGGTAAAGGTACCCCTGACCATTAACAGTACAGTAACATTAATGGGCTTTAAATAAAACATTACCGTCCATGAAATTCAGAGTTCAAACCTGTAAGTTATGGGGCAGTTATTAAGGAGTGTTTTTGTTGGTGGCCCAATTTGACTTGCAGCTGAAGTTCTGATTGTACTGATAATAATAATAATTTTAATAATAATTTTTATTTATACCCCACCCTCCCCAGCCAAGGCCGGGCTCAGGGCAGCTAACAAGCAATAATAAAATCAAGTTGAATGAATACAACTTTAAAACAAAATTAAAATAAAACATTAAAATATTGAAACATTAAAATATTAAAATGTAACCTCATCGTAGGAGGAGAAAGGAAAAGAAAAAAGAAAGAGCGGGAGGGAATCAAATTGGCTCCAAGCCAAAGGCCAGGCGGAACAACTCTGCGGAAAGAAATCAGATCCTGCAGGGCCCTGGTCTCATGAGGCAGAGCGTTCCACCAGGCCGGAGCCAGAGTTGAAAAGGCCCTGGCTCTGGTTGAAGCTAATCTAACTTCCTTAGGGCCCAGGACCTCTAGGGTGTTGCTTGGACCTTGAGGCTCTCCGTGGGGCATACCGGGAGAGGCGGTCCCGTAGGTACGAGGGTCCTAGGCCGTGAAGGGCTTTAAAGGTCAAAGCCAGTACCTTAAATCTGACCCTGTACTCCACCGGGAGCCAGTGCAGCTTGAAAAGCACTGGGTGAATATGCTCCCATGGCAGAGACCCCATGAGGAGCCTCGCTGCTGCATTCTGCACCCGCTGGAGTTTCTGGGACAGCTTCAAGGGCAGCCCCGCGTAGAGCGAATTACAGTAGTCAAGCCTGGAGGTGACTACTATAAGAGTAGTTCCTGTTTTATTAACTCTTGGGGCTCTTAATCCCATAGCTGCAAACCCCAGTTTTGTGTTAAGTGTATTTACAACGTTTACGTGAGTTTTCTTCTCCCTTCCCCAGACCGACTCACGACGACATACCTATCGGCAGCTCCCAACCTCTTCCCAGGAATGAGGCTCTTTTGCCGGTGGAAGTGCTGGAGAAGGAAAGTGCCATTAGCAAGGGAGAAGAACCGAGCACCAACAATGCATTGACTGCAGAGTCAGGCTGCTTCACTTCCCAGAGGTCACACGAGGAACTGAAGGGGGCTCCTGGGCCAGTCACACTTCTCCATACGCTAGAAGAAAGGGGAAAAGTGCACAGCCAAGGAACTTCGCAGCAAACTATAGACATCTCTAGCAGTACAAGAAATCATGTTGCAGCAGATGGAACTCCGACTGAAAGTAGTAGCCATAAAACCCCACTTGCAGCAGTGAACCCCTTACCCTGCCCATCATCCATTAGCCACTCACCACCCCCTCCAACGCTTGCAAAAAATGTGAGGCATTCAGTAATACCAGATTTGGCTTCACAGAACAGGTGTGAGCAAACTAAGCAGAGCATATGCGATCAAGATGGATTACTGATTCCAAATTTGAGCCCCGTTTTGCAGTCTCCCCCAAGAACTGTTTCACATTCACAAGATGGATTACCGATTCCAATTTTGAGCCCCGTTTTGCAGTCTCCCCCAAGAACTGTTTCACATTCACAAGATGGATTACCGATTCCAATTTTGAGCCCCGTTTTGCAGTCTCCCCCAAGAACTGTTTCACATTCACAAGATGGATTACCGATTCCAAATTTGAGCCCCGTTTTGCAGTCTCCCCCAAGAACTGTTTCCCATTCACAAGAGAGTCCTGTGTGTAATCAAGGCAACTCTTTAATCTCAGGTCAGGTTTTTTTAAAACAAGGTGGCGTACAGGCTCAGGATGAAACTCAGATCGCCGACTTCTGTCTCAGGGACACCAGCAACCCTGTGGGTACCGGTAACTCGCAGAGTTTTCAAGCAGTTCCCCAGTTTTCAGGGGGGAAAGAAAAGCAGCTGAGCGGAAGCGCGGAAACTTCTGTAGATGAAATCATTGACGAAGTCGTTCTGAGACACTGCTGTGAAACTTCTCCCAAAGAGTCGCCTCTCAGAGACGAAGAGACGGACCCATGCGTAAATATCCTGTCGCTTCTGGACCACAACAGTGTTCATGGATCCGATGTAAGCTTTGATTGTGATGCAAATGCTCAGTCAGGAGGACACCTGCCTAAGGCAGCTGTTAAAAATCTAGAATTGCTCAAAGAGGTTCAAGTAAATTTACAAGATGAGAAGTATGGCTCCCAGCTCAGTTCCATTCTTCAAAATAACTCTGTGCAGCAGACAACAGAACCAGAAGCAGAACCAGAACCAGATGTGTCCATTCATCATCAAGAACCAGTTCTCCCAGCTTTGCCCCATGTGCCTCCTTCCTTTGTAGGAAAGACGTGGTCCCAGATCATGTACGAAGATGATATGAAAATTGAAGCCCTTGTGCGGGATTTCAGGGAAGGTCGCTTCCGCTGCCACTTTAATTCCAAGTCCTTGGCTAATGGTGCAACAACAAGGAAGAAGAAGGAAGAAGAAGAAGAAGAAAGGAAAATCAGTGCAATTGCAGCGGAGGAATTGGAGGCTGTGTCGGATAAAGGCCTTCCGGAATTTGGCTCTGACTTCAGCAACTCTCCTGCTGCCTCAGAAACACAACACATTCCAGAAACAGTAAAGAAGCCTCAAAAAAGGACTTGGCGCCTTGCCTCAAGATGCCAAGTAGTCAAGGTTAGCCATGGCACACAAACTAGCTTGCTGAACTATCCCATAGTGAAACACAAAACCATTAGAAGGGACCATGAGCAGCCAGATCCGAAAGGTTACTTTGTATGGTCAGAGAATGAGAAGACACCCACCATGAAAACTAGACTCTGTGCCCTCAAGCTTCCTGAGTCTTACACCAAAATTCTGAACCCTTTACAGCCCCAAACCACAGTCTATGTTCTTTCCTGTCCAGAGATGAAATTGTCTAGGAGCAACACTGAAGACATTCCCAGAACGAGAAGATGCTACAACTCCACAGATAGTAAGGACTCCATAAGGTACAAATACAAACAGACTTCTATTAAGTATTATGACCCACTGACGAACCGAGTTTTAAAAACTCCTCCCAGGAGTGTCGCTGGGGAAAAGGCAAAGAAGGCTTCACATGTCCGGCAGCTATTCAGGAGTCTCAGCCTTGATGCAAACGGGAAGAAGCGAGCCGATACGCAGTATGAATGCATAGCACCAAAGTCCTTCAATTCGCCAGATTTCAATGGTTCGTCAACACCTCTCACGCTGGATCCAGTTAAGGAGAAAGATAAGAATTCAAGTCATAAGACGGATGACTCTTCTGTTTCCCCGGAGAAGTCTGAGTGTCTGGTATGTAGCAGTTCAGAGAAATCTTATAAGCACCTAGTTCTTTCACCACTGAACTCCCACCGATCCCAGCGGGACGGTGACTTTAGGTTAACTCCCTTCAATAGGCAGAGGAGAAAGGACAGTAGTCGAGAGCCAGGGTTTTCCAAAAAAGCTGCAGGACTAGCCATTGTAAGGCGTTGCCTCATTCGGAGAGGAATCCGGAAGCAGCCACCCAGGACTACAACTCAGGCAAGGGAGGGGAGGATGAGAAAGATGTATTGTGCTGCAAAATCCTCTGGCTTGTCCATTTCCAGGCATCAAACAAAGAAAGCTACTGTAGCAAAGCACCTTAAGAAAGAAAAGCTTGATGCTAAAAAGTTGAAGGTGACAAGCAAACCCAAGGGGACACTTTTGAATGACGCAGCCATTGTGGGCGTGGACATTTCTGAAGAGAGGCAGGGAACCACTCAAGGGCTTCATCCAAAGTAAAAAAAAAAAAAAAAAGGAAGTTACTGGAGGCAAGAATCTGCTTTGCACTGTGAAGTGTTTCCCAAACCACACCGACATGGATGTTGATTTTCCCTACTAAGAGGCGCTCAAGAACAGGCCGAAGAGGTGGAAAGTGGGAGGGCTTTTCAGAAACCTTTTGCTGCGCCAGAGCTAGAAACTGAACAAGTTCAAGGTCCGACAACAAGCCAACATACCTACAAACTGTTCACGTTGCTGCTCTGTGGGCGCTCTGCACATTGCACTGTTCTATTATGTAAAAGTTACAAAAAATAATAATGTGTATTTGTTTGTTTGAAAGCACTAAAAGGTCCTGTTTAATAGGCTCCCTTGCATCTTTGCCACAGCAGAGAAATATTGAACTCGAGTTGTACATTATTCTACCTGAAGGGAATGTAGTGCACTAAATTTCGGAAGTGAATACATTTGCCTTGTACATAAGATTCAGCCTTTCATACCTAGCTGACAAGAAACCCACCAAAACTTTACTCCACAATGGCTTGCGTCCCTTGAGCAGAAGATATCCCTTGCATGTGTGCGCGAGGATCACCAGTCCTCCCCCCTTCCTTGTCTACAGCTCTACACAGGCACCCTGCTGCTCTGGAGGATCCCTAACATCTGGAGTCAGTTTGGGGGGAAACCGCAGTTGGGAAATTGGACGCCCTCACGACGTTAGCAGAAGTGCCTTCAGCTTGTAATGTGTGGTCTTTGGATCCAAGCTATGATCAAAAAATTAAATGGAATTGTATTTCAGTGTAATCTGTGACAAGCCATATAACACAGGGGAAAAAATCACAGTAGGACCTGCATACTCCAAAGTAAATTCCCGTTGTTTTCAGTGGGGCTTATTGTCAGGTAAGTATGCATATAGGATTTTGCTGTCCTGGACTAAGCGCACTTTCCTCGGGGTAATTCCCACCGAACACAACGGGACTTGCTTCTGAGTAAGCATGCACGGGATTACACTGTAAATTATGGGAAGAAGTATAAGACTAAGTAGAAGGTTTGCGAAATTACTCTCTAACCCCCCCCCCAAATTGTGTTGGTTTTATCTCTGCTGATGTGCACTCGTTCGTGCTGTTCCCCTCCCTCCCCACCTCTACCCCTTTGAAAGCAGATTAATGTACGGCTTCCCAGGGCCACACAGAACCGTTCATCCAGAATGCTGCACGCCAGCAATATTTCTGTCCCCTCATTGAAATTAAAACTACACAGGGATTTTAGAATGGAATAGATCTCTTATGCCTGGTTTCTCTGTCACCCCACAGCATAGTTGTGAAAATATCGGGAATGAATTAAAATAAAGCTGCCGCAGACAAAAGTTCTGAAAGATGCTACTTCGCATTTTAAGTCCAAACAGATCTACAGATAATCGGTTGAGGAAGAAACGTAGGTTTGCCTAAGAAAATAATGGACAGGGATTTTTGTTTGGCTTTTATTTCATTTAAAAGCTTTTTTTTTTAAGTGCATATCCCTGGAGATAGAGAGTTAAATCCAGTAGTGTCCTTCCACCTGTGGGACAGACAGAATTGATGAAACAGATTCCCCCCCAGATCTGCTTAGGTGTGCTGCAGAAATTTGTCCCAGAAGGTTGGTGGATATTCCAGAGCAGGGGTGTGTTTGTGTGTATGTTGCTTGGGAGGAGGAGAGGAAGTCAAAGCCTCACATGGCATTGAATGCTGCTCTTAGGCTATTGTGGTTATGCAAAACATTTTTTTAGATTAGCTTCCCTTCTCTACATATGACCCACCTGGATTTGTTTTAGTCGATAAGTCTGTTTTCTGGGAAGAGACTTTCCAAGCGGGAATTGGACATGAGACTGAATGTTGACGCTGTCTTTGACACCCCTGGCTGTTAGGACATTGTTTCCATGTGAAGTACAGCACCCTGTTCAGTATTAGTGCCTCAGTCATTTGATAATTCTGACTAACAGAAAAGTAATTTTTAAAACAGAAGTTCTTTCACTGATAATTTTTATAACAAAGTTACTTTATAAATAAAAAAAGCTTATAATGCAAAGGTTTCTTTTTCAAAGTCAAGTTTATGTGTTAAACCAAATTTTACGGTTATCACTTACAAATTTCAAGTTAGCCTAGTTTTATTGATAAGAGTGTCCTTTCTACCTAATGTGCCAATTTGGGTTTTTTTAAAAAACAAAATGATGTATGAATACAGGTATACATAGTTCTGTTTGTTCATAACATTTAATTAACTTTTTGTTTTTAGTGCATTGGCTTGATTTTGACTATCACTAAAGAGTTCCACATATTCGTAAGTTGTGCTCTTCTACGACACTCATTTTTCCTCACAACCTCAAGCAAGATGCACTGGGCAGAGTTTATCTAACTTCTAAAACTTTTGAATATTTGCATGACTTTCCTTTGTAAATAGGGTCTTCAACCAGAGCAATTTTTTAAAAAAAGAAAATGGCTATATTTAAGGAAATTTTTCCAGTAACGATATATTTTTTCTTTAAAAACAGAATGAAGATTAACATCTTATTTTTTGTAAGGTAAAGGGCTTAGAGTGTAAGTCTTGGGAAAGCTGTTCAATGTTTAAAAACATCTACGGTTCTTACATGTGTATATGCCTCCCCCATGTCTGTTAAAATATCTCTATGTATGCTTGATGTACATGAAAGTTGGGGTGACCATGACATTTTGGTTATGGATTCATTTTATCCATTAAGTGGATTTTATGTGTATGTGTTTAACTTATTATTCTCCAGCCTAGGCACATGGAGTAGAGCAAACTCAACAATTTGAATAGATCGGTCAGAATCCAAAGACATGCTGGCTAAGCATTTTCTCTTGGATATACCTATTTTCAGTTCTAAAGGTGAGCCTAGTTTTCAGTTCAAGTTCTGATGAGGACTGCCAGGTTTCAGGTTTCGAGATGTGAAAGTTTTACGCACTTCCTGAGGTTTGCCAGGAGAAAAATCTCAGGTTGAAAGCTCTGGATAAAAAACGCAAGCTGTTTTCTTCTTGGCTTATGACATCGCTCTCCCCATCCCACACCTGTCACAGGTCCACATGGCTCGTCCACCAGACACTTCCCTTCCCTTCCCAGGTGCCGTTCCCTTTCCCAACCCAATGCCAGTTCTGCCAGGCCCTTCATCTCTGGACCTGAGTCACAGAAGATCAGGCAATGTATCATGAGACTGCAGGTCTTTCCGCTGGCAGCAGCTTTTGTAGGCCTTGGAGTGAGTGCTGTGAGATGAAAATGGAGGACAGCTGGCTCAGGAGTCCTAGTGGGCATGCAAAAGCTTCCCTTTGTATATTGGCCATAAAAATTAAATGAGCAACGTTTTTGAAACGGGGAGGGAAGCTGCTAAGGAAACGTGTGTGTGATAAATATTTTATCACCGCTTCCTGAGAAATTGTGTTAAATGTCAGAATCAAGGTTTTAAGAGGAATCCCTAGGAAGTTGGGGCAGAATTATTATGCGTGAAAAACTTACTTCCCCAAAGCACTGCCACTAGATCCAAGACCCACCCTGGCCGTAATGGCTTTTCAGATTTCACTGTCTTTACAGTAAACGTTCCCCTATGCTATGTGTCATTTAGTTGGGAAAAGGCTATGGTAGCAAAATCTTGTCTGGTGATATCTTTGTACTCAAGTCTGCAGAGAGAACCTTATATGTTTCAGGTCACTTGCCACCGAGACAAATGTGGGAGCAAAATAAAACCTGCAGGGATAATAGAAAGACTGGTACCCTTCCAAAATAAGTGCAGTAGACGGCGGATCCAGAGAGGTGAAACTCCATATTTGTGGCAGTAATGTCATGATTCTCATGCTATGCTATCAGAGTTGCAGCAAGAGAGCTTTCAGGCAGATTTAATATGCAATTACTGCAGATCTCTGGATAGAACTAGCTCCCCACCCCAGCACCCACAATCATGTTGAAAAACAAATGTTCTTTATGAGAGTTGAGAAATCCCTGCTTGCTCCAACATTTAAAATAAAGGTTCCCTCTTCCTCTCCAGCGATGTTTTAATGTACTTCTAACCTTCCTTGTTTTATTACCCCCCTTTCATTTCTTTTGTCCAAATTTGCCTCTTGTGTTCACTATTAAAAGTGTTAAGACTTTTTTTGTGTGTGTGTGGGTAGGTTAAACCTTTATTCTGAATTTTGGTGCAAAAGATTTCTTGAACAAAGTACATTAGCAGTATTGCCAGTTGTAGCTAAATTTCACTGTACTGAGCACAGGAGTTGGAGCTCAATTCTTTCCTGCTTGGGATTTCTGTTTATTGCAAGAGAACCCACATATGTGCACATATATGTAGATGTTTAGCATTTCCAACTCAGGTACTTTGGTACCAAACTTTTAAATGAAGATAGCTAAATATATTTTGGGTTGAGGGTCCCAGGCTGTGAAACTTGTTTAGTTTCCCATATTTCAACATGTGCTCAATGAGGTACTTCCTAAAGATTATTGGGGTTGCCAAATTCAGTCTTTGACTGCAATCACTTATAACAATGAGACAGAGAAGAAGGATAAAACCTTACTTTCAGGATCTTCAATTTCACACTTAATTAAAAGCAACTTTATGGGATCATTAGGAGTCCTTTTTTTCCCACTGCTCCAATAAACAGGACCGTCTAAACAACTAATTGTTCCAGACTGTAATATGATTGCTAACTTTTGAACGCTAATTGATAAAAATAGGCTGGATATTTAAAAGTACCTAATTCGTAGGGTAAGCTGAACTTCACATTTTATATGAAAAGTTTGCTTCAAGTCATACATTTGTCTCACTGATAAGCAAGCATATGCAGAATCAAAGGTTATTATTTCTCCTTTACTTGTAATAGTTTACCGTTCTTGTTCATTTCTTTCACAAAATCTGGAAGAAAAATCATTTTTCTTTGAATAAAATAAAGATCAAAGTTGGTATTGTGTAGTTGGTTTTATGTTTTATTTTTAAAATCCCAGAAATGTGTTGTATGTTTCCTGTTGTTGCTACCTGTTTGGCAGAAATCCATGCCATTTATTTAAGCTTTGTTTAGAATAGTGCCTACCTTAGAACAAGTTGTTCCACGGGGAACATACTGCTATAATTAGGCCAATTCCCCTCCCATTGCAACTGCATAATACCCTTGGAATGGTAGCAGTTCTTGTAAGAAGCTATCATGGGGAAATACAGACAAATTTCTAGCTCTTTCAAATGATTCCCACCCACCCAACTGGGCTAGATGCTAGGAAATAAGTTTATTCTGTAAGTACTCACAATAGGCCTTAAGCTATCAGTTAGGGACTTCTTTGGAGGGGCCTGCTACTAATGTAAACAAAAAACAAAAATTGGGCAGGATTGACATTATGAAATGGGAATTTCATTTGACTTGCGTTCTGTCAAATAGAACTGAACCACTAGCAAATTTCTGCAAGCTGAACTGCAAGGCCTTTCTTGATTTGCGCATCCTCTCAACTTTGTTATAACTAGAAACACGTCCCTATGAGAGACCTCTCTAGTAATTTCCTGCCACAGAACAATTGCCTTGTGTATCAAGGTAGAATAGGGACACGGGTGGTGCTGTGGGTTAAACCGCAGAGCCTAGGGCCTGCCGATCAGAAGGTCGGCGGTTCGAATCCCCGCAACGGGGTGAGCTGCCGTTGCTCGGTCCCTGCTCCTGCCAACCTAGCAGTTCGAAAGCACAAGGTGCAAGTAGATAAATAGGTACTGCTTCGGCGGGAAGGTAAACGGCGTTTCCATGCGCTGCTCTGGTTTGCCAGAAGAGGCTTAGTCATGCTGGCCACATGACCCGGAAGCTGTACACCGGCTCCCTGGGCCAGTAAAGCGAGATGAGTGCCACAACCCCAGAGTCTTCCGCGACTGGACCTAATGGTCAGGGGTCCCTTTATCTTTATCAAGGTAGAATACGCTGTTTGGAACGGGGAAAATGTGGATCGTTATCATGAGCAGGTTGGCGTAAATCTTCCAAAATGGTTGCCCTCTAGCGCATCTGATGGGCTTCTAAAGGGTGAGGAGAGCATTGCCTGAGATAAGGTTTGGTATCATTTGGGTTTCTTCCTTGCTCTCAGGCATTCGTGGGACGTATAAAGCCCAAATGCCTTTAGCTGTGTTCTGATGGTGTTTCCCCATGAAAAGCTGCAAGAAGCTCCCAATTTGAGTGCAGAAATGGAATGGGGGGGTTGCTTCACCCTTTCTCTTCCAGCCAAAAATCGTAGCCAAGTTGCTTTTCCATCAGCCAAGGGCAAATATGGCTACATGCATCCCACCACCCTGTAGAGAAGCAGAAGGGGAAGGTTATTTGAGCAGAACAAGGCTGTGAGGAGGGTGTTAAGCTGCCCCCTTCACCACCCTTTGCGTAAACTTGCAGCTTCCCATAGCTGAATTTCATTCTAAAAAACATAAAAACGATTGAGTTGTTCATGCTCACTTCAGCTGAGGTGACTAGCTCCTGGTGAGATCCTGAAGGGGTGGGGTCATAGCTGTCAACGTTTCCCTGTGTGTGTGTGTGTGTGTGTGTGTGTGATATTTTTTATTAATTTTAGCATACAAAAATTTTAAGACATACCACACAAATTATTATACATATATCCTTATTTGGACTTCCTTCAGCAACTCTGATAGCCTTCCGTCTTAATTATTTCTCCTGCAATTCTTAATATTGCCTTTACATTTTCTAACAAATCATTTCTTCCTTTCCATTTTTACAATATTTCTTAAATTACTCCTCACACAACTTCTTGTAGTCCTACAAACGTAATTTGATCATCGCAAATACTTTTCAGATACTCAGTAAATTTAGTCCAGTCTTTGGTAAACCTCTGGTCTCGCCGGTCTCAGATCCTTCCTGTTAGCTTATCTACTTCTGCGTAGTCCATCAATTTCATCCTCCATTCTTCTAATGTTGGTAGTTCTTCTTGCTTCCATTTTGGGGCCAATAATATTCTTGCTGCTGTGGGGTCATAGCTGTCAACGTTTCCCTTTTATTAAAGGGAAATTCCCTTATTCCGAATAGGATTCCTCGCAAGAAAAGGGAAAAGTTGACAGCTATGTGGGGTGGCCACATGAGTAACAGAAGGGACTTGTCTTGGAGAGACTGGTTTTTTGCAATGAAGGATGCGGGATGGATACAACACATCACTAAAGGGAAATGGTAGAGGGAGCAGCGATGTGGTCATGTTTTGTAGCTCTTGGCAGGTTAAGGCAATTAGTTCAAATGGCAGGATGGAAGATTTAGGCACCATTCCTTCTTTTGCACCATTTGAGCACTTCGGGGGCTCCCATATGTTATTAGGGAAGGAACTGTCTGAGCTGAAGGCATTCACCCACCAGCCATGGTTAGACTTGGCAGAGCATATTTCAAGTGGGGAGTAAGTGGGTTTCATTCAGCCCCATAATCAGACTTTGTGTGTTTTCCGTAGCTTCTTTTTTTAATAAAAAAGTCACTTTTAACTTGTCCCTTTTCAACGTGTGCCTGTGTCTCTTAACTGCAGGCTGCATATCATCTTGTTCCAGAACACGGCCGTTTCTGAGCTCCTGCCAGAACCGTGTGCTTTTTTTGTTTTGTTTTATGGAGTCTGCAGTCCAGATAACATTGCAGCCAAAGTCAGCATATTTTACCCCTCTCCCCACTGTAATTAGTTAATGTTCACAGCCGCCTTGAGGACATAAAGGACTTTTTAAGTAGTGAGAAGTGTTGGGATTCTCAAACCGCCTTCGCGCTTCGTTTGCTTTATCACCCCCAGAATTAAAACCACAATATTATTAGTATTGTGCACATAAATGATGATACAGAAGGTGATTTCTGACATCCTACTTGGCTCTGGAGTGAAGCATGCTATTTTTAGAAGGCTTCCCTGCTAGTTTTGATAGAGTGCATTGAATGCTCCTGCCCCCCACCCCGCCTTTTAAATGTTACTCTCTTTATTTTCTTCTTCTAAACAGTAACTGCCCCTTCCTAATGCTCTTCTGAGGGTGATGACATTAAGGAGTCTTCTCCCTGACTAATGGGAGACAAGTCTGTGAGCAGAGGAATTTAAAGAGACAGGCAGCTGTGAAGGAGAGATTGTTGCAAAAGAGAAAAGGCAAGAAATCCCACAGGGAATGCAGGACAAAAGCATCACCGTTCTTATTTTATCTGTAAGCTGCCTTGAGTCCCTGTCAGGGGAAAAGGCGGGGTATAAATAAATATAATAAAATTATTATTATTATTATTATTACAGTGGTACCTCGGGTTAAGAACTTAATTCATTCCGGAGGTCCGTTCTTAACCTGAAACTGTTCTTAACCTGAAGCACCACTTTAGCTAATGGGGCCTCCCGCTGCTGCCGCACCGCTGGAGCCCAATTTCTGTTCTTATCCTCAGTGGCGTAGCGTGGGGGGTGCAGGGGGGGCCGGCCACACCGGGCACAACATCTGGGGGTTAGGGTTAGGGGGCGCAAATCCACGGGTTAGGGGGCGCAAATTACTTGCCTTGCCCCGGGTGCTGACAACCCACGCTACGCCACTGCTTATCCTAAAGCAAAGTTCTTAACCTGAGGTAATATTTCTGGGTTAGCAGAGTCTGTAACCTGAAGCGTATGTAATCCGAGGTACCACTGTAATTGTAATCCAATACAGGCACGACTTTCAGTTAGTCTCATATCTTAGGAATTTGTCTGTACCCACCTACCGGCGTTTATTTACCAAAGCTAGATTAAATGTATTTCCTTCGGAAGTGCTAAATGGTAGACTGAGAGGCATCCCCTATCAGAATAGGCTTTGTTTATGTTCCCAGGACGTCGATTGCATAAAGCATATCCTACTACATTGTGGGCAGTACAAGAAAGCAAGGGATCAACTGATCAAACCCTTACCAGCAAATCTGCGGGGAACATCTGAAGCCTCCCATATTAAATACCTTCTGGAGGATAGGTCAAATGAGATTACAGTGACCGTGGCAGTTTCTTTCGGACGTCACAAGAAACAAAGACCATCATGCTCTAGACATAACAAAATGACTACCCGGTCTCTTTCGCCTGTTGTTTGGTTGTTTTAACTGTATCTGCCTGGACACTGTGGTCCAGCGCCGAGGGCCTTCTGGCGGTTCCCTCACTACAAGAAGCCAAGTTACAGGGAACCAGGCAGAGGGCCTTCTCGGTAGTGGCGCCCACCCTGTGGAACGCCCTCCCATCAGATGTCAAAGAGAAAAATAACTACCAAACTTTTAGAAGACATCTGAAGGGAAGCTTTTAATGTTTAATAGGTTATTATATTTTAGTGTTTTGTTGGAAGCCACCCAGAGTGGCTGGGGAAACCCAGCCAGATGGGCGGGGTATAAATAATAAATTATTATTATTATTATTATTATTATTATTATTATTATTATTATATTGTTTTGAAACTGTTTCGTGGGTCTATGGACCACAATAAAGATATTTGAAATAAATAATTGTTGCTTTTGGGTTTTTAGGAATAACTCTCCAAAAAAAGCACACAGATGTGAGTTTTGATGACTCCTACATCTCTTCCCAGGCCACCCCAAGACATGCTGCCTCTTGAGTTGGGTAGGCCTGTCTCCTCCTGTCTCCCCCTCCATCTCCATCATCTCATCTGGCTGCTTTCTCACCATGGCAGTGAAGGCTTTCCATTCCTTACTCTGCTGACTAGTTCAATTTTTTTTAAAGATCAGATGCTACCTTGGCACAGGAATTTGCAGCGGCGTCGAACTTCTGTAGCTGCCATCACAGTTGGCTGCCATCAAGTGAATGAATACTGTGAGCGCCATTGGCTAGCAACAGAATGACCTGAGCTCATCTTCCATAGCCAGCAGTGCTGGCTTGGCCTGCTAGGATTCATAATTCTCCCAGAAGAGTTTGCTAGTTAATATATTGTGATATTATAGTGGCAGGATTGCCAGCTCTCTTCCATTTACCCAGTTAGTCCAGAAGC